CGGACTCACCTACTATCCGCGGTAACTTCCAAGTCAAGTTTTACCGGTGTATGCCCTCCACCGCACTGGGCTCCGCTTGTCTGTCACTTTCGCTACCCATCCTCTGGTGATTGAATGTGAGCTTTTGGCATCTACGCCTTCATAAGACCACCGTCATCCTTCTCTGCTAAAGCCCGCCCTCCCTCCACCACCGTCTTCCCTTTGCCAAAGCCCGCCTTCCTTCGCCAAACTCATTCTACATTAGCCCGCCGACACGCTGTCACTGTGTGATTCAACATCGACGTTTCTGTTGACATAGATGCGTTCTTTTTTTCCTTTTTTTAGAAACAAAAAAAGGAAAGCGGCCTTAACTGCATCTCTACTCATGAGTCATGTTACTTCGAGCACAAGCAAAACATATATGGAGAAATGAAGCCAGTGTCCTAATGATATCTTCTGTCCTTCGCGCACAGCCGCGGCTGAAGTTTTGCTGCAATCCCCGCCCTCATCACCACACCTCACCACCTTTTCATCATCAGCCTCGTTCCTTCACCTGGCATGCTGCATACGCCTTCCCTGTATTATACCACAGCATTTTGGCCCTTCTGTAGCCCTCTACGCCCTTCAAGCACCTTAATGTGTTTTACTGTATCCTCCACAACCTCTTAGCACCTCGCCAGCTTCCAAATCTGACCTGCGCCCATTGCATGCGGCCGCGGCCGCTATGTTTTTTATCAGTGCTTTACTCATGTGTCTGCTCTGCCTACTTCCGTGCGCGGCACCCATATCTCAATCCGGTCGTATATTGTGGAACGTAACCACCTCCCTCGCTCTCGGCATGCAGTTTGCTCGAGGTTGGGTAGCATGTGTATAATACTTTTATTTGTTTGTACATCCTTATAGCTAATTTCATGTTATTTGTACTGTGCGGCATAAAATTCAAGATCCCTGTGTTTGATTGTGGAATTCTACATCATGAAAAATCTGTGATAGAGTTGGTGAATACAATTTGTGTATGAGGGACATTGAGACGACACTTTGGTCACATGTGACATCCGAACTATTCCATTTATGTAGTGAGCAGTGCCTTCAACAGGCGCCTTTCATTGATTCAATTGTCTAGAATTGTCTAGATTAGTACTCTACGGCTCGGCGAATGATTTCATTAATTTCTGACGCCACTATCGAGGAACTTCAAGAAGGGTACCTTCGAGTGGTAGTAGGGTTCAACCAGCTTATGTAGTGTTAGGCTAATCATTCAGAATTTCTCATTTTGCACACCTCTCGTCTTATGCTTGTGTCTCCTTATCTTGTGTTGTCTTCCGATAGAGCGACCAAGTTTACTCGTGTTCCTCGGATCATCGATCATCTTCCAGTTACTAAGTAGAATGAAACTAAATAAGCACTCTAATATTTTTCTGATGGCTGGGTAGCGCCAGGTTTCATGAGGTCATAGTGGCAGTTGCACCTGGAGGTTAGGTGTGGTAGGTGGAGAGTCGGGTGTGATGGGCAGTAGAAGACGTGCGATGACAAGTTGCTTGACCTTGTAACCTTGTACACGTGGCGAACAGAAAATACCTTACCCACTCGAAGCGCTGTCGGAAGTTTTGACATGTCGTAAGTGAGGTAACGCACATACCTCATTCTTGTGAAACATTTAGGAGCAGAAAATACCTCTCCGAACGCTGTTGGAGGTCTTGACTTCTATTATGAGTGAGGTAATGCACCCACCTTATTTTTATCGGCATCTGATCTTCTAAATCTTGAAGGTAAGGGCACCTACAACTCGGCGTGCGCGGCTCCCTCCGGATCTTTGACTAATTGCTGTCCAACGAGATGTACAAACACAGGAGGTAGGATCGGATAATAAAAATTTGTTGAGGGTCATTTCGCATTGGATAACAGTTGTCCGTTGTACGTTGATGTTGAAATATAAGGAGGCACTCCCTTCCCTGTGGCAGGGTGCCAAGCTCGGATATTCGGCTTATTGCGAGAGGTCCAAACCAGTGTCTGTATAAACAAGGCAACGATGCGACAAAACCGCAAACCTTCCTGCATAATGTAGCGAACCTCGGACCAAACAGCGGCGCCATTAACAAAAGTTTGCATCTAGACTTCGATTGAGTCAGTGCTAAACGGCAGAAGCACCAATAACGGCTGCCTCGATGAATCGACTCCTTAGGCCTAGTGACATCGGCTATGATGTCATTCAAAGTTCGTTCAACGTTCAAGTCACTTTACTAACCCTAGTACTGCCGAGTCCAGTGTAAATTCCGCAGTGAAGGCCGCCGACATATTTAAAAGGTCGTATCTGCTCGTGGAACAGCACTCGCTTAGACCTCGATACACACCAACATGTTCGTTCGAATCTTCACGATTTCTGTCATCGCCCTTCTCCTTCTCCAAGACTACGTTATAGCCTCTGTTATTTCTGCTGTTGTCAGGACCTCAGCCAGTTCATATAGCTGCGGTAGCGGCTCGCTTGCTTGCTGCATGGAGGTGAGAGAGATTCATAAACGGAGAAATATACCTATGCTTACCTGTGCTGCAAAAGGATCCATCCCAACCGGGAAGTGTTGATGATGAGCAGTGCCAAGAATACTCAGGGAGTTGCTGTCCAAGTAACTACTTACCGTCTTGTTGCTACACCGTATACGAGGTGGTAAGTGTCACCACTCAACCCAACAGCTCTGTCAAACTCATTCTGTAACAGGACTATTATTACTGCAACGAGACAACGACAAGTCAACAGTAGGGTTGTTAGGCGTGTTAAAGCACGATACCTGAAGGACATTCGTTGGATTGGGCTTTCGATCGGATTAATATACCATAATTTTGTATCATATGTATAATATTCCACTGGTGCAAAAAATGTCTCGAACCTCTGTCATCATTCAGTACTCAGTTTGAAGCCTCAAAACGCTCCACCAGTGGCACTCCAGGACCGGTAGCAGGATGAGGACTCACGATATAAATGAAGCTCTGCCTTCTAAGGCTAGCACGAAGGAACGTGGAATCTCGTTAGATTCCCTCAACTAGTCTCGATGAGTGGAAGGCGGGAATGGAACACAAGTTATCAGAGAACAGATGAACAAATGAGAATGTTATTCAGAGCAATATATACTAGTAGAGCATCACAACAATGGATGCAACTAGCAGCTGGCTTCCCGTAGGCAATAATGCGGAGTCGACGATGATGTATCTGAAAATGATCCGGTTTGAATTTCGGTGCAGAGGTGACACCGTGACGGGTGACACAGCTCGAAAAGGCAAATGTGCGTCACGAAGCCATCCCGCCGGCACACGTTTTGGTGACGCCATGGTGAAGTACATACATGGATTACCGGCCTGCTGCCGAATAGTACACACCGACTAACGAGGACGAGATACACTGCGGCAAGGATCAGTAACATCACAAAGGAGGCGAGACATCTGGCAGGCTGCAGCTACTCCTTGTGCGTGTTTCTTCTACTATTCGTTAGCATATATGATTCAGTTGTCCTTTTAGTTTTTTTGGTAGATTTATGCTATTGCAGCTATCAGGGATGGCAGTGGACCAATGAAGGTATGGTTTCATTGTGTTCTCATTATCAATTCCAACTTAACTCATGCTTTCTCATGCTGATGAGGATGCCAAGCTTGCAGCCTGTGTCAATCACTCTCCGCATTCAAGTTTTCCCTCCCTGCCACCTGTTCAATATTGTCCTCCTTCATTTTCCAGATGACTTGCCGCCGTTTCGCAGACGACATGCGACTTTCCGGGGCTTTGCCTTCTCCATTTCGCAGACTACCGTTACACAGAGAGCTACATTAGCATCATAAAAGAGCGGTTTCGCGCTATGGTCACTGTCTTCGAACTGAAAGTTGCCAGTATTGTCGTCTTTTTATTACACAGATGATCTAGTTCTTTTTCTTGCTGAAATTTAACAGACTTGCTTGGGAAAAACTGTGATACTCGATTGATATGTGCTCATTACAGAGTAGGTTACGCAAATTTACGCCAACAAGACTGTAAAAATAGAAGAAATCGAGCTTCCGAGTATTGAGTACGAAAAAATGGAGGAGAGCATGAGGGGCCACCGGTAAGATCTTGAAAACTTATGAGATCATCCATCAAGCCAGTCTCGGTGACTTTTGATGTAGAACGTTTTCCGGACCAACGTGGATATATTAGACGCGAAACGAGTAGCTCCCGACCGAGCTGTTTTGGCGTCTGGTTGCTAGTGTGACGATACTGAAGCGAGTATTCCCCGGTTGGAATTATAGTTCAATAACTCGATAGCGGGGGGCACATCATGGTGATGTTCAACGTTCAGTGTTCCAAGTTGTGATCCGAGTTATGTACTAAATTACTTGGCAACCGAAATTCAGCGGCGTGGATAGAGTTCAAACTTAAGTAGTGCTTACAACGAAAGTCATCCCTGAATCTATGACTATGCGGTATGGACTCGGTACCATGACTAGTAGGAGAAGTTCACCAGAATCTGTCGCGGCCGCAGTGTTATATCAAACACTCGGACGCGACTAAGGTTACAGAGAACTGCCGCGGTGACAAAATCCTGAAAAGCTGAACCCCCCAGGTTTTTGGACCAATCAAAGACTCGGAGGCGCTGCGGCTGCATGACAGCAAGCACACGAGGCTCTGAATCGATGTCTATGAGCGAAGGGGGTGATAGACACTTCCCCCTGTTCAGCAGAGCTCACCGCTGACACGGATCGACCGGGACGGTCATGGGCAGTGTGTTCACCCGCCAGTTGGTTGATGCAGAAGTCAGGCAAGCACGCACGAGATGAAGACCTGCAACGTCAACACAGATGTGCAACAGAGCAGCCTGATGAAGTTGGACGCCTCCACGCGACATTCAGAAGGGTATCTCTTTGGAGTATAACCTGCAGTGTATTTGATAAATCCTTCGTTATCAACCTCTTTGGGGCTACGACGCATACCCATCGTGACCGGAATCCCCACTGATAAGGCAGAAGCTTTCTACAAACGCAAAATCGCTCATAAACTAGCGAACACTCTCAAGTTCATGGATGTAAATCAAGCCGCTGACTTAGCAAGTTGACGATGTGAAGAAGCCTCATGATGGCATCCCTGGAGCACTTACCTTCCAGTACCTCCAAAATCGTCAGCATACTATGTGAAGACATCAACTGCATGAGCATATGTGGGTTTCCCGTCATAATTGTTTTTTGATCTAGAAATGCGGCGATGCATCAGACTATAAAACCGTCGAGTTAAATTCAACTGACCTGTTGATCCCAAGCATCACGCAGCTGGAAGTTAGGCGCCGAGGGTGTCAGCCCATCGATGAGTTGGTTCACCATGCTGCAAAACCGGGCATTCTTGTTGGAGATTAGTTTCAAGGTCACTTCAGCAAGACCCTCGTAGATCTGAGGAACCTAGTCAGCCAGTATCATGGATGACAACATAAAAGCTTGCCTCTACCAAAGGATTGTCTAAGGTCTTTGACCGAATCGTCTCCGAGCTGCAGTGAAATAAATCGCCACAAGATGTCCGAAACAAAGCACAGGCCATTCCCAAGTTGCAGTTTGCATAGGCTATTCGAGAGCTGCGAAGCTAGAGTTCGAAATCATTCATACACTGATCTAAGACTACTCACTAGTTCCTCCAGGCTTTCCAGATACTTATATCATCATCGTCCTTAGCATACTTGCCAAGCTCAGCATGGCTAGTCGCGCGTTTCGCCTCTCCGCGACCTAAATAGCCGAAAACACCTGAACCAGATCCAACAAAGGAAGATGGGAACGTAATCGTATCGAACTTATGGGTAGTGGACCCATGCAGGTGGGGTGCTTTCCACGACAGACTAGGAAGAGCTGCAGATATAGTGAGACCTGGAGAACCGGAAAGGATTCCGAGGACTTTGGTATCGTCGGGATGAAAGAGCCCCCTGCGCACTGAATGCATTCAAACTGGACTACAAGATAGAAGACACATACGAGTAATTACAGACTAGTGCTGACTTTCTTAATGGGCCGTCCACGCAAGAAAATGTCCGTCAAGCGTCCAGCTCCAACATCCGGTGAGGGAGGAGGTTGGTGAATCAGTTATTGGTGTTTGGTTTTGGTCGTATTTGATGGAGTGGGAATGATTCAAAATATGTAAGTACTTTCTTTGCAAGTTGCAAGTGATCGGTACACATGAGTGAAAAAAAAAACATACTTAGATCGTATAAGTTTGCAAACGGTGTATTGAGAAAACGAGCACTAACAAGATGTGGCTTGGTCGAGAGAGCAATGAGAACAAAAAAGATACACCAAGAGAAAACGTAATGCCCTGAGCAAGGTTCGAACTTGCGACCTCAGGATTACCCGGTAACGATACCGGTCACACAAGTAGTATGAGACCTGCGCTCTAACCAACTGAGCCATCAGGGCTTCGAACATTTGGGCGTAATAATACCACTGAGGTTGGGGCTGAAAATATTTTTCAGCACGTGACAAAAACGCGTGGATCGCGTGAGGTCACATGTGCTGTGTCACCTCGTCCACCAGCTCCAGATCTTCGATCATGCGTATCCTCGCACTCTCTGACTGCAAGCTAGAAAGGGACGTGCCTCACAAAGAAATACAAGATACCTATACAGATAGACAGCCTGCACCAATGCCTACACCTACACCTCCTACGAAGATTCCATCCATCACACTTGATGCCGACCTTGTGACGGATTCTATGGCCGCCAGATTGTGCATTAGCTTGGTCGGCCATGTTCTATTTTTGAAGAGTCAGGTTCCTTTGTAAGCTCAAGCGCTGACAATCAAATCGCCTGCTGATTTTTGTATAGTCCTGTCGTACAGATGGCACGGATGCCTGGTGGCGATGTAGGTGCCCTGCCATTTTATCTGACTTTAACACTGACGCAACGAAGACCACGTCTAGAGCTGCGAAGAAGCGTCAGGAGCTCCTTAATTCATTCGATACCCTCGCGTCACACCTCAATACGACATTTACAGCACTATCTACGGCGTTTGCCTACCACAGCGGGACAAAAGATCCTCGAAGTTCCGGTCGTGCCTACCTCGCAGTTGTTCTTGGTCCCACACCTGGATCTGCAAAATGCAGGGTAATGGTTGGTGTGGATGCTCTGGAAGCGAAGGTCTGGGGAGAACGAGATGATCGCTTGGATGTCCCATCTGGACGTGAGGGAGAGGAAGCAGAGGATGATGACGAGAAAAGTCATAGTGAAGACGAGTCTGACTCTGAATCTGACTGTGATGGCGACACGGACTCAAGCGAATGTGGTGACAGCGACAGCAGTGATAGTTTGTGCGATGAAGAAGTAGCTTCGGAGACAGAATTTGAAGAATCTTCTCAAGCACCCTCCCCACCACCATCTAGAACACCTTCTCCCTCTTCTTCTCCGCCTCCGCCTCCACCACACTTACTGCCTCCAACTTATGCTCAAGAACTCGAAGCCCTCCGCACCGCAGAACGCCTGCTCTCTCGCACACTTGCAAGCGCATGCGGAGAAAATGATGGGCAGGGCATGGCCAGCGAAATGGGTCAGTAGTAACAATTTTAACACTTTATCTACACCCTAACGCTGTTCCGGGAATAGCTCCAACTCAGACGCACATAGTGCTTCGTGCTCCGCGAAAATTTATGCACCCGGCGTGGGTGCCTAAGCAAACACTCAGCGGTGCTTTTGACGCACTGCTAGACCAGTTTCTTGAGGAATCTGGGGAACGTCCAAAGAGAGATGATGTTAAGAAGAGAAAGAAAGGCGGAAACGTGGAAGGTGTATGGATTCGCAGCCGACAGAGACTGACCGAAGATTCAGAGATAATATCAAGCGAAGAAATTCCAGAAGAAGACGAGATGATTTGGTGGACATGGGACGGGAGGCTTGTTGGCTTTGCGGACTGGTAATATTCGAACATAATTTTCAGACGACTTAGCAGTTGCGACATTGGATACATGGCTTGCAGAATAAGTATCTCCCAGTCAATCGTACTGCCGTGTTATGAAGTTAATTTTTGACTAGTCGACCGTCTAAGTAAGACGTTCCAAAAATGATGAAATAACAATACAGAAGATGCAGTCACATCGGACTAATTCTAATTAATTTCTCGAGGGATGATTGATGTACATATTTAGATTTCTTGGAGTTTGTTTGGTAGCAGCTTTAGAAATAAACAACCTCCTGCTGACATAATATAGTGACAAGTCACGATTGTCGCGTTTCAACGCGTTCCAAGAAAAGCCATCATGAAAGCAACAAGCGCAACACCATCTACATCAGCACCTGTCGCTCACAACGCCTTACCCCCACCATCTGCAACATCCAATGCTCGTTCCTCTAGAATCGCTCCTCACTCGCACATAAAAGGATTAGGGCTCACATCAGATGGCCTTGCAGCACCCGATGGTGCAGGATTCATAGGCCAGACTAATGCTCGAGAGGTCATTATAACACTGTTATCTCTTTCTCCTGGGATTGACCAAGCTCGTAGGCATGTGGTGTGGCGGTGGATCTCGTAAAATCCCGCAAATTTTCGGGGCGCGCGCTACTTCTCGTGGGCGCGCCGGGAACAGGCAAAACAGCCCTTGCTCTAGCAGTATCGCACGAACTTGGTACCAAGGTGCCATTTTGCCCGATGGTTGGTTCTGAGGTGTATAGCACAGAGGTGAAGAAGACGGAGGTACTTGCAGAATCGTTCAGGAGGGCAATCGGTGAGTACCTTAGATGTTTGGAGTTCTTTGTCGGGTTTCTCGTGAATACGTATTTTATGTTGTGCTGCAGATGACATTGCCCATGTATTGGCTCGGATCTACGAATTCGGACTCAATACGTTCTTTTCCGACAGGTCTGCGGATAAAAGAAACCAAGGAGGTTTACGAAGGAGAGGTTACCGAACTTACGCCCGCAGAATCTGAAAACCCATTGAGCGGATACGGAAAGACAGTCTCGCATGTTATCGTTGGTCTTAAAACTGTCAAAGGTACCAAGCAGCTACGACTGGATCCCACCATCTATGAAGCAATCCTGAAGGAAAAAATTGTTGTTGGTGATGTTATCTATGTAGAAGCCAACACCGGTGCAGTCAAGGTGTGACAGAATTGTTTAATCAAGCATGCACAAGTTGATTTCTTTTTATGCAGAGAGTTGGACGATCCGATGCATATGCCTCCTCCTACGACCTCGAATCTGAAACATACGTGCCATTACCGAAAGGTGACGTTCATAAGCGCAAAGAGCTTGTCCAAGACGTTACTCTCGGTGATCTCGATGCCGCTAATGCGCGTCCGCAAGGCGGTCAAGACATCATGAGCGTCATGGGTAGTCTTGTGAAGAGCGGAAGGACGGAGGTGACAGACAAACTTCGAAGAGAAGTCAACAAGGTGGTCAAAGGCTACGTAGACCAGGGCGTTGCCGAGGTTGTTCCGGGCGTAGTTTTCATTGATGAGGTATCTGTCTTCTCACGGTTCTGTAGGAGTGAGGCTAAACATTCTCCCTAGGTGCATATGCTGGATATCGAGTGCTTCACCTATCTCAATGCCCTCCTCGAATCCCCTATGGCACCTACTGTAATACTTGCTACCAATCGTGGAAATGCGCTAGTACGAGGGACGACCGACATCGTCTCACCTCATGGTGTTCCTGTAGATTTATTGGATCGGTTAGTCTGCAAACCTCGTAGCGGATTTTCGACTGATTTGCCTTGTCAAGGTGCCTTATTGTGAAGACTGACGGATATAATCGCGAGCAGATCGGCAAGGTGGTACAGTTGCGTGCGAACGTAGAAGGTCTTAAATTGGGTTCTGGGGTCTTGGAGCGAATAGCAGAGGAGGGTGAACGAGGATCAATGCGGTATGAGACACCTTAATTGACAGTGCACCTCTCATAACTGCCTTTACAGATATGCTCTCCAACTTCTTACTCCAGCTTCAATTCTCGCTGGTCTTTCCGGGAGAAGTCAGATAGAAGTGGAGGATATTGGGGAGATGAATGAGTTGTTCTTAGATGCGAAGACTTCTGCAACCAATATTGGCGCGGATGGAGGCTTTGACGGGGGAAAGATGTGGTGAATGTCGTCCCCTGTCAACAGCTTACGCTTTTATATTATCCCGTTCATCTTGTTCATGGTCTCGCGTGCTCAGATTGCCTAAACTGCCTCTCGTCTGAGAATGCCTCTTCTGGCTGCTATCATTGTCTCAACTGACCAAGAATATGAAGTCAGTGATTCCCTGCGTTGAAAAAATACTGTGAGTCTCGACCAACTATAATCACGTGATTCTATTTCATCAATCATGTTGCGGCATTCAGTGATTCAGTGGGGAAATCAGTGGGGAACCCCAAAGGAACCATTGATGCCCTAGACCCATTTTCCACACTCGCGCATCGCCTTCTTACCTGGAGTTCTTCCGGCCCCGGTCCCTTCTGCACTTCATACCCTAGGGCGTACTTCTCACAATGCCATAACGCGCCAAGAATGGCCTGCATTCCACATGTTAAACACCTTCCCTCTTTTTAGGAAAAAGATACCGTCACTAAACTATGTTTACGGTTGTCAGACTGAAACATCTTATCATATTTTTAGAGGCGAACCTTGTATGTGCTTATGTGCTTCTCACGACTTCACTGACCCTCTATCCTCGTGCTCAACCTTCCTGTACGTGAAGCATTTAAGCTATTCACTTTTGTTGGCATCTTTCCCATGGAACTGCGTCCGTTGAGCGCAGTGCTTCCGATGAACATGGGCCTAAGATGATCCTCGGCCACCATTGTTGTAAATGCAAGGACCTGGGCAGTCTGGCGCCCGGATCCGGTGCTCTCATAGTAAGCGCAGCCACAGATGCCACTGCGCTGGTTTCACGGTCCTGGTTCCTGCGCTTTTTTATCAGGTACAAGTCATGTCAGCCTGAGCTCGTGACATGTCCTATCAACACATGTTGTTGGAGTGGGCAAATTTTCGCACGTTGGTAATGGCGCAAGAGTACAGGTAGGCACCCCATTGGTCGGATGCGACAATTAACTTCGCAGTCTTCCATTTATTGTGTTACCATCGAGGGCAATCACGTAAGGATTGGCGTCAGACTCAACTTTGTACACAGTAAGGGTTTAGACCCCATTGATTCATTGTTCGGCTCGGTACCCCCACGTTCAACTTCTTTTCTTCAATGGCCAGTTGTTATCCGCTGAGAACGGGACTCGTGCTTCGCAAACTGGGGATTTTGTTGCCGAGACAATTACGCGACCAGCACTCTAAGGCAGGTGCCCTTTTCCGCTCTGCAGATGATCCAGTGCTACTTTGTCAGGGCAATTTGCAACCCCGCGAAGACCAGAATACCCCATGTGCGCCAACTTACGACGCAGCCTATCCGGAGTCTAACTTGGCTCCCTTTTTGGACCTTATTAACCCGAGGAAGCAACCGCACAGGTCATGAAACGCGCGGGACAGTATATAAGAGGCCTCTATCAGGTCAGTATTTTAGCGTCGCATTTGCGCCCCGACTACTGTATCGTTTAGGACCCCCACAGGTATCATGCCAAGACCTCTTCAGATGCCCTACATGTTCGAGGATCGAACAGGCCGTATAACTGGCTCTGATTATGACGATATCTACGACCGCATGTTCATACGTGTCGTACCTCATCCACGTTCTCCTGCCAGAAGCGACAACGTTTTGGCTATATACAACATGGGACGCCGTTCAACCCGACACGGAGACACGCGGCATCTGGAGAGACAGCCTTCAGTGGTACTCGAGTTTGCAGAGGGTGCTGCAGGAGGACTAGGAAATATCAGTTTTTTCTACCCTCCTGCGCCCAGCATGACGATGCCGATGAACAGATACCTACGAAAGGCGACCTTTTTCGGAGGGTATGCTGTTCTCCTGTGTTGCTGCAGCCAAACCTAATGTCATACAGATCTCTCTCCAGAAAATTTCGGGCGAGTGATGGCCGGGAATACAGATGGGAGCACCAAAGCGCAGACGGCCACGAGTGGTCGGTACGTTAAATATGCTTTGTTCACCGACCTTACCTGAACCCCTCTTTTCTACAGTGTATTTCGGAAGAAAATTACCTTGTCGCTCATTACGAACTTCGTCAACCACACATGCCAGCTTATGGCGTCTCCGGAAACACTCTGACCATTCACGAGTCATATTGTCACCTTTCTATAGGCAAGTTGCTGTTATCTATATCCTTGGATAGTAGCTGACTCTACCATCAGACATTATGGCTTCGCTCCTCATCATGCGCTACATTGCAGAGCACAACCTGTAGACACAAATTGTGTCGCATTTCATACCTCAAAATTGCCCACCATCCAAGGCAAACTTCGCAGTCATGCTCACTACCTCATACTGTAACATAGATCCAATTGTCATGGATAACGAGTGCTCAGGGATCAGGCAGGATCTTCATTGTACCATTTTCTTTCTTCCAATGAACAGAATTTGATGGTCCCCGTCGGGATTCCCTGATTTCCGTGTTCTTCGTAACTAATTATTCCTTTTCATTTGCTATTCTTACATTTATGTAATACCAAAGGAAATGTCCGGTAGAACGAACTATGTACATAGTAGTCTCCCCCACTTCACATCTACATTCAAACTTGTATCATATGCTATGTCACCAGACAAGAGCTTTTCCCACGAGTCGGATTGAAGCGGTGAAATGATTGATTTTTCAGAGAAGAGATATGGTATCGACGAAAACCCAGATCGTGGGTGAATTCACTCTAAACCAACACTAAGATGATAGCATCTAGTTGGCAACATTGCCTGGTGTGAAGTAGTCAGGTAGTATGAAGGCCAGCTTCTTGATATCCTCCTGGTCCTGTTCGCCAACTCTTGGCATGATAGAGAAACGCATACTGCCCTTGTCTTCAGTCAGAATGTCTCCATCTAACGCGGCAGCGTGAAGGTCTTCAAGAACAGCAGCTGCAACATGCCTCGATGTATTAGCATTATCCTGCAGAGTCTTGAATACTTCCGCAGCAGTGACTGCCTCCGAATGGGGACGCCATGAATCATAGTCTGTGGCAGTTGCGATTAACGCATAGCTAGATGGTATCTCAGTCAAGTCAAAGCAAAGCGAGTGGTCAAATCACCTCAGTTCCGCCTCACGAGCTAACTTGGCCTCAGGCAAAGCGCTCATGTTGATAAGATCCCCACCCCACGCTCGATACATGATACTCTCCGCCCTAGTGGAGAACTGAGGACCTTCCATGCAAACGATGCATTTGTCCTTGTGGAGAGCCACTCCTCTACCTTCGTCTGCAAGAGCCTTCTCTACTCTTACCTCCAGCCAGCGGACCAACTTCACGCTATATGGATCACCAAATGCAGCATGAGCGACTATCTTCAGGCCCTCAAAGAAGCTGGCTGGACGTATGCCCTTGGTGCGATCAATGATCTGAGTAGGAATAGCAAAAGATCCCGGGGCGATCTCTTCGCGGAGCGAGCCAACAGCACTGAATGCAAGAATAACCCGGACTCCTAAGGACTTCAAAGCTGCGATGTTAGCGCGAGAAGGGACTGCTGAAGGCGCAATTGAATGGTGATGCCCGTGACGAGCCAGGAAGGCGATCTTTGATCCTGAAGGTAGCGAACAAATGGTAATGGGCGAAGATGGGTATCCCCAAGGCTGAAAAGACAGCAATGCAGATCGTCAAAATCATGAAGACTCCCAAAGGATGAAAACGAACGGTCTCTGGGTTAACTTTCTCCCTGAGGTGCTTGTTATGAGCTGCAAAACACAACTTGTTCATGTCACAACTCACACGAAAGTCAGGTTATCAAGATGGTATAGGCCACTACCACCGATGACACCGACGAGCACTGTGAAGTTGTCAATGAGGAGCTGAATATGCGGTTGAAGGAAGACAAGACCAACCATCCTTGGAAGTCATGGTATCAGAAAAAGGAGATTCCAATTTGCAATATTGGGAACATTTTATTTTGCAAGTCGATCAATCGATAAGTAGTAGCAAATAAATTTGATAGAGGGCAGATAAGGACAAGTACCAAATTGGCTACACGCGGGAGCTCCCGTGACAGTCACGCTCTCTGTATCTTATTCTACGACTCGGACTAGGCCCATACTTACAGGTACTGTTTTGATCTGTATGTATGGGCCTGGAGTGGCCTTTGACTGGGATCGATCAAGCGCCGAGTCACATTCACGGTTTGAAAGTCGACTATCATCATGATCAACTACCTTCATCTAGCAACATCAACTTTTTTCGACGTCGCCCAGCCTGGCACAAGCGCCTACCTTCGTTCCATCTGATTCTTACTACTCCACCAAGCACAATCGAGACGTAGTCATGTTGTTCGACCCGCAATACCAGGACATGGTCCAGACCTCTGCAGATTTCATCAGACTCATCATGTATTTGACAGCGATCGGCGTCGCTCACCATTGCTCGCCGTGATTCTTTTCTCCATCAAGCATAATCACGAATTTGTTCTAGCCTTCAGCGCATAGAACCAACTGCGAATTGGGACAACGGAGTCGAATATAAAGATCTTTAGTTGCATCACTACCATGATGTCATCATAGCCTATCGAGCTTCGAGTCTCGCCCGTCGTGATCTCTCAAACGAGTGGGTGTATCGATTCGATTCATATGACTCTTCTTACTACGATTTGTCTACCCTAGACTCCAATTATTGCTGTTGTTCGTTTTGTAATGTACTATCACCCAATCAATACCTACAATCAGCAAATAGCTATGGTTTTTTTCCGCTTGGCAGTCGACGAACGAACAGAAGAAAAAACTTACTTTGTATTGTAGAATCTCATGCTAGATGCAGCGTAAGAGATATCACTTTTTGTTGCTGATTCACTTTCGCCTGAGGTCTACCCTGATACATTGAATATTGAACAGTGTTTCTGTACTCGTTTACACAACAATCATAGCCCTTTCCTCCACAATCGCAATAATGTCTGTGGCAGACGGACGAGATACCGCATGTTGTGACCAACATTTCTGGATGAAATTCCAGTCGTCGTCGATGATCACAGGTGCAGCCGGCCTGCGAGGCGTAATCCCTTGCGATATTTTACGAACTATAGCAAACGTATTGGCGATGTAGTGGTATGGGATCTTTCCCTCCAACACCTGAAGCTGTGGATGAGCACATTGGACAATAGTATGTTTATGACATCGAGTATTGGAGGGTGTGAATGCCAACACGCACACACCTGAAGCATGATCCCTCCAAAAGAGTATACATCGCTTGCCTGAGAGAACATGGATGACACGTCGCTGGTATCTGCCGTCACGTATTCGGGTGCCATCCATTGCAGGGTGCCTCCAGCAACGGTGGGTAATAAGGCTTGACTCATTCTCGCCGGAATGAGAGCTGATAAACCGAAATCGGTGAGGCGTGCTTTTCCATCGTCGTCGATAAGGACGTTGTACTAAAAGGTTTAAGTTGGGAAGTTACAAATTTGGTGAGGTGTACGCACGCCACTCAAGTCTCCATGGACAATCTGCTGCGAATGGACTACCAGATCCGTGTCAGCTATGCTTCATGTAAATTGCAAATATTGGACCAACGATATTCAAGGCCGCGAGCTACATCTCTAAGCTGAAGCGTCTTTAGTACTGTTGTTGTTACGAGGTAACGACTTCAGCGCACCAGTGCAAACTGTTGGCCACGAGAAAGTTCTTTGTGTCGATTCTGTAGATATTGGGTCAAGGTACCATTCTTCAGCCACGGCGAAACTAGGGCGGGGAGAACCCCGAATTGACGCGCAACTCCCCAGAGAGGTACAATATTTTCATGATTAAGTGTCGATGATATTTTGATCTCCCGAAAAAATCGCTGGTGAGTAACCGGTCAATAGAATGAGGATACAAGTGATTTCCACTGACATTGATCGATCTGGGTATCTCGTCTCCCGTCAGTCTAAACGCCTTGACTGCGACCTAAACGCCGTTGGAAAAGTGACAGTAACTGCGTGTTTGACACTCACATCAACGCATCTACGAGGGACCTGGTAATTGGAAACAGCTTGTTGTACGAGGACGGTCGTCGAGTCCAAGGTAAGCTGGCATCTGTGGACATCCGCATATCCTCCAGAGTTCGTGGGGTACTTATTGATCCGACCGATAGAATTTGTCAAGTCAACCGCACTATAGTCGGTAAGTACGGAAACAAGCGTGCACACAAGATGACCTACCCAATGCTTTGGATTAAGAGAAAGCAAAAGACATCCTCAATCGCCGGACGGGTCTCGCTTTCAACTGACAGACATTGTTGCCCAAAGGTCAAATACATTCCATTGATCTCCAAATTATCATGATGTTCCATGTGGAAGGGCCGTGCACCTTTGACTCTTTCTGGAAGAACTTCGCTAGCGTTGCGAATCCAGCAATAAGGTATCTTTCCTAACAACACCTAGGGAATGTCAGGTTATATGGGGGCTTAGGATAGTGCGAGAACACACCTGGATCATGAGACAGCCAAACGAATAAATATCTCCAGCCTTACTCGATCTTGAGGCTCCTGCATCTACAATAGTGAGGAGTTCGGGCGCAATGTACCTCAGTTCAAAGGTAGTTGCTAAACCAGATACAGGGGCTTGTCCTCGGGCAAAAATATTGGAGAGACGACCAAAATGAGCCAGGTAGACCCTGCCAGAGCCGTCGAGAAACACGTCATCCTGGGAATATCGTAAGCGCGTGATAATTGGCGTCGACACCATTTACACTTGTCAAAGAACCATGAGCGATGCCATTATCGTGCACTTGAAACCAGTCATAAGTCCATGGTTGACATTCAAGAATGCCACTAACAGTACTTCAGCGCAGACACCACTTGGTTCAACTGTCATCGAGCTCAGACACAATCATGCTACTCGAGTAATGGGCTTACAATGTCAGTTTTCCTGGTTTCTGACAAACGGGAGAACTCCTGTTGTAGATAGTCCGTCAGCGAGCCATTGGCTATCCATGGAAACATAAAGGCGGGAAGAGGTTCGAAGTAAGGGATCGTGCCATACAGGGGCAGGATATTATGATGTGACGACTCGGCCCAAGCAGCAGCCTCTTGAGTAATCATCTAGGCATAGTAAATCCCGTTGCATCCAGCACAACATGCCAAAACTCGATACTAACCTCAGTTATTTGTTTGACTTCATCTTTATTGCCCGTATGAGGAATCCTAACTGATTTGACCGCAACCTGAAACAAATGAATTATGGCTTTGTACACACAAGAATACACTGACTTCAGTTTCCTTCGAGTTTTTGCGCCAACTACATTTCCAGACATCGCCTAGACCCCCTGCCACAGTACCGCGATGCTCATATGCTGTGATCACCTGGTTAGGTAATTCTCGAAGGGTGTAGAACAAAGGCCAGTCGAGAACATCTGGAAACAACCCATCAATGAACGCTAGAGTCTCCTCCGCGGATGGGCGAGATTCGGGTGACCAACACCGCCGCATATAAGTGAGGTGATGTGCTTGAATTTGCGAGGTGTCATCAATTGGCTCTGTGCGTTTGAACTTCGCCGAAACAACATGTACAGCAGATTTCAACCACCGGTAGGGCACTTTCCCGTATAATACCTGCATCACCGTATCAGTAACACAGACAAGCGAGATCAGAAACTTACCTCAAGCATGATACACCCGAGAGCATATATATCACTGGATTTGGTGGCGCATTGCACGGTGTCTTCGGGTGGGTCCAAGAGCTCTGGAGCAACCCAACGAACTGCGCCATTATGGTAAGAGAATGCCGGGTTAGACTCTGCCATAGTATTCGAGAAATGGAAGTTCGCAAGGCGCGGGGATCCATCGGCAGCAACCAGGATATTATGCTACAATCATGATCAGAGGATCAGGGATACACAGAATAGTAAACTTACATTAGCTAGATCACCATGAATCACGTTGTTGTCGTGAACTGGCCAGCAGTACAACAATCAGTTACATCGGTTGCTTCCATTGGTCAATTTATTCCTGCTCACGATATTTGAGACCTTCCACGATTTGTTTAAACTGTTAAGAAAGCGATAAATTATGGTCACAGGCCTTGCAAACAAGCCCACCAGGGTAAGCTTGTCCATTTCCGTGAGATCAGCGCGATTTAAGTAGGAGTTCAAAGTCCCGTTTGGCATCCAGGGGGAGACGACAGCACGGAATAGACCGAAACCTTGTACAGTGCCATACAGGCATAATATATACCGGTGCTCTAACATGGCCCAGATGCTGAGTTCCCGGCCAATCCTCTGCATTCGAAAGACATGAAGTTCAAATACTTGGAAGTTTCAGAAGCTACCCAAACATACATGGTTGATCCTGGCGACTTCAGCGTCGCTTAGATGTGGAAACGATGAACATTTTACTGCAACCTGGAAAGTATAGATTGAGTACATTCACAGAAAAGGGGTCTGTATGAAGTACTTCTTCGAATTTCTGACTTGCGCCCCTGTCCAAGATACATCTGTAAATCTCTCCAAAAGTACTCGAAGCGATCGGGTAACGGCTATCCCTGATGACAGTGCTTGGGTCAATTTCGAAAGAAGCGTCAATTGCAACTGGTGGCTGAAGAGACATCTTCTGAACCTCAAGCTCGCTTGCGGAAGGTGGATCAACTGAACTTCCAACGGCAAACGGTTGGCCACGGCGCCCAATCTATTATTAATGGTGAGTTAATTCAACGAACATATATATAGAATAAGACTCGAAGTACAAGCTCAAGAAGAGTCCGCATACTGATACGAAAAACGCAGGACTGGTTGCAGCGTTGATGAGTTGTAGCTGGTTTGTAAGGTACGATGTGGACAATGGTGAATGTCCATCAGGCCCAATGAAAGGTATCTATCGGACCATCTGTGTGAGAACAAAGATAGGGCTCGGACAGCCTATCACTGAGCAGGTCGCACAAACAGACATACACAACCCCTGTCTTTGAGCGTCTAACCTTCCCCTCACACATCATAAATGCCAGAAACCACCGCAATCTACATACACGGACACCATGAATCCGTCCTACGCTCCCACAACTGGCGCACCGCACAAAACTCCGCATCCTACCTCCTGCCATGCATACAACCAAACATGCACATCCTCGACATAGGCTGCGGGCCGGGCACCATCACCCTCGATTTCGCCACCCTCGTCGGGCCCACAGGACACATCACAGGCATCGAGCCTTTCCCCGGCGACATCCTCACCCAAGCTCGCGAAACAGCCACATCGCGAGGGATCACGAATGTAGAGTTCAAAACCGGGGATATCTTTCAACTAGAAGAGCTGTTCAAAAATCGCAAATTTGATATCGTGCATGTGCATCAGGTGTTGCAGCATATCGATCGGGAGAGGGTATCGGAGGCTTTGATGCAGATGAAGGCTGTTACGAAGCCTGGGGGGATCGTTGCTGTTAGAGAGACGGATTTTGCGGCGACGACTTGGTTTCCTGCTTCTGCTGGGATGACGGAGTGGATGGATACGTATCAGCTTGTGGCGCGTGCTAATGGGGGAGAAACTGATGCGGGGAGGAGGTTGGTGAGTTGGGCGTTGGGGGCGGGGTTTGCGAGAGACAAGATCACGACTTCGGCTGGGACGTGGTGTTACAGTACCCCTGATGAGCGAGAGTGGTGGAGTCGGATGTGGGCTGATCGGACGCTTTCGTCGAATTTCAAGACGACGGCGCTCAAGAATGGGCTTGTAGACGAGGAGAAGCTGAATAGAATTGCAGATACATGGACGGAATGGGGTAAATCAGAGGATGGTTGGTTCGCGATCCTACACGGTGAAATCATCTGTCGCGTCGACTGATAGCAGGTAGTCGATATACATGGATTTGATTATTATTATCAGAAATATCGGAAAATGTAATGCAAACAAAGGATGCAGCAGATAAATGACAAGGTTCCACATACAAAAGAAATAGCAAGCGTAAGAAAGTGATCGCAAGAACGAAGATGATAGAAGATAACCACGTAGCTCGTGCCTGCACGAACTCTCAGTCTTAATCGTCCCCATCCAGTTTGACGACCTCTAGATAACTCTCCGGTACGAGGGCATGCGAACCAGTGTCCCCTTTCACAACCACAGCCCATCCAACTCCACCGCCTCGTCCGACCACACGGACGATCTGGTCTTCATCAAGCTTCATCTCCGCAGTTCCTTCTGGCTCGAAGGAATACAGTGCACGGTAAAGGCCAGGGCTTAACATGGGCTCTCCCTCCATCTCCTCATCTTCGTCTTGATTCTCAGGAAACTCATCTGGCTCCTCATACACCTCACTCTCATCATCACCACTACCATCTCCAAAGTTACGGGCAAAGTCAGTTCTCGAAGGAAAGTCCTCGGAAGAGGAGGAATGCGAGCCAAGACCCCAACCAGATTGCAATTTCTGAAACCCCCACTTGAAACCTCCCCAACCATTGTTATCACTCTCATCTTCCCACTGCTCGTCTTCCTCTTCTGTCGATGACGTGGAAATCAAAGAGGACGTCGACGAGGACGACCCGCGCAAACGGCGAGCAAGGACTTTGGGACGATTTGCACGGGGTACATTCGATCCTTCACCAGAAAATCGCGGATCTGAAGGTGCAAATGCAAAGTCGCGGATTTTAATGAGGATTCTAGTCTCGGTGGGTGCTATATCTGGTTCTTTGCCTTTGATCTCTGTCACTGCTGACATGCCGAGGATATCTTTGGTACGACGTCCACTGGGTGTGCGAGAGAGTGCTGCATTGGGGGAGAGTGCTGCGGATATGGGGCGTTGTATGCGAGAATTGGCATCTGAGACTGGGCGAGAACGAGATTTTGAGGAGGTACGGGATAGGCCTGATGCACGACGGGAGATTGCTGGTGATGGTGGTGCGGGACGGGAGGAGGTAAGAGAAGTGACGGAATGGGTGCTTAGACGGTGGCTGTGGTCTTCTGTATCGTGGGAGTCGAACAATCGAGGAGGAGGATCTAGAAAAGATGTACTTGGAGATTCTGTTGTTGGAGTTGATTCCTGGAAGGGTAGTAGGTGGAAGAGAGAACGAGGAACGTTCAGCATGGAAATGATAAAGCGCGGAAGGAAGGAGCGGAAGAAAGCCAGAGACGCTCGTTGGGGACTTACCGCGCCGTTTGGTGTGGCCTCGCCACTGTTAAGGCCATTGGCAGCGGTAGTAACGTCTTCAAAATCTTTCTTTGATGACTTCCTACGAGCGAATTCATGTGGTCCAGGTGTGGGAGGTGGTAGAAATGAAGAACCTGGTGACGGAAATGGAGGGGAAGAACGTAGAGCAGCTTGATCTAAACAATTATTTAGCCCCCTTGTCGTCGTCGTCGTCATCGTTCACATACCTTTTTGCATACTATTCGTTTGGACGGTCGTGGTTTAGTCGTGGCAGTATACTTATATAAGTACCTCGTCAATTTCGCTTGTCCTTTCCTTTTAGACAAAAGACCGGCTTTGTCTGTTACGTCTGCTCGAAAGAAAGGCAAAAAATACAAAAAAAAGAAAGAAAAGTCAAAATGACTTTATGAAAGAGTAACTCTCCAAGGACACACCCAACGTGCATTCATCTCCTTGACAACTAAAGGTAACTTATTTGTCCATATTTACTACTACCGCCATCCACTCATACTACTACACCGACGCAACGATGCCCGACGCTCAATTCCAGCAGCTCGCTTCAACTCAGTCGACACCGTGCTCCTACTAGGATCATGCTTCATACAAGGCGTAGGTGATCCGCTATCATTCCGACAATGAACTCGGAACTGCATCACCGCAGTGTTGGGCAGTGCACGTGCTAAGAACGACACAGGCGATAGCGACCTAGAGTGGTGTGGGCACGGGAAAAATACGTCATGTCTCTTCTTGGGCCGCACAACCGCTTTCGGCCGAACTTGGCTGGATCCCTCTTCCCCAGACGAGGATTCGGATAACCTGAAGCCTTCGCTGAGCCTTCCGAGCCCGTCGAATGCCCCACCTCCCCCTTTCTCTAGACCTTCGAAACCGAGGCCCACTAGTCCTGATCGACCGCCAGAAAAGATGTTGGGCGTACTGAGCGTAACAGAATCATCTGAGCTGCTACTGCTACTGAGTGGAGGCGGGGGTGGCGTGGTCGCAGGTGTGTTATTTGGAACGGCGAGGAATGATGCAGACTCGCTATAGGGTGGAGGGAGGAAGGCGTGGACGTCGGGTCTAGGCGCTTTGGGAATGTGTCCGTAGTAAGGTTTAGGAAGCAAAGGTATGTGTGTGTTGGATGTGCGCAGGCGAGGTGTAGCTTTCGGCCCAGGCCTACGAGCCTTTCCAGCTGACAGGATATCTTCTTCGATAAGAGCATTTGGTGGAGCCAAGAGGGAACCCGATGTAGAGCCGGGGCGGTTCTGGGCGTACATGGTCGATGGGTAGTGAAACTGAGGTAGAAGGAGAACGGTGACAAAGGCTTTAAGTGCGGCGATAGAAGATCGAGGAAAGAACATAAGATGCAGGATCTAGAAGATGTGGTGTCAAGATCAGAAGCCCAGGTCTTTTGTATTGCCACGAGTGCATGGCTGACGGGGTGGGCTGACCAGTCAAATGATACAAGGCTGACATGGTCGGCGGTCCAGACTCTTGGGGCTGACTAGGAGGTGTTTAGATCACGTGAGCAAGAACGGCCCTCGAGATTAGAATGTCTGATTCGGACGCACTGGTCGACCGGTCTGCAAGCAACATGCCATAGTTGCTATACTCGTTCAAAATCGCAAATGCAACAACCGATGCGCGTTACGTGCTCGTCATACACACTAACAGTAAACTCTACAGCTGAATATTGAATCATTGCTTTTCCTGTTTCATCACGTGCGTCGACGCGTCAGTGCCCGCCTCTATCGTCTACTTTTCCCATCCGACTTCAACTTATTCAAGCGCTACCTTGTCGTGTCCACAGCGTACCTACGCTTCATGATGCTGTCAATGCCCCGATACGTCTGTGTCACTTTCTGTCATTTGGCTTTCTGTCCGAGATCTTCCCCTTCGTCAAGACAATAAAATTATGTTCAACTACGATAATAACATAATGCTGTTCTAAATCTCTCCCAGATTTTCATGACATAACTTACTCCCCCAGGCTGCATGCTGTCCCGACGAGCATTGATGATGTTGTGACCCGTCATGCCCCTCCGCTCCAGCATTGAAGCATACCGTAGAGCCAGTTCTCGAATTATCATTATTGAAAATGAGAATGAACAGCGATCATTTGGCGGGCGCAACTACAAAACACAAAACCGAACGCGATATGATACGTTAGATCCGAATAACGAGTGTTGAAACTCGATACCGTCTGCAGCGTTCAGCAGTTGAGACTGGAGTGTCGTGTCTAGTACATATCATGGGGAAGAGCATCGGAAATAAGGAAACATCACAGTCTGCACTGCTTAGCGCTCAGGAGTTGAAGCTGGCGTACTTGGTGTCGTACATAACACGAGCGCATAGCACGCATCGAAAAACAGGAAACTTGGCTCGAGCATCTTCTACTTCTTTGCTGTCAAGTCCTTCGCTGCAGGCTGTCAGTAAGCTCCGACTTTCAGGTTCACAACAAGGCGAGGGACGTACACAAGCGATTTTCAATGATGAACTCAAGAATCTTCTTCTCTAGTTCCTCTGCGTCGTAGCCTTGACGAGAAATCTCTTCCGCTCCTTTCTCCACTACGACAGCTGTCGGAGATTTCAGGTAGTATTCCATGGCAGACTCGATGCACTTCAAGTCATCCAAGTCGTCCGCGAGAAAGGCGGAATACTCGAGGACGATGACAGTAGCTGCTTCCAGTGACTAAGATTACGACTGGTCAGGCAGTGAGAAACTAACCGATGCCAGTCTGAACAATTCTGTTCGCAGCAGAAGTGAACATTGATCCCTTCACAGCCTCATCAGTAAAACCACCGATTCCTTTTCTAGCCTTATGTTCCTTAATGTGCTTTCAAATTTCGTCGCGACGAGTCTAAATCAGCTTACTCCTTGCTTTTTGTACTTTGTTTCCTTACTACTGAAAGCAAAACAAGACGAACAAGTGAAAATTGAGTGACAATGAAATTAAGAATAATAAGGAGTACAGTGTAGATATATTTTAAGAGGCTATGATGCAATTTCAAAAGAGTGATGGTCGGCGTATTTGTTGATGTAGAATCTGCGGAACAAATCATATGTCTGATAATGCTGGAGGTTGGGGGGAATGAATCGACTGCCGTAGACGGGAATAAGGTGAGCAGCGCGGTATATCGAGTCAACATGGATGATGGCAATATGGGGAGCGTTGTTGGCATGGTGAGCGGGCTGCACCATCCACATACCGGTGTCGTCGTCAGGCAACTCTCCGAGAGTGTCGAACCACCGCACAACTGCACATGGATATGTTTCAGCCCTGTAAGTGAAAGAGAAAAATGTCAGTACTCGGGCAACATCCATCCCCCTCATTCCCTCAAGGTCTGGATTTGTATTGACGAAGATGCAGTCATAGCGCGGGTGCTCCTTTCTCCATGCTGGACATGCACGGATGTGCTCGCGGCGCATGCCGCCAATGCCACTGAGATCGCTGGGGGCAAAAAACCTCGAACACGCCGAATTAAAGACACTGATTCGTTCGTCGTATTGTGGACAATCCGCGGGAGGAATTTGCAATGGATCACGAGGGTCGTTCGGATTGAGTTGCGCAAAAAGGAAGCGGGACAACATGTTCGGGAGCTGGGGAATTGACAACTCCAACGCTAATGCAGACACCGTGCGGGCGCGGTTACGTTCTAGTGCACAGTGTGACATTAGTTAGCAAAGATAAACAAGGATTACAACGAGAGGACTTACGAGGAGTCTTCGCCAATTCCACATGTGCTTGGATAACGGTTGGGCCAGTGTCTATTTCAACATCCCCAACATCCTCGTCTTCCCGCACATTCACCTCAGGCTCAGTGTCCTCTCGCAAAGGATTTCCAGGCTCATCGTTTGCAATTCGGATCTGTTCTGTTGTAGAGTTAGTTGTAGCACATCGAATGTAGTATTGTTAAACTCACCTAATGCGTTGATAGCTGCCGAAAGACATGTCCCGTCGAGCATCCCGCGGGTTGTGAAGTCAGGCTAACCAACCAAGACTGTGACCCGCAGGTTCTCTCACGCCTCCTCTTGAAGGATTACGCCTTCCTCTTCGCAGACATGGACCTACGTGATCCCCTTGGAGTGTACCATTCCGCCTTCATGCTTCAACTCTTCGGAAAGGCGCACCTTGCCTCCATCGGTGGCCACGCCAACATCCCCGCACTAAAGACTCACACCTTAGCAACAAGTGGAATGGTAGGCGCCTTCTCACTTTGTGCCGCAGCTGTAAGACTTCAGTTTTTCTGCCGTGAATGACTGTTGACTTCGGCCTCTGCAGCTCGAGCGCGCTGTTGAAATGATCGCCGTGGGTGATATCAAGGCCGAGGATATTTTAGCTGCAACTTCATCCACCAAGATCAGTGTTAAGCTGCCGAAAGTCCTCAACAAGGCCACTGGAAAGGAGACCAGCATCCCCTTTCTGTTCTCGCGCGATAGGTGTGCCAAGAAGACGAAGAACTACGCCAGGTCCATCAAGAAGAAGGGAGCGGCCTTCGTAACATCTTTGACGGAGATCGCACGTTCAGCATGGAAGGAAAATGTCTGGCCCGCGGACTCAACTGTCACAGATGACGAGTCTGATGACGAACGTGCCTTGCTGTGTATCTATGTGCTAACTATTTTCCTTTGTATTTTTACTGAATTTTACTTGCTTTTGGCAGAATTTGACGGCACCACGTCCACGCGCTGCTACTCCTGCTGGTAACCATTTTACTATACTCCTTTTCTCTGCTCTGAACCCCGTCCAGATTTCGCCTCGAGCGTCTTCAAGGCCGTCTTCGTCACTCTCGTGCACTGCTTCAAGTTTGCTCTTTGCTGTCATCATTTGTGTCTTGCCACTCGTTTTTTAGCCTCATCGTTTTGCGTTATTTCAGTACCTCCGCCCGCTCGCTAACTGCTTTTTACTACACTATATTTCCGCATGTTGACCCCTTAATTTCCACATTTTTCACCCAAATGGTCCACTTTCTTTTGCTTTTCCGCTACTTTCAGCGCGCTTGTCATTAAATGAAAATTTGCTTTGCATACTGAAAAGGAAGACAAGTGAAAAGAAAGTAGAATTCCAGACAATGAGTGGCCTTTTTCAAATGGCTATCTACTTATTTTCACTCTTGCTTTTTTGTGCTTTTTGGACGAGAAAAGTTGAATATAAGTAAGGTAAGGAACCGGGCGTTTTACTGATGCTGTTGCATACTCTTAGTGCTGAGAATCAATGGGAGGGAAAACCAACCTACCAAAGGCTGGAGGACGCGGATAATGTCACTTCGCCTGATTTTGGCCTAGCCACAGGTTGGAAGTGTGAGCATCAAAATCAACTGCACAGAACGAAGTACTTGCCTTCTGCAGGAAAGGAATGTCAGAATAAGGTGGCAAATTGACATTTAATTAATAACAGAGACGCACCTTCTATATGTTTGACGTGATAATTGTGAATAATTAACCACCAGATTGTAGACAATGACTGCTGTGTTCGAGTAACTTACAAACTGTCAGGGGTTGGAACCAGATGAGTATCACTATACAATGGTAAAGATTCGCCATCTATGGACGTACAAGCTAAATAAGATTGTTTGTCAGTGGAGTACTATCATCAGATAGGCCGCGATCAACATACATTCTGCGAACACATGATAAATAAAAGGAATTACGTTGCTGGAATCCTTAACGATTGAAACATACTCACATCCTAGAGAGCGGAAGACCCAGTCAAAATGATTGACACATCCAATGCTTCGCATGATCAGGGTCAAATGACTCACATTCTGCACAGGGCAAGAAAATATGGAAGATGAGCGAACATGGAAAATAAGTTATCGAGGGATACTCAACGAACTACACATTATATGAGCAATGATGATCTGACTCGTGTGATGAAATAGAACATGCTTACATCGGCCTATGAAATTGAGTATACTATTCAGTATCATTTCAATACAAGATAGAATCAAGACACCTACCACCTGCCAAAGAAATCAGCAAAATGTGAGAACTGTCTGCATGGATTGCAGACAGGAAATCATCAAGGCACTTACCTCCTATCGACAGATGAGCAGCAATGATGGTCAGCATGGGCTGAGGATGACAAACAATGAAAGATACATACTCTCTGTCGACAGGTGGGGGGGCAACAAGACATTAGGATCATAAGGTTAAGAAACAATCAAGGGACTTACCCGCTGTCAACAGATGAGTAGCAGCGAGAGATGGGGATCATGAGCATGGGGCAAGGATCAGAAACAATCAAGGCACTCACAAACTGTCAGCAGGTGAGCAGCAGCGGGAGATGAGGATCATGAGCACAGGTCGAGGACTAGAGAAAATGAAGGCACTGACCCCCTATCAACAGGGGAGCAGTAGCGAGGGATGGGGATGATGAGCACGGGTCGACGATCAGAACCAATCAAGGCACTTACCACCTATCAACAGGCGAGCAGCAGCGAGGGATAGGGATGATGAACACGGGTCGAGGATCAGAAACAATCAAGGCACTCACATACTGTCAACAGGCGAGTAGAAGCAAGGAACGAAGATCATGAGTACGGTGGGAGGATAAGAACAATCAAGGCACTTACTTCCTGTCAACCGGCGAGCAGCAGCGAGAGATGGGATCATGAGCACAGTGGGAGAATTAGGAACAATCAAGGTACTGACATTCTGTCAACATGCGAGCAGTAGCGAGAGATGGGGATCATGAGCACGGGTCGAGGACTAGAAACAATCAAGGCACTTACAGTCTGTCAACAGGCGAGCAGCAGCGAGGGATGGGAATCATGAGCACGGTGGGAGTATTAGGGACAATCAAGACACTTACCGCCTGTCAACAGGCGAGCAGCAGCAAGGGATGCGGATCATGAGCAAGGGTCCAGAAATATAAACAATCGAAGCATTCACATACTGTCGACAGGCGAGCAGCAGCGAGGGATGCGGATCATGAGCACGGGTCGAGGAGTACTAAAAATCAAAAAAGGCACTTACTTCCTGTCAACAGGCAAGCAGCAGCGAAGGATGGGGATCATGAGCATGGGTTGAGGACTAGAAACAATCAAGGCACTTACTCGCTGTAAACAGGCGAGCAGCAGCGAGAGATGGGGATAATGAGCACGGGTCAAGGACTAAAAACAATCAAGGCACTTACCCCCTGTCAAAAGGCGAGCAGCAACGATGGATGTGGATCATGAGCACGGGTAGAGGACTAGAAACAATCAGGGCACTTACTCGCTGTCAACAGGAGAGTAGACGCGAGAGATGGGGATAATGAGCACGGGTCGGGGACTAGAAACAATCAAGGTACTTACTTGCTGTTAACAGGCGAGCAGCAGCGATGGATGGGAATCATGAGCCCGGGTCGAGGACTAGAAACAATCAAGGCACTTACCCACTGTCAACAGGCGAGCAGCAGCCAGAGATGAGGATCATGAGCCTGGGTCGATGACTAGAAACAATCAAGGCACTTACAAACTGTCAACAGGTGAGCAGCAGCGAGGGACGCGGATAATGAGCACGGGTCGAGGACTAGAAAAAATCAAGGCACTTACAGACTGTCCACATGCAAGCAGCCACAGGGCATTAGCATTGTCTATACTGTTCGATTTTCGTGAACCACAAACATACCAGCTGTGATCAATGGGCAACTACAATCAAGAATATATATATTAGAATGTCTGCAGTTTCAGCACTTCAGTGTTTACCATTTATGAGCACCATTACCGGGGTATTGTCAGATTGAATGAATCTTCGTCTTACTTGGAGATGTGCAAACCACTTAGCAATGGCATACTGATTGACTTCATAATCGACCCGACGTAGCCCAGATTGCTTATGTGCACGACCAACGAGGGTTCTAAACGATGTTGGAATGAAAAAAACAATGTGTGACTTGAAAATCTGAGACTCACGCGACAGCACACTTGATACAAAGGTCCAGATTTGATTGTTGTGTCGACACCAAGCACAACCGTAATTCTTCGCTGTCCAATGCGAAAGTGGTGCGTTCCAGTAGAACGTTACAGTTTGTATCCGGCTTGTTCATATCTAGGACGGTCACTAATATCAACTTCGATATGGAACAACTCAATCTAAACCACTTACTCTCCAAGCGTACATGAAACTTAGGACGTGTACGGTTTCCAGGGTCGCACAACCGATCACAAACAGCCGTCTTAGTGAATAGTTCTTCGACGCGTTGGGCTATCCTTTTTGACCGTTCTTCTCTAGATACACCCTGTATCTCGTTCTTAATTTCTCCATACGCGACTGGACGTAGAGCTTCAAACTTGGTGAACACCGCAATCACGGGAACTGATTGAACATTAGTCCGAACACGACAACTGACAACGAAGTTGCAAGCTCACCGTGCCCAGTGTCACACTCAAAGAAGAACTTTTCCTCTGACCGCTGGAATGTCCGACAGGATTCGTCCATCGGAATACAATACCTGATGACAATCAACAAGCGCAGAACGTCAGAGGGGAGTTACTTGCCAGATAGCATGCAGTCCCTCCTCCAGTTTCGTTGCGTGTACACGCTCTGAGACAAATCTCTTCATGCTCTCGAATTCTTCTTCGGATCCCGCTTCGAAACCACACGAGTCGTGGAAGACGAAACTGGGATTACTCTTGAAGACCATCTCATTCGTGATGTCGTGATTTCCACGCTGAGCATCCGTCAGCGCATGTATGCCCATAAGGCAGATGATGCACGCACCTTGATCGAGGCTTTCACGACGTCAGCATCGATCTACCCACAATTGATCAGCGATAGACGCGCGCATGGTATAGATCCCCGCACCTTGTTTCCTTTGGCATCGTAAATGTCTGGTTGATCTGTGGTGTTGCAGACCTTCTGAAGAATGGTTGTTTTGCCTGCGTTTGCTCTTCCTATGATCAGGACTCGAAATCGCCCAATTCTTTCTCTGAGCTCCTCGGCATCGATGGTCGCCATTGGGAGATCTTGATGTGCATCCTGAAGTAGAGGCGATTTTGTTTATCGTGAAAGCTGTACTGTGGTACAGAAAGATATCGTGGTAAGATATGATAGCGAACGAATACCTCCTGTATGTGGCTTCGACACAACAGCTACACACGGCGTCTATCCTATCTATCTCCCTGCGTCAAGCAACTGATTATACCCTCGCACAGACAAGAAGTTGCAACAGTTCAATTGTTCGTACGACACAGGACAAGTTTTATACAACAAACGACGAATGATGTGAACGTTGATAGAAATATGAACTATAATGAATCATCAGAATACGACGGAAATGACAGAATTTCGCTCTTCCTTACCTTTCTAGGTGAAAGACAGTAATGTCGAAAATATCTGTAGACTTGGTCTTTCAGATGATTGATCCTTGAGACATCTGAGAGCAAAGAAGAGCATGTCGGGATGTGACACATCCTCTGGAATGGGTAACATCCTGTGGTGCTCGACAGGTCTGTGCGTTTGGAGTTCCCCTAAGGGGCGGCGGAGCAGTATGTGCCATGCGTATCGGGTGAACTCGAACGTTGACCACACTGGTTAATACCGAAGGAAAGGCTGGCTGCAGAACTTATATATCCATAGACAGCTTGGGGCAGGTTTGGTACGCGTCCGCGGACGAGTCCGACTGTCCATATGAATTGGCGCATATATTGTCAAGTATAAAAGAAGACGTACCGGCTAACAAACACGTAAATTCGGAGGGCTGGCGTGCATCTTGCTGGATTACGACAAATTCCACCCCGAGAATCCTTGGATACTGACTCATGAGGAGAATGGACAAACTTCTCGTAGCCTCAGAGTTGCAGTGGCATTCAATTCTGTGCGCCATCGTGTGGCTGGGCTCTCGTTCAACTCTTCCCGCCCTGGTGCCTACTGTGTTGAGGGATACCGTTAAGTCTGGCTCCTTTTCGGTTCATAGGAAGCTCCCTGGTGTGTTTCGACGGTATTGAGATCACATAACCCCAATCGTCATGATGTAGGTGATGGAATATATTACATGACTCTGCGCCTGGAACATACAAAATAGCATGCTTTGGCAAGAATACAGTGAGTATGACGAGGACTTGCGATGCGAGCCAAGACTCACTAGTTTGAAAAGATATACGTGACTGTATCCCTTGGATCCAGCCATTTTGAAAAACGTCGACAGGATTGAGGGACATAGCGTTGGATGCTGGGTGCATGGTATGGGCGAAACCAAAATCGTTATAGTGGTCGATCAACCGGGCGAAGCAATTATTGTATCCATAGGATGTGATAGCCTCCTGCAGGCAGTAGATACTACTAGACACTGGACAGTGACTTCACTGCAGCGTTTGTAAAGGGAAATGAGTCCGTGCTGAGATAAGCAACATCGCTAAGGGCAGCAAGTTCAAATTTAACCCTCCAGGTTCCAGATTACATGGGCACCTTTGATGCACTGTACTAGAAAAATGCATCTCCAGAACGTTCCAAGATATATCATAGTTACATATATGTTGACTAAAATCTGCATAAATCCGCTATCGATCATCACATCATCATTTTTGACTTTGTCTAGGAAAGAACAGTTCTGAATTTCGTACTCCGAGCTAGTGATAGGTAAAAGACACCCACTCATCACTCAAGGTCAGATTCGATGGGAAAGTAGAGCAAAGCTAATGGTTCAACTAGACGGATTGCAAGTGCCATGTCAGAATTAAGTTTCGCAATGTCGAGTACGGCGTGAAAGTCAGGATCTTCCTGAGGACAGTAACTGTTAAGAACGTGCTCAAGGGTCAGATCCAAAGGGCTTGGCTTCAGCTCGTGCGCTGCGCCCCTTACCCGAGTACGTGCCCCTCACTTCCGAGGCTGTCGAACAATGTCCGAAGGTTACCGGACAATGTCCGGAGGGCATTGGGCGATGTCCGGAGTCTGATGTCCGATGCGCGGGAATTCCGGCAGACGTTCGGGAACAAGAGATAAGACTAATCCGGACGAAGTCCGAACTAGAAAGGAAACAGCGGAGGACTACCAGAGGTAGAGGCGGAGGTGACAAGTCTATAGGAGTCAATCCTAAGACGAGCAGAGGTCGACGAGAGAGAAACTCAAGTCGGACGGAGGAGGTAATGAGCAGAGTCTAAGATGATATTCGAACTGAGGAAACTACAGAGACTGTACAGGGTTTATATACTACTGAGGACATAATGGAGAACAGTAAGTGCAGTGCGAGGCTATGTAAAGCTATGGAGAAAACATATGGGACGACTATCACTAGTCTATCGGAACTTAGTAAAATGAAGACGGAAATGAATAAGGGACGGAAAATAAAGCGTACTAACTGATAAGGGAAATACCAAAGGGATAAGGCACGGAAGTTAGACACGGGTCGGATCTGGACGATACATAGAAGTCGGCCGGATCCGGAAATCCGGAAATAATGAGTGTGATAGGTCCGGACCCGGAACACAGGATATGACAGTAACACTGTTCAAGATGAGCAAGAACTGACTCCACGAATTAAGCTTGCCACATCAGCAGTAGGGCGCCCACTGTTAAATCCCAACATAGCTCTCTGGAAAGCCAAATTTCCCTCACTTCAATGAGAATTCTCCATGTGAGACTGAAGGCCAGTATCTTGCAGGCAACGATGATATATTCAGCCGCGCGCACAACTAGAAAATCATTCCGCGCTTCAACCTCAGAGGATATCTTTTTGATACATCTAATTATTGTCAGCTATATATGAATTGGGAAAGCATGTGAAGAAGCTATACCTTTGCGCAGCAGCTGGGTTTTGTTTTAACAGGCAGGCAACAATCAATTTGTGTCATCCTTGAGTCTCAAGGCGGTGTTCTCTGAATCACTAATGGCTGGCAATGGTATACTACTTACGACTGCATCCCAAGAAGTCAGAGTTATGCGCGAACCCTGCATCATGGTAGCAATGTACCTTAACTTCAAATTCAGTAGCGGAGGTTATGTATCAACTTCGATACCCAGCTTACCGTTCTATTGCCGTGGTATGTGTTGTGCCATGCATCGTGGTTAGTGATGTGCGGGCCCGGCTCGGCCTGAAAGCCCCGGCTTGGGCTCGGCTTTTGGGGGCTTGGGCTTTGCAAAACCTCAGGCCGAGCCGTGGGCCAAAGCCAGGCCAAAGCCATGGCTCGGCTTGGGCTCAACAACGGCTTTCAAAAACAAAATGACTCAAAATTCAATATAAGTAGCGCTCGAGTCCTACAGTACTTCATTGTCGTCCGCTGAATCAACATCAGACTCTTCCTCCTCCAAAATCAGTGTATCCCACCCCTCATCATCTGCTGGCTCGACTTCTAACCTGTCAGTCCCATGTTCGGAATCTTCACTTTCTTCTGTAAGGGATGAGGGACCAGGCTCCCAGAATATAAGTTTGTTACGAAGAGAACACTTTACGCATTGTAGAGCCTCGACGATGTCTCCTTTCAGCCGATTACGCCGCTTGGTGATCGTAATGCCTCCTTGTGAGAAAGCTCGCTTGCTCGAGACAGATGCTGCCATAATGGATAAGTAATCCCTTGCCAGCAAAGCCCACACTGGATACCTTAGGGCATTGATCTTAAAACAATAGTCAGCATCGAGTGAGTAGCGAGTGAAAGTGATTTACACCCCACCACTGAATAGTGGTCATACCTGCTGAGGGAGCGGCCTCAATGGTTTCGATATAGCTTGTGAACTCAGCCCTCCATGGTTTCGATGGATCTCCGATGGACGCGGCACCTGGTTCTGCCTCGGAGTCGTCTTCGGAGTCACTCTGAACTTCCCAAATGAGTTTCTTGAGGCCGCCAACCTTACTTTTCGTAGTTGCAGGCTGCGACAATGCAAGTGACTGATTGAGCTTGTTGTAGCGTTGTTCGAAGACGTTCTCGGCACAAGCAATCACATCATCGAGCAAATTCAATGGCCAGTGCTTTTTGAAGTATGCGAGTTTGGCTGTCGGATCAAGTACTAGTATGGTAGAGTATGTTAGAGTCAGAATGATTGGAATAGAAAATGACGAACACATGGCAATAACATAGGCAGCAGTGTCTGTAGTTTTCTCATAATATTCGTCTAGCTTCTCTGCTGCCGCCTTGAGTGCGCCGGCAAACCAAATATACTTGGGCCTTTCCACTCGTGAAGACCATGATTTGTGAGGCATCTCCTGTGCAGGAATTGCAAGATGGAGAGTTGATCCTCGATCGGACAAGAAAGCTTGCTGTGCCACGTCGGCATATGAAAGAAGGTCCGTGAACTGGCCAACCCGTGTCCACTCCCACCTGGGTGACACCATTCATTTTACTAATTAGTAATAATACTGCGTACCTGTACTTGTTACTAATTCGTAAGGAATATCTATCTACCACGCTACCAGCAATAATACCAGCACTCAGCAGTCACTTGGGCGATTTCTACCCCATAGTCGTTTGCTATAACGGGAAGACTCTATCGGGTAAGTCCGAGCTTGTCGTCACTGCCTCGGCTGATCCCTAACCCGCCTAAAATAGGCTTTGGGCGCTGTCAATTCATTTCTCGTAAGCTTTTGCTCGTCGTCCATGACAATGAGCTCATTCCTTTGCCTCTCCTACCTTTAATTTTCATCCATTTTTCAGCAGGATCTGTGTAGCGCGTAGTCACTGGCCTACTTAGTGTATTCAACACCTATCCTACGCTGTTGGACCGGTCACCATCGTGCTACTCAACAACACCTACAGTGAGCTCATTCTTTCCCTTCTCCTACCCTTAATTTTTATCCGTTTTTCAGCGGGACTCGTGCAGTGCGTATCTACTGGCCTACCCAATGTATCCGGCACCTCTCCTACGCTGTTGAACCGGTCGTCATCGTGCTACTTCACAATACCCATGGTGAGCTCAATTTCCAGCGTCTCCTGCCCTCATTTTTGGTCTGATCTTAGGTGGTCCTTTTGCATCATGTAGGGAATACCCTATTGGGCGCATCCGCTTGTCCCATTGTCGAGCCCATTGTCGACGCGCCGTCTTATTGGTCGAAAGATGGACGACTTGGAATTAAAGCGTGACATGAAACACTTTCCCTTCAACATTGTTGACAAGGGCGGTCAACCCGCTATTTTGATAGGTTACAAGGGCGACACACACCAATTTGTGAGTTATCAAGATCCCTATGAGTGCGCCGCACTCAGTCTTCGTAGCAAGTTCCTTTCCTAACCTCTGTTGCCCTCGTTACTCATTTGTGACTCACCTGTTTCAGACATTTCTTTCGCGGTTGAAGAACTTCTCATCACTATAGTCAACGAGGTATGTACAATGTTCTCTAGACTCTAGCACTATGTTGACCTAGACCGCCGCTAAGGTGGTGCCAGAAGTCCTCGGGGTTCCCCGGGACATTATGTTTGTTTATCGACACCATTGCTGATGGGCTATAGCTCCCATGCTCAAGCTTCAGCATTATCAACATGGGTCGCAAGCGTTCTAAGCTCTCGACTGTAGGCAAAGTCAAGGAGGCCATCGTGCAATCCACTGGCGATCTTAGAACTCTGCGCTCCAACCTTACGAAATTGCGAGCTGATCGCATAGCGTTTGAGAGGGAGCAGGTCCAGAGTCAGCTAGGTTGGTCTTTTCTATTCTCTAACTATTTTATTATTTTGCTGACCCATCAGACAGAAGCCAACATTACTGCAAGGCAGCTCCTTGCTGAGGCTGCACTCGAGGTGGGCACCGCAAATGATGCGAGCACTGATGCTCAGTATCCGGACCACCCTGACATCGACTTTGATATGGGTGAAGACGAAGACTATGTAGACGAGGAGGATGGGCTACAGGAGGAGGAAGATGAGAGTGTATCAGGAGGAAATAACATGGGTGGATACGAAGGCTCAGCGGTTGATGTTGCACGAGCTCGCATTGTATATTCGTGAGCTTTCTTTTTTTTCGTGGTTTTTATGAATAACGGTTTGTGTAGTTTACAAGGTAGATATCGCCACCGCCGGCCACTGCGCAGTCGACTCCAGCGCAACCGTCATTGTCACAGTGCATGGATGTCTCAAATGCCAGCCCTCGTTGCAGGCTACTTGCGCTGGAAGCACCATGCAGCCACACCGACACCGACACCCAATGTTGAAGTTGGAACATTCATGTTCCACGTCAGCACAGTTGATATTCTAGGTACATTTTTTTTCATGCCTAACATCACAGTGCCACTCATAAATTTCAGCGTCCGTGTCTTCAATATCAGTCCTGCAAGCTGCTGATGAATTGGCGAACGTGTCACTCATTAATATGGGACTTCTTGGGTGTTCCCCCATTCAGCCTAAAATAGCTGTTTCGCTTCAATGCCTCGAGTTATATCATCAAATCCGTCGACGCAAACCATCTTTTAGTGTACAGGCGATGGTCAAAGTACTCTGTGCCCTTCATAATGTATGTTTTTTGTAACGTGTACCTAAGTTTATTGTGTTTCTAATATTACATTCTAGCGCTCGTATTTTCAAGCGCTGCGGGATCAATTTGCAATAGCTTTCGATGCCTATCTCAATATTTTACGGCGGGTTCGAGAATTAGCTAACACTGCATTGAAGCGTGATACTCCTCACTGGCGCATGCTTCACTCGTGCCCTGCATGTAATTACAAGGTACATTTATTATCATTATCATTATTATATGATGCGAACTATGCTACAGCAAGAGAATGAGCCAACATTGATCCCTGCGAGGATGGACAGTATGGACGGCAATAACTCGTTGAAATGGGTCGATGGCTCTGGACACGCTGATGAGCGCATCTTCGAATCATCATATTTGATACCTCCCGATGAAGTTGATGTGTTTAAGGACGATGTGCGACTCCGGCCAGGAACATGAGCGGTTGTTACTAACACAGCAGGAGGCATCAGTCCGGCTGATGTTTCAGAGTCTACATGCACTGACAATTGGAAGACTGCAAACATGATTTCTGACAACACTGTCAAAGTTTTCGAGCAAACAGGTATTTTCATCAGTGCCTGTCGACACGGCATAATCCAGACCTTGGTTGAGATGCGGCGAAGTGGGGAACTGTGAGCCTTCTTCAGCCCTCATTTGTAATCTGATGTCAACAATTTTATAGTGCTAAATATGCTCTCGCAACAACCAATAAAGTTCTCGATGTTTACGGTCTGAATGGAGTAACTGGATACGATATCGGATGTTCCTATCAGAAAACTGTTGATGCCAGTTCTATCTCCATCAAGGCGCACTCCAATCATCATCGCTTCATTGTCAACTCATTTCACGGACATGCCCACAACCGCCGTTGTCAGCTTCGGTTCCATCCTTTATATCAACATGGCCTTGGCCTCGAGGACCTCGAAACGTGCGAGCGCATATTCTCTGCATCAAATGCCGTAGCTCCCATTATCCGCCACGCATCTTATTTTCACTGGCTTCAGTTCATCGACCTTCACTTTCAGCAGTGGGATTCTGATAGGTACCTGGAACTAAGTATGGTATTATTTAAGGTTCTTGAATTAGTGTTTGACGCTCCAATTCTAGGCAAGTTTTTGTACAACAACTATAAGCAAGCGCTTGGCATCATCGATGACCTAAGCCCTGCCGTCAAGGAACTAAAGTTAGCGCTAAATATTTCGGATGGAGACTTCGAGCGCTGGAATATGGAAGAGTTAGAATTTCTGGAGACCCTGACAGAGGAAACGGAGGAGGACATCGAGGCGATGACTTACGTGGAAGCATTACGATCACTTGCCAAAGCCGAGTAAGTCAGCGTCTGTCAAATTTTAGATTGTGCTGACACTTGCGTTATTTCAGAGCTGCATATGGCAGTGTCACAACAGTACAATTTCTGACTTATACACCCGCAGATTTCACTGCTACTCATGGTCTCCAAAAAAAAAAACAAGTGTTGGCGAGTGCTCGAGAAGCCGAACGTCACGCAGCTCACCGCAAGTTAATTCTTGAAATGAATGTGGTTGATGATATCGAGCGTCGTATGGGAATTGCCGAAAGATGGCAGCCCCAGGATACAAAATATCAGGAGGGTCTGGTATATCTTACCAACCGGCAATTCATTCGTGCCATTGAGCAGTTGCAGGGTCTCGTTGTTCAGAGGCTCTTTGAGTTGGCCAAAGCAAACATCGCTGGCACAGGTGCGTACTTTTTGTTTACTCAACACTATTCTAACAAAAACATGAAGGTTACAAACTTCGTCAACATATCTCAAACACTATCAGTCGCCGGTCAGGAGCCATCCGAAGAGCCCTTGAAAAATATAATCAGCTTGCTATTGTTCAAACGCCTCCACGAGATGTCATAGAATACAGCGAAGTGGCGTCATATGCTTGGCTCGGCGAGTTCGACCTCCTCAAGCATTCACGTCATCGCATACTTGAGAAGCCGTGGACGTCCAAGGGAAATCGTGAGGTTGCGAACAATTTCTTCAAAATTCAACGTGCTCATGAGGAAGTTCGACGTCTTAATGTCGAAGTTGCACGACTCTCTGCTTGGGTGGATTATGAAGACGCGCACTTAAAATCAACATTTGAATCATTGGTTGAATCAGATCCGACACTCTCACACGAGATCTCTTGCATGTACAAGGAGCGCAAACGAGCGAATGATGTGCATCGCAGAAGAATTCAGGCTATTTATGATCTCTCTGGATACTGTGGATCGAGGGGCACGGAGACAAGAGGCATTGATGATCACAGAGGTGGGGATGCAGATGAGATGATGGAAGATTTAAGGGGTACTAGGAGTATTGAAGCTGATGAGGATGATGCACTTTGGGACGAGGCTGACCGTTTAGAAGCCTGTATGATTTAGTACAGTACTGCATCTACTATTTTATTATATACGTGCATGCATGCAAACATTAGCTTGCTTCAAAATGTGATAGTTAGTGGTTCAATTGCGCGGATGCTGCACTTAGTATGAGAGAGGTTCTTCGAACAATTGAGAATGTCAAAGGCGTCTGCCATTGTTTGAAGAGGAAGTTGTATGAGTGAGATGCGAGTCTGAGTTAATTAAAAGTATCAAGAAAGGCATTAGTATGTGTTTGGTGCGTCACTGAGTAATGATCATGGTGATAAAGTGATTTATCACTTTATCACCATGATCATTACTCAGTGACGCACCAAACACATACTAATGCCTTTCTTGATACTTTTAATTAACTCAGACTCGCATCTCACTCATACAACTTCCTCTTCAAACAATGGCAGACGCCTTTGACATTCTCAATTGTTCGAAGAACCTCTCTCTCATGAGTGCATCTGCACTGTCAAGTATTCGTTGGCTGGATCTCGCACATGATGGAACCGACACTGTAAGTTTTACGGACACAATTGTTTGATCTCTTTGTTCAGTTTTAACTTTGACACTATCTAGCTGACATTCACCCTCAACATCGAAGCACATATCTGGCTGGCTCGCTGGCAGCGTGACACAGGAACTTTTCGCCGACCCCCCATTATTGCTCTGAACTTGAAGAGGTCGAAGAATCTAACTGGCGGTGATTCACGCAAGCTTGCAGATGATCAAACTGACAGCGCTTTCGATCGCATCAAGGATATCTTTTCAGAGCAGATCGTAGTCCCTGCATGCAAGAAAGCATTCAACAAGGATTGGAAGAATGCACCTAATGTCTCGTCTTCTAACACAGGATGTGGCTGGATCGTCGGTAAGTCTTTTTGTCATATAGCCTGACAGCTCTAACATAGACGTGATGTTTTAGAGGAAAACAATATGTTTCAGCAGGGTAGCCGAGCGTCAGTAGCGTTTGAGCTACCTGCGGTGCATCCATTGCACACTAGTACAAGCCGGCAGCCCCCTCGCTCAGCGCTTACCATCAACCAGACACGTTCTACACCCACCCCTCACAACCAGGTCCAGATTCATCATGCGCCCCATCGCCAACCTTCACAGCTCTCTCAACCACCCAACCCTCGTACTCCGCCTAGAGTGCTTGGTTCGGCTCGACGGACAGCTGGTAATCAACGGCCCAATGCTCTCAATCTGCCTGAAGGACTTCCAGTGCTTCGTCCAGCCCGACAGATGGCTGGTGATGTATCCCAACGCCAAACTGTAAGTTGTGCTCATTCAACTCAGGCTCTTTTCCTCCAAACTAATTATTTGCAGGCACGTCGCATATCCCGACATGTTCATTTTGACATAGCGTCTGAGATGTCCACATCAGGATCAACACCTAGCTCTGGCCGCGTCCCAGATGTGCCCCCTCCTTTACGTGTTCAGCCAACACCACTGCCATCAGTGAGAACAGTTCTGGTAGAGTCGGAGACTGAGTCTGATTCGTCGCTCAAGGTAAGAATTTTTTTTGTGGATCTTATAACGATTAGACATTAACTTACAGTGTTTGTGCCCTGTTACAGGAGGCCAAAAATGGACACCACGGCAGAGTTGCCAACACGTGCTCGATCGCGTCATCAGTGTCTCATGGGGGCCTGTCTAATACTCCAGTGGTGCCGAACTGTCAGGGATGTAGCCGACCCCATCACCATGTTGTGATATCTCACCCTCTACCACCTCCAATGTTGCAAGAAATTCCAGGAGGACCAGGAAGGTACACAGTGACTATTGGTGGTGTGGTGCATGCGGTGCGATTTGGGACTTAGTAGAATGACTTAGTAGAATGTATCATTATATTTCAATGAATTAATGTATCAAACTTTTTTTAAAGTTCTTGTACCACCGTGATCACCACGTGGTAAGTGGTCCTCAACAGAAAAGCACACATTAGCTACATTTAATTGCCTAAATATTCACATACCCAGTCCCCCCATCAACATTTTTTTCTACACTATGGTCTCTACTAAGAAATGTATGCGTGCGAAGCTCACCACTCAGCAGAAAGCAGAACGTCGTCAAAATTTTATGAAGCTTACAGATGCCATCAACACTGTGCGAGATTCATACCAGGAGGAAGCACATTCTATATCTCAAGACCACGGAAGGTAAGTCTATATATTTCGCAAGACGAAGGTGATCTGACGTACCTCATCTCCATTGACAGGTCTTTGAAATGGACCCGCGCTCAATTAAACGGCGGCCGATTGACTCGACAACGTCGCAAGGCAAGCGCCTGGAACGCTTTTGTGAGGGCAAAGCTCAATAGAGCAAACGAAAGTACATACCACAGTGAACAAATTACTAAATATTGAAAAATTATTAGCTCGTGGACCTGGGGAACGTTACCGGCTGCCGGCGTACATTTCAGCACATTATGCTGAACTTCAGCAGACTTACGCACGCCTGTCGGAAAGCGAGAAAAAAAAATTACGGCTCGGTATTGATGACCTGCGCGCAATGCGGGTGAACATTGTACGATCGAATCCAAAAGCTCTTCTGAAAGATGTCAACTCAACCTTTAACACAATGGAAAAAGAGGTCTGTTTACCACTTACCACAAAATCCCTTTGCTCATCATCATGCAGTGGACAGCCATCAATGCGCGTACTTCAATGGAAGGCTTTTATATTGCTGTTCGGGGAGATTTAGAACATTTTCATGAAGCTAAACTATTCCTCACCGCTAAGGCTAAGTCCTTCATCAAGGATGTGCTACATTTCGAACCGAAACACCTGGCACTCAAGTTCGAGTCATGGGTTGTCGGGAATTTTGGTGCGGGAATAATTTCAGTCATTTCGGAGGCGACATGCTCATGGGTGTGCATTATAGGCGAAGAGTCATCAAGGTCCGCAACACAGCGACTTCCGTTGTCGAAACTCGTCAGTCTGTCCAGGAAAAATATCCAAGATGGCTTAGGTATGATCTTACCATAGTATGGTACTTTGCCATGGCCTGATGTGTGGTGCAGACAACATCTTGCAGAAGAACAGGTTGGCATCAAAGAAGATCAAAATGAATTATGAAAACTACGAGAAGAATATCGTCGAAGTCTACGCAGTTGCAATCAACGGGTGGACTTACGAGAAGAGTGTCTGCAATCCTGGGAAAATTGGTCGTTGCGAACACCTAATCAAATTGTTAGACGCATTGGTCAAGGGCGAGTGCTCCTGGGTTGTGCTGAGTGACGATGAGCTATCAGAACACATCGGCGACAACCACAAGCGCCAAGCAAATGGCGAACAAGTTTACAAATCCCGTAAAGCTGCACGACAACGTAAAGCCGACAGCACTAAGAGCGCCCGAATCATTTGCGACAGCGAGGAAGATAACGACAATGAGCAGGGAGGAAGTGATGTGGAGAGTCTTGAAGGTTCGCTGAATGACACAGGTACTGAGCAGGGGCTTCAAGCGACACAATAGGTGCTGGGATGAGTAGATAGGATTTGCTCAAGTGTTACATATATGCTATTCAAATGCGAAAGACATGTCAAAAGCGGATGAGAAAGGAGGCAGAGGGTACAGAACGACCTTACTGTGGGGACTCGACGTGTTGACAACGTTGAAGCTCGAGCGTGGGAGCTATAGCATCAGCAATGATATCGATAAACAAACATAATGTCCCGGGGAACCCCGAGGACTTCTGGCACCACCTTAGCGGCGGTCTAGGTCAACATAGTAGTGCTAGAGTCTAGAACGTTGTACATACCTTGTTGACTATGGCAATGAGAAGCTCCTCAACCACGAAAGAAACGTCTGAAATGGTGAGAAACAGGTGAGTAACGAGGGCAACAGAGGTTAGGAAAGGAACTTGCTACAAAGACTGAGCGCGGCGCATTCATAGGGATCTTGATAACTCACAAATTGGCGTGTGTCGCCCTTGTAACCTATCAAAATAGCGGGTTGACCGCCCTTGTCAACAATGTTGAAGGGAAAGGGTTTCATGTCACGCTTTAATTCCAAGTCGTCCATCTTTCGACCGATAAGATGGCGTGTCGACAATGGGTCCAACAATGGGACCACCCTTGTCAACAATGTTGAAGGGAAAGGGTTTCATGTCACGCTTTAATTCCAAGTCGTCCGTCTTTCGACCGATAAGATTGCGCGTCGACAACAGGTCCAACAATGGGACCACCCTTGTCAACAATGTTGAAGGGAAAGTGTTTCATGTCACGCTTTAATTCCAAGTCGTCCATCTTTCGACCAATAAGACGGCGCGTCGACAATGGGCTCGACAATGGGACAAGCGGATGCGCCCAATAGGGTATTCCCTACATGATGCAAAAGGACCACCTAAGATCAGACCAAAAATGAGGGCAGGAGACGCTGGAAATTGAGCTCACCATGGGTATTGTGAAGTAGCACGATGACGACCGGTTCAACAGCGTAGGAGAGGTGCCGGATACATTGGGTAGGCCAGTAGATACGCACTGCACGAGTCCCGCTGAAAAACGGATAAAAATTAAGGGTAGGAGAAGGGAAAGAATGAGCTCACTGTAGGTGTTGTTGAGTAGCACGATGGTGACCGGTCCAACAGCGTAGGATAGGTGTTGAATACACTAAGTAGGCCAGTGACTACGCGCTACACAGATCCTGCTGAAAAATGGATGAAAATTAAAGGTAGGAGAGGCAAAGGAATGAGCTCATTGTCGTGGACGACGAGCAAAAGCTTACGAGAAATGAATTGACAGCGCCCAAAGCCTATTTTAGGCGGGTTAGGGATCAGCCGAGGCAGTGACGACAAGCTCGGACTTACCCGATAGAGTCTTCCCGTTATAGCAAACGACTATGGGGTAGAAATCGCCCAAGTGACTGCTGAGTGCTGGTATTATTGCTGGTAGCGTGGTAGATAGATATTCCTTACGAATTAGTAACAAGTACAGGTACGCAGTATTATTACTAATTAGTAAAATGAATGGTGTCACCCAGGTGTCCACTCCACAGATGTCAATTGCAGACAGTCGATTTTGGCACGCTTTGATAAATTTTGCTCTTGGCGTCCCATTTCATACACGAATGTATCGACATGCTGTAATGGCAAGTCAGAGTAAGAACAAAAAGGTGTGGTGGTGTATCATACCTGCTTGTTGCAATCGGCACGATTAAGCATAATGTAAGTCGAAGACCAGCGGACCTTCATATCAATTAGTAGTTGTGTTGGCAAAGAGACACCTGCTTTCGTCTGAACAGTTCTATATAGCTCTTTCCGTTTCGCCGAGGAACATTCTTTGACACAGATACTGCGGACCAGACCAATCTCGTCACGATTGACCCTCTGAGCTAGATCCAGTTTGTGAGCATGCGGGTTATGGGGGTCGTAGTGGGGTGCCTTGCTATAGGTACTGATGAGTCGTTGCATGCCGAGATTAATAACATGCGCTAAACAACTGTCAGGGTTGTTAGCAGTTCCATCAACCAAATCAAAAAGACTTACTTTATCTTGCGTTGATGCCATGGGAAATCTTTGTGGTACTTCGCCTCGTACAACTTCGAGAATTCCTGCAGCATGGTACTATTGTTTGCTGCATTGTCGCATGTGACGTGGCCGATCTAGGTCGAGATATAAGCACAGTCATTGAGGAGGTGGAATTTTTACTAACTTTGTGTGCAACACCGACACAATCAAGCACCTTGAATAATGCACCCCCTAGGCGCTGGCCATTATGGGCATTATTGAGCCGAGTAAAGCCAAGTAATGCATTCCCAGGTACCCATTGCATCAGATCGTTTTCTTCGATCCAGTGTCCAGTGACAGCAAAATAACCATCCGAGTTATCGGCCTGCCACACGTCACATGTGATATTGATTGCACCGCTGACGGATTGGCTCTAAAATCGTGTCAGATAAGAGCAGATACTGTGAAGAATGGTACATACATTCAATTTCTTCTTGAGTTTGGTCAAATGGTTCTTGAAAACACGTATGATTTCAGCACACATGGCCTTTCGGCCTGGAATCTTGACACCCTGTGTAGCATGCGAGGCAACATCTATCATTTCTTTGAACTTAGGGTGCTCAAGAGCCTGTATGGGCTAAATTCTGTTAGTTTACAGCTGACAATATCAATATGAATGAGTCTTACCTGATCTGTGGCGACAAGCCACTCAATTGCAGCTTTTCTAAAATTCTGGTGGGTGTAAGGGATGGTGCGCTCCGACAATTTGTGCTCAGTCAAGTGTGCATCAATCATTTGCTGTGCTTGTGCGGCTTTCTTTTTTTTGGCTGCGATGTCACCTGGCAATTTAGATGTGAAGGTGTTGGCCTTGGCCCATGTACAGTATTTTCCCTATGGACATTTAGATCTAGTACATCAACAAATAAATAAATGAGAACATACAGCGAATTTGGCTTCTGCATGACGGCGGAGGGTTGACATCTCGTTTACAATGGTACATTGAGCCCTAAAATATGTAGTGTTAGTGATGTAAAGACATATGCAAATGATGTGACAATGTACGGACAAACTTTGCACTTTCGATGTTTCTTGACCTTGCCGTTAGTGTGAGTGCACTCCAATGGTTGACTGAAGAATTGGTCGATGTCGCGAGTTTTATCCTTGCGTGTGGGAGATTCATCGATGATGGGCTGGACATCAATATCTGCAAGAATACCGTCTTCGTCAACATCTTCTTGAGCTTTAGCAGCTTTCTTGCGACAGACTCGTTTGCCTGACGACACTAGGTCAGGAAGGTACATTATCTTGCAGATAGACTTACACTTTGGATTCATCCGTGCATCTTCGTGTTCGTCATCACCAGATATCTCATCTTCATTGATTTCTTTGACACGTGCCCTTTTGCTGGTGGTTTCAGGTGCGGTGGTGTCGACATTCGGTGCAGGAGCAGACGGGATGGGTGCTTGTGGTGGTTCGGTGGCCGGAGGATGGGTATCATCAGTGGTGCACTTCAATGCCTCTGCAGCACGAAAGGCGTTGATGGCTCTTGTTTGAGAAGGGAGAGCTGCCTTCTCGGAGTGCTCCAGGAGTGCAGCAGTCGGTTTGACTTTGCGCACTGGACGCACCACACGTGGCTCATTGTCACTATCTGTATGGACCATTCCGACCATTAGATTTTTTCAAGTTAGAGCAAGGGTAGCGACTTACCAGTACCATAGCCATGAATACCTTTTATCCCACTACAAAAGATCAAGATTGTGATGAAAAAGTATACTTCAAACACAAAGCAACATGAGATAGAGTAACATCGACAGTGCGAAGCACAAAGATGGGCAACTCACCTGGGTTTCTGACATATGAAGTGTTTGTTGGATTTGCGGAAGAGACTAGAGTAGTAATGGTTAGACAGATTTAGATATAGTAAATAAACTCGTACCTGGTGTCCGGATGTCCATGGAAGTCTGTAACAGACGATTCAACTCCCTAAAGTAAGGATGCATTGATGTCGATGATGGATGCACAGGGACTAAAGCCGCGGCCTGAGCTGCCGGCTCAGGCTTCTCAACACATCAAGCCGGGCCCTGGGCCGTGGTCAGGCCCTGACTTGGGCCCGGCTTGGCTCGGCCTAATCAGGCTCGGCTTGGGCCGGCCCACGGCCTGAAGCCGGGCCGTGCACATCACTAATCGTGGTCCAGTCGTAGCTGTGCACAACATTCAGATATGTTCACAAGTTGCCATACACTCCCTAGATCCAGCTTATTCGTCTTAAGCACGCGAATTCACGAACTGGTGCTTGAATCACACAATTAGCGTGAATATTTGACCTGTAAGAGGTGTTCATATCTGCGCTGCACTCCCCGGATCCAGCCTAAACAACACAAGTACGCCTATTCAGGAACTGAAGCTTGAATTCATGCTGCGGGGGCGAATGCTCAAGGTGACGAAGGTGTGCATGGTTGCGCTGCACTTCCCAAATTCAACCCAACTAACACAAGTAAGCCTACTCACCATCTGGAACTTGAATTCTGCAGTTGGCGTGAATGCTCAAGAATATGAACCTGTTCATGGCTGCGCTACACTCCCTGAATCCAGCCTGAACAACACAAGTACACCTATTCAGGAATTGAAGCTTGAATCACGCTGTTGGTGCGAATGCTCGAGATGATGAAGGTGTGCATGGTTGCACTGCACTTCCCAAATTCAACCCAACTAACACAAGTAAGCCTACTCACCATCTGGAACTTGAATTCTGCAGTTGGCGCGAATGCTCAAGAATATGAACCTGTTCATGGCTGCGCTACACTCCCTGAATCCAGCCTAAACAACACAAGCGCATATGTTCACCAAAGGCAGTAGCGTAGCCAAATATTATTCATTTATTTGCAGTAAACGATTAAGACAATTAAGATCAAGCCGGACATAATTATGGTAATGATAGCAAACTACGCGAGGGATCTAGGCCGAGTCAAAAGCCACATCATTGCGCTGTGCCCTCTGCTTTGCAAGAGCATTGACGGACATGCTGGCCTTTGCTGCGTCGCTGATGTCGTTACATTGGCTCCGTCCAAAAATCTTCCTAAACAGTAGAGTCAGGTAATGCTTATTGGGAAAAATACATAATGCACCTATTCCACCACTCGAGCAGCTTATCAACCCTGCGCCGCGCACCTCGACCAGGGGGCCTTTCAAAGAAATTAATGATAGTACACCAGAATTGAGAATAGTCAAAGTCGCTGTTAAGGTCGTACTCTCGTAGGATCGGATCCGAAGGACTTCAGCCTCAGCTCGTATGCTGTGCCCCTTTCCCAAGTACTGTCCCTTATTTCAAAGACTTAACGATAACGCGTCCGAAGGTCTGGACGAGTCTCGTAGTTATATCCGGATGACTTCCGGATATCAGAAACGCGTATAAGACTAATCCGGACGGATCCGGACTAGAAACAAACAGAGTATAGACTATCCGAAGATAGAGGCGGTGACGTAGACTATCGGAATCGATCCGAAGTCTCAGAGATTGACAAGAGTTGTTTAGACTCAAGTCCGGAGGACAGAAAGAGGACAAACTAAGATGATATTCAAACTGAGGTACTACAGGAAATATACGTGGGTTTATATACTAAGAGGATAACGGAAGGATCAATAAGCAAAGGTCCGAGGCTATGTATGAAGCATATGCAAAGCTTATCAAACGCGAGTCGGAAATGAAGCATAGGATAACGGATCAGTAATCATACCGGTAATAAGTATAACCGAGACACCGGGAAGAGGAAATACCGAATAGGCTGTGTTTAACGTTATATGAACAGGAAATGAATTAAGAAGCTTATCGGATATCGGATCGGACACGGATCTATGCATCGGACCAGACCGGATCTAAGGGTCCGAAGTCCGGAAGAGAAGCATGAATATATGGGATATGACAGTCGCCATCAATGGACCGCCATGATGTCACCGAAGAAAGTGAGAATCGAAGCTGTCAAAATGGTCATGGTACATCATCACTGGCCTCGTGAAACCCTATGACTTACTAGGCACGCGATGTATGCAATCGAGCGAGAAGTGACCTTTCTCATATTGATGATTTGAGCGACGTGTTTTTTGACCTTACCAACTCTGTTGAATGACTTCTTGGCGCGTCTGTTGTTCTGGATGACATCGGCGCCATCCCCATCACCCTCAACATCTTTTGCTGAGGAAGGTGACGTGAACACGGCTTTGTACCCCTGCTTTAAAGTAAGCTTACAATCAGGTTACAGGCAGAGGGACGGACCTGAAGAAGTATTTTGCTCTTGAACAAACCCTCCTCCAGATCATCTGGGTTGGCAGTATAGTTATTATACAGGTAGGCCGGAAAGGAAAGATCCGTCATGATACAGCCCTCTGAGCGATCTCAAATGCCCGTCCGCACCCTGGTGAAAAGTGAGCATTTTTCTCGAAATTCCAAAAGTACTACTTGCGCTGGGTTGTTCCAATCCAGTTCAGCAGGGCAGAGTAACCTGCCGCATGCATTGTTGGAGAATCCATGGGTATGTTTGTCGTCGGAATCGAGCGGGAATTCTGGCTTGAGATCCCGATTAACCCATTCAGCAACAAGAGCCTTGAGCTTCGAGGTATTGTCACCTCGAGCACTGTCAGCCCCCTGCCAAAGCTATAACAAGAATGCTCAGCAACGCAAAACTGATCGCTGAATATATAGAACCCACCAATTTCAACATGTGCGTGTACTTGTTGTACTCCATTTCCACCCCCTTCCTGAACAACCACGGTAAGGTAGTTGAGAGGGTGACATACCCTGTCTGTAGCCAATCTTGGCTACATGATCAAGCCTATGGTTAGCGCTCACAAAATAACTCAAAGTCTGAAAATTTACTCGATAGTATGATCTTCATTTTCATCTTCATATCTTCGATCGTTTTCAGCAATGAGGTCCTCGACGTTATCAAATAGAACAACAACACACCTGATTGCCCTTCCTTGAGCTGTGTAATAGTTTGCTTGCCTAACATGTAGTCAGTAAAGCGACTCGGAATGATGAATTAGCGCGAGGTCGTACTTCTCTTTGACCGCACGCCCCAACTCGAGGGCCTCTAGCTTCTCCTCCAACTGGGCGATTCTACGTCTCTGGTGAGCCTGCACAGATGCTGCCTGTGCGGACGGTTGGTCGCACAAGTTTGTTGCAAAAGGTTCCCAATGCTTATTCTGCATGTCTCCGATGTTGCCGCTGTTGTCCTGTTGGTTCTTGGTGTCCGGTGTGGTGCTCTCGACACGCGATATCATAGCAAGGGGGAATGAGAAAATGAGCTGGTATAGAGAAGGTAAACAGCCAAGGGAAGAAAGGAAAGTGCGACTGAGGGATCAGAAATGAAATCAATCACCTTATATACCTGTTAGGACGCTGGCTGCCCAAAAACATATTCCTATTGAGGACAATGTTGAAAATATGGCGAGAAAGTCGCTTGAGCAAATGCCTGTTTAGAAAAACACTAACATTAGGTATAAGGAACAAAGTCAAAAGAAATGCTTGCGACTCGCCTAGTATATTAAGCCATTATAGCCCTACGAGATTGGATGACGTGATCCTGTTGACAGTAGCGAGTAAGTTCGCGCACTCACTGTGTTCTCATGTGTGGTACTGAGCGTGAGGGGAAGAGGTATTAGGGTATTAGTACTACGAGAAAAGCATATACGATAATGTGTACCTAACCATAGTTGACCATAAAGTAGAGATGATGGAGTGTGTGATGAGCGGGTCCATTTATGATCTTTTCAAGGGCATCACGGTGTCCCGTAACCATGTTGGAGTCGTGAATCTGGTGTTGCTGATGTCAGAATGGTCCATGTGAGTAATGCAAAGCACGCACGAGAATACTCCAGAAATTGACGAAGACGAAGAGACCTAGATATAGCCATCAGTGAAGAGGGAAAATAAATATGAAGAGATGATATGGGATATGTGAAGGTAGCCGTCCACAGGGTGGAAAGCATGAGAGGCAAAGGGGGTAGGTACCACCGAAAACATTTAAGCGCAAGAAGATGGCATACGGAGCAGAGCATCATACCTGTCCACTAATGTTCTGTATAAACTCGGGTGATGCAGTAGTCGGTGGACCCAGTAAATTGGGAGGCATATGAGGATACGAACGGGTACTAACCTCCTAAGCAATATGCAGGGCCTCATGGGAGCGAGTCTGAGGCGAATTTGGAAAGGAGAGAGGCTATACCTGATAGCTTTACATGAGGATCTGGCTCGAAGGTCGTATAAAGAAAAGACGGTGCTATTTGGAACAAGAATAGTCAGCACTCCCTAGATACAAGGGATGTAACAATACAGACCGCTCCGATCCCATTGTGAAGTCCTTGCAAACACGTACCCCGCCGGATGTACTACGCATTCGCATTGCATTCCGCTCCATTTGTTGCCATGACCATGAGTCAGACGGCTTTCACGCGCTCTGTCCTATTCATGGAACCAATGTTGGGAGAGCGAAGATAATGCATTGGCAGGTGTTAAACAGGTGTGTAGGATAGTAGACCTCACGGTGCCGCTGCCAGTGTTAAAGAGAGCCTGTATTACTACAAGTATAGATACCCGTACCACTCTCGTATGCACATGGCGAACAAGTTGGCGTCCTTGTCGAGCTGGTTGAGGAGGGCGATGGCTTGTATGATCATGTCGTCCACCGGTTGACATTGAATTTCAATTTAGCGCGGGAGTAGGAAGGACCAAGACCAAGCTGGGCTTTGATGAGCCTGAGATCGGTAGTATCGAGGCCTTTGAGAAGCTTTGGTGCCCAGAAGCAGATGCTGTGAAGGCCTTCCTGTGAGGTTTCAGAGGCGTCACATTTTATGGCGAGGTTTTCAAAACGCAAGGGTATAATGGTACATAAGAGACAGTCACTCACTGAACGGTGAAGTCCCAAGGTTGTCTAAATATCGACAGCCCCAATGTCTTAGGTGCGGTCATGACACGATTGTGACGCGGAACCGTCACAACTATTCCTAGGGTACAGATCATGTGCGGAGTTCGAAGATGGCTGAGCATTGCCCATCCCCACACGATGCCTTCCGATCGCAAGCAAGTTGTCGTACTCTATGCAGAGATGAAGTTGCAGAAATCTATAGACTTACCAGGTAGCTCAACTGTTGCCAGAGCCAAGGAGGAGGGGATGATGGCAATCAGGGATCACTTGAATATCCTTCCCGGTGTGCCGCATGTCTCCCTAGACCCCGATTGTACCGATTTTTACCCAGGTACACACCGCTACACTTATGACAGGATGGATACATATTCTAATACTTGATCAGCTCCAAAGGACGATAATACCATCATGCGCAGTCTAGAGGGTAATCTGACGATGGTTGTGTACCCAGAACCTCCTAAAGGACAGTGCTTGACACCCTCGCCCTTCGTCGATGCTCTTCAATCTGCTATCCATGATGTACGAAACTTCAAGGCTCAGAAAAATGCTGCATCGTTGATTAGAGAGGAGAGCCCTAAGTGTAATGTCAAACCAGGTGTGTTTTTCGTGGCCTAAGTTCATAACTTTTGGACTAATGTATTCTCAGTTGGCATTGACACCCTTCTTCGTAGATTTGAGGCAATGGAGAAAAGGTTTGAGTGTGACATAGCTGAGCTGAAATGGGACAATGCCGAGCTGAAGCAGGATAATGCCGAGCTAAAGCGGGACAACGCTGAGCTAAAGCGGGACAATGCCGAACTGAGTGATAGAATCGATGAAACTATTAGAGCTGTTTTGGGTGTTCGTCTTGTGTTTTTTTTTGTGGTTTCTTTGCATACTCATGTTTGGGCGTTACAGGATAAAGTCGCAATCAATAAGATCCGCCGGCGGGTACTCCTTGACATGGGTCGTGATCAGCTGGCAGTCATATGCGGGCACAAGAACTGGAGAGAGTGGAAAGAGATGAAGGCCACATCAACCGAAGGAGATGATTTCGCTGTCCGCACCGTGATGATGACCGAAGCGGAGATGATACTTCGGGATTCAAATGACCTGTCAGAATATTGGAAGGCTGTTGGGCAGGATCATTCGACTCTACGGCTGCTCATTCATCGTAACCACATCCGGATTTACGCAGATATTGCAGTGCACTCTTCTATGGAGAAGAATATTGCGGAGAGTGTTCTGGCTCTGGCCGCTCCAGGCGACAGGACTCATATGACTACTATATTCTGCGCAGTTTTCGATAAAGAACTATGATAAGTCTTGAATTTCTAGATACCTAATTGTAATTTGAATGGTCCTGCATATTTTGCAGGTGGAGCTCAGCATGAGCACAGGTGGAGCACAGACAGGAGAGTCACGCAAATTGGTTCCGCGGGATCAACCGTTTCGTACTTATATATTGTAGATGACTCACGCCACGCCACAAACAAGTAACACTTGTACACGTGATGATGAGTCGTCGCAGATATTGATGATGACATCGACTTATTAGCTAGCTAGTACAGTAATAATTAATGAACATCATGGGCTCATAACGCCATTCGCTTGCATCTATCTTGTAAAGACTTTTTCGCCAGGAGTAGTATAGGGCGTTTTAGAAAGAGACATCATCATAATCGAACTCATCATCCCCATCATCCCCATCATCATCATCGCTAAATGCCCCTTCACATTCTTCGTCGTCGTCATCATTGTCCTCCTCATCCTCCTCGTCATATTCGTGACCTTCGCCATCACCAACCGCGTTGTCGTCCTCATAACCTTCAGCTTCATTGTCCATAGATTCAGCCAGTGCTACAGAGCCCAAGCAATCCTTTATGATCTTCCACAGCATCGGGGAATGTCCGACACCAAAGTGATTATATTGCATGAACATATCGCGATCGACAAATCTGGCTTAAAATGTGAGTGTTAATATGTCGCGGGAAGATCTGTACTTACATCCCAACATAATACTCCTCCCAGTCATCCAGCTGCCCTCCAGGGCGCACCAGTGACTTTCCATAGCGCAGTGAGCTCACACTGCGTCCTGCAGCAAATGCAGGGATCAGATGTGCCCCCCGGATTACCTGTCCAGGGTCGAGGAAGCCAAAAGCATCCCGGTCGAACTCCTCTACAAACCCAATCTTTGGAAGATGAGCATGTTTGGCACCAGACGTATAGCCCTGTATGGCTGCCAGCCATCTCACCCAAAGTACCTCGAGATGCTGCTTCACTGGTCGAGCTCCAGTGCTGAGCCATACCTCCATATGATAGATGCCCAATACCTGGGCATACCAGTAGGGGTCGCTAGGATTCGTCTCGCCAGAAAGCACCATAACATTCCCATGTGTTCTCGGGTTGACTGTGTCATACTCGCACCTCAAATCGTAGGTCGTAAAGTGCACCTGCATAGTCTGGACAGAGTAGATTGTGTTATTGGAGATAATGACATTGTTTCGTTCCTCATCCGTAAACGAATGGTCGCAACAGCTGACATCTAGCCCCTGCAACCTGTATATGATGTGGTCCCTTAATTTAGGTACAAAATTCTAAGTGTCGCCATGAATAAATTGTACCATGCCGCAGAACAAGATGTTACTTCTACCTTAAGGGCGGGATCAGCGTCATTCTCTCTGAGAAATCGGAAAATATCGATTGGGTTGTTCCGAGTAGGTGCGATACGGTGATGATTCTCGTAGGATGTCGATGGGGGGGCATCAGCTGGCGGTTGGTCGCTAGATGGCTGTCCCCCAACTTCTGCCACCCGTCGTAGCATGCGGCGCCTACGCTTGTGTTTAGCTAACTGTGCCAGGATATCCAACTTGCTGGTCAGCGGATAGAAGGCCTTCAGTGCTCGGTGAGCAAGTTCTCCCTGACGCGACTTAACTTTAGGTGCATAGCATGAATATAGATAGTACTTACAATTTGAGTAGTGTAGGAGTCCGTCGTCCCAAACCACTGGATGGTTCTCACATAATCCCCCATGGTGTGATACTTGTACGTGGCCAGGTTGAACCTCTTCGTCCTCGGCCCACTGGACTCCGGGATGGTACCATTCATTTCACAGTGTTCAGTAGCCCTTCGCTGATGAGCTGATCTTTCTTTGGGCAACTCCAAAGTATTGAAAGCCGCACAAGTATTGTCTCGAAATTCCCGCAACGTCCGAGACAATTTCTTGAAAGATTCCTTGAGATAAGTAACCGTAGAGTTCGAGTGCATCCTAAGTTTGGCCAGTGCATGCCACTCTGCGAATCGATAGAGTAGAGATTGTACAAGCGCACCATGTTCAGCGGGGAATAGCCCATCAAAGACAGGAATGGCACACTGACAATGAATATCTATCAGCGGGTAAAATATAGACAACTAAGGAGGAAAAACCTGTAAGATGTCTTCAAAATCACGCGCGGCCAATCTTTTCATCTCGGATGTGTTGTTTGAAAACTTGCGAATAGCACCATTGCCGAAGGTCGGGATCTGTCGAAACCTACAGGAAGGTTAGTGTCTGCTAGCGAGTAACAGCGTTCCTTATGAGATACCCGTGCCTGCTGTCGAGGGTCGCGACAAGCTCACTACCATGAGGAAGGGCGTGGAGGAGCCTAAGGAGGTGCGTGAACAGCGATTTCCAAGTGCCTAGCTTGCACTCATGCATGAAGTCGACGATGAGCATGCGGAATGAGTCGAAGCCGAGCGGTCCAAGCTTCTGGGCAAATTGATTCTGCAAGCAGCGTGTGTGAGTTGATAGTAAAGAAGAAAAGTAGTTAGTCCGAGTCTCACTTACCAGAGTAGGTACCCAAGAGCCCTCACCAAGGGTATTATCTACCTTGGAACTGTCTACTGTATTTCCGTTCTTGTAGATAAAATCACGAGCCTTCACCACCCTCGTCGTCACATACTCACGAAGGTTGGCGACACGACTTTTCATGTCACTCGGAAGCCCAAGGAAATTGAACAGGCTTTTCATTGTCAAACAGCGAGGGCATGGACACAAGCCTATGTCTTTAATAGTTGTGATTAGCACCCTGTAAAATTATAAGCTATTTGATCTTTTTGAAAAAGTGAATGGAGCAACTCACTTTTCAGGATAATCCACGGAATATGTGAAAATACGGGGAAAGACCCTCCGCACCACTCCGTCGGCACATTTCAAAATGATGCCGTGGCGGTATGCAGACAGAAAGTCTTCATCTAACAAAATGTCCCAGCAGGAATGAAATAACTCCCTGCGACAGTGGGTTTGAAGGGACACTATGCCCGTTTTCGAAACACGAGATAGGCTACTCAAGATATCTTTAACACTATCAGGAAGCTGATATTGTCAATGCTAGGAGTAGACAAGCATAGGGCATTAAGGAGAACTTACCAAAGGTAAAAACCCCACCAGGTGACATGCTCCTGACTTGGGAGACGACCGTGCGTATTTTGTCAAATTTCCAAAATACATATACAGCGGCCAGGCTTTGGCAGTCCCAAAGTTTGCTAGGTGAGTGGCGTCAGAAAAGAACATCAGACCAGCAATGACACGTTCTGTTACAATAACATGTAACCGAGAACCCCTCCTATGGAGGTCATCATGACCTTAGCCCCTATCCCGCCTATACACCGTCATTGGAAGACTTACCGACTCAACGGAGACTCGTAGAGACGCCTAGAACGGCCTGGATGCCGTTAGATGACCTAGACCAGCCTAGGCAACATCTGGACGGACCTAGATGGTCCTCGACCCGGATCATGAGGAAGCTCTGCCTCATGGTCAGAAGAGAAGCCGCATGCCGCAGCATGCGCAGTTAGACTCAAAGGCATGCTATGCCTTGAGGACAGATAGAAGAGGCATGGTAAGCCTCATGGATAGATAATCGACCGCATGGCATCAGATAAGATGCCCGTGTATAGACACACTCATACTTACCTACCGAACGTAGTATTGGTCTGTGCACACGGACGACAGTATATAGAGCAGACAGAATCATGTATATTCCCTACTTGATTCTACTAGGTTTTATCCAGAACTTCCTCTGAAAGACAGTCCCAGTCCTTCAGTCTAAGCCGCACCTTAAGGAAAGCCGACGCTACCTTAAGTGGAACCCCCGAACCTCTCATTCGAGAGAAGATCCCCGTCTCTCCAATAGCGAGCCCGCTATCAGATTAGGCAATCCGCCTAGGGAGAGCTCGAACTATCCTAGTCCGTAACACGTTCCAGCGAACATCCAGGTTCCTTAGGCAACCTCTGAATGTCGTCCTGAGCGTCTAGCCAGGCATCCGAGGTGTAGAGCTCGTTGTAAATCTGCTCTTAATGGCCGTCTAGAGGGTCTTTCCACAACCGCTTAAAAGACAAAAGATGATATGCCCCAGCTTGCACATCTGCAAATGCTGCGCATATGACTTCAATGAGAGGCCGATAATGGAATCCATGGATAGTATAAGGCTGGGGGCCGTCCTCCCTTCCCTTAGTAGGAATATTGATGGTGACGTCAGTTTCAACTCAGTCATCTGGGAACGTAATTCTTTTGCCGCTCTCATCCATATCCAGTTCTCGCAAATTCCGCCTCACTGAGAAATTTTCAAGGTCCTTGCGGTCGAAGTCATCCGCCAGAATGACATCTTTAACCAGGTGCGAGACTTTAGTTTCCGATAACAGATTGCCACCAGAATGCATCCAAGACATAAGCCGATAGATAGACATGTTCGGAAAAGGATACGGGGGCGCATAGACCTTTGGCGGAGAATCAGTCGCTTGGGCATTGTTGCTAGTAGCTATCGGGGATGTTCTTGCAAGTAGCGATGATTAGATCAACTGATCCGGTTTGAAGGAAGGACGGCGTGGATAGAGCTGACAGAGGCCAAACGAGTTGAAGGTGGTCTTGAGGGAGTCTCTTAGGGTTAGAAGAATACGTCTGATTCTGGATTGGGCAGGTACTAGTGAGGCCGTTGGTAATGATGGGATGCCTGCAGCACAATCGGAATGATTGAGGTCATCCGGTGAAGGCTCAATATTATTGAGAGTCCTCGGAATTCGTCCCATAGGGAGTGCGCAGCGCTCCTCTGAATTGTTAAGAATAATTAGTGGATTAAAACATCCCAGAGTGACCGCCCAATGTGACACAAACCTGAGTCGTGGTTGGTTACAGAACTGCCCCCCATCTCAACATCAACTTGGTCATTTTGTGGCATTTCTGAGCCTGAGCCTAGTATGTTGTGCTGCGAGTCTACACTGAGACTAGACGCATTGCCTAAACCGCGAGCCATAGAATTTGACCCAAGGAGTCCGAGTCTGCAAGGGGCAATCGGTCTCAGATTTAGATGCTAAAGTTGAGAACTTGAGTACTAGACTCGGAGGTTTAGCAAGGAGCGACTCACCGTGGTGACTGACTGGGACCGGGTGTTTGCTTTGGAAGATTTAATAATCGCCTGCTTTGCTCGATCTTGTCGCTTCTGACTCACCAGGCTGCTGGCTCTCTTGAAAAAACAACAGGATGCACGATGCCTACTAAGTCCCCGACTGTCCATGGTTTTCTCCCAGGAGCAGCCAGGAGCATTGCAAGACACCATCAGAATTTGAAGAAAGACGAATACACTGATCCAAAGCGTCTGGGGAAAGTGCATGGTACTTTGAAGCTGACTAGCACTTGCAAGGAATCCTTTCAACTTGCAGCTAGTGGCATGGATGTACTTTGAGAAAAACAGCAAGCAGTGCCAAGCACCCCCATCACTGACGTTTATGGTAGTTTACACATGACTTGAGAAGAATAGAGTCAAAGGTGTAGGAGTGCCGCAGTGACAGACAGGTCATTATTTCAAAATCAGGTGTCCAGTGTTACATGATTGAGTGATACTACTGGTCTTGCGAGGGCAATCTCGAAATTGTAACAGTACAACAGGCAGTATATGAAAAACAATCTAAGTATTCTTCATACATGGTCATCTGGGGAAGCTCTGGAAGAATGTAAGTGAACATAAATAATACCTAAAGTAGCACATACCAGCTATCCCCAGAACGCAGCTCTTTGGCACCATTTACGATGCTGAGTACGGCGTCAGTCCGACGGACAGAAGCTCTGCTTATTTCAGAGGCTTCGACAGAACAGCTCGCGACAGGATGATGGGATAGTGCTAGGCGTTGACTGAAGATTTCCAGCAGAAGCCGGACTTCTTGCTCCGCTGTCACGAAGTTATGTTTCAAAGTTTCACACATGGAGCGAGCGAGAGCTTCCCGTCTTGCGTGTTCAGAAACTTCCCAACATGCGGCGTGATAGAGCATGCGGTGGCGTTCGTGAACGGCTTCCAGGTATTGAATAGCGCATTGGAAAGTGGTTACGTTAAGGTCTTGCAAAATTCTCATGTATGACTTCTTAGCCTAAATGTGACGCATATGATTAGAACAAAGAGATATGTTTGAAATAATTCATACCCTCTCGCTGAGAGCTTCTGATGTATCCTTTGGATCGACATATCTGCCCGACAATCGATCAAAAAGACTTTGGTCCTCAAAAACCGTGGGCCTGTGATTAGGAAGACTGTTGTGTTCACTCTCAGGAGGACAACTTTGAGTCTGCGGTCCAGCTCCGCTGGATGAACTGCCATAAAAAAAAATGTGGTGTGTGCTCTTAGGAGAATATTCTAGTTTGTGCAGCCAAGCTCCGTTGTGAGCGATGCGAAATGAACTCTTGGAGTCAGGCGTTAAAGGTAATACGTCATCATCTGCATCTGATGCATTGGCTGCTGTTGTTTTCGTATTTGAGTCTCTATGTCAATGACAAATGAATCATTCATACCTGACCCTGTTGTAGAAACTAATGATGGAGAGCGTGGAGGAGAATCTGAATGGTGGCTAGGTGTACTGGGAGTCCCAGCATTGGAGAGATAATAAGGGCGTTGAAGAGGTGTGGAGGGGTATGCACATGGTCCTTCATCTTGAAGGTCATTGCTGAAGAATGGAGCCAAGTTGAAGTTCATAATTTTTCAGCTCGTGGGGTCTCAGGTTGGAGGTGGTACTAGCACAATTTGTGTGCGTAAGGGTTTGGTAAATAGGCCCATCGGAGTTTAAACGTCCAGAGCTCTATAAGGTATTATTAGTATTAACTCTTATCGATTTGACAGCACAAACCAGAAATGGGAACAGAAGACGTATTCAATATGGGGATTAGTTTAGCACATACCAAGGTGGGGAACTGCATTTGAACCTTAATTCAGGCCTGTCAGGTCCAGGAATAGGGTAGCCAGAATCATTGCCACAATGCACTCAGCCGCCGATCTCTTGACTATGCATACTTGAGTATGTGTGTACAGCGTCGGAGTCTCTGCCCTACCGTGATATGTCACCACTCACATAAGTAATATAAAAAGCTCACCTTGAGGTCTGAATATCAACTCCCCAAGTGACGCTATGCTTGACCATGCCCATGCTGATGATGCACGAGACAGTGGTAAACCCTCCATACTCAGAGTACTTGATCCTGTGACTAGTAAGGGGTTGGGAGATCTGATTAAATCCAAGTCACCATATCCATCAACCGCTGTCAGTCACGGTGTTCCAACCAACAAGGAGAAGACTCCGAGTCAGGCTCGCACCCAGAACGAAGATCAGGCTGCGCTTCTGAAGTATCAAAAAGTACGAAGTGCTCATTCGAATGCATTGAAACATGCTCACGAGTGTCTTGGTTGCAGAAGGTTGGCACACGCTTGGACAATTTGAAAATGTCTGAATCAAAAAGCCAGGGAGCCGCAGCCGCAATGGGGATAGCAGTAGGTGTCTGCAGCCGTGCATTTTCATTGTACTGATGAAAACCAGAAAGCTGAGACTGGTCCCAACTTTCATTTGGGAGTCATACTAGATCAAGAAGACTCTTGTATAGCTGGCAGTAATACTACTTTTCAGACTCGCAAGAGGAAGGTTGGAAGTATCGACAACGTCAACAAGGAAAACATACTATTTCCGAACAGCGCCCCAGCTATTAAGTGTATTTGCAGGGAGAAAACTGGCACCGACTGGCAGACAGTCCTTGATGTGAATGCTTACAATGAAGAACAATGACAGAGGCGGGATCAAGACATGGCAATTAGTACTGTGGAGGAAAAGTAATGGGGAGAAATTTTTTACTATGTATGCTCTCGCGCTGCCTTGGTCCCAAGTCCGAGCGAGCACAATATCATTTGCATTGCTCAGATGTCCAAAAAGACCCGTCCCACCTGGGGCAGGTAGAAGCTGCCAACAGATGTACAAGCAGACACGTTCGTTTTGAGGACATTGGATAAAATCTTGATATTATCAAGATCGCTTAGGACATCCATATTTGCGTCGCTTGAGCCATAAGTGAATCCCACTCGATGGAATTATGAGCAAGGGACTTCTCTCGCTGATAGAAAGGTACACACACAGGCACTGGCAGCGTTGTTCGGTAGTTACATCAGCTTAGCAATGAGCTTCTCCTGCTGAGGTTTGTTGGGCTGCGTGGAAAACGGTAACCGACGGCCTCGTAGAAGGTATTTACCTGTTGGAAGAACTTGAAATAAGAACTGTGTCACGTACATTTCGTCTACGAATGGCTCCTGTTCTCCTGATTGTTGCATATTGAAGTTGAAATTCATTGAATGCGGAGGCCAGGCGGTACAATTGGCTGGCTCATCATCGTGGTATGTTGATTGCTCCCTCCACTGCATCATTCAGATACTGTCAGAGATACATCAACAGATCTGACTCCCTGACTCGGACAGCGCGAAACTCCAACACACAACCTAGGCATTGTGGCGCAATTTCTTCCAACAAAGTGTTGATTTAAAGTAGAGATTGTAAGCCTCGAAAAGGTTTGTCTCTGGACAATCAGGATGATTCGACATTGAATGCAAAATGGCAACTTCGGATAGGAGACTCGAGGCGATCGCCAGTGGAGGAGAAATTTTGATGACGGATACAACAGCGATCAAACCTCCGTTGAACGTCCTCCCCTGGCGTCGCTCAGGCCTCAGACATTTATCATGTCAAGATCTATTCATTTCTACCCCGTTCTGATTCAAAGGTATGTCATCTTCCTATTGTTACAAGCCACACTCAATCAGTGCGCAGGTTCATATCTTGTCCCAAATACTCTTTCTGCGAACTCATCATGATGTTGTTTCCCTTATACCCGGGCACACTTTTGCTATAACAGGAGCCTGTAACAATTCAAATTGTCCAAACATCCGTGTTGTTCCGCTGCCTTTGACTCAGACATCTGAGTCACTACCAGTTTCAAGTTTGGAGGAATCGCTGTGTGATATGGATGATTGGTCGACGTATGTATCTTGATGTTACATGTCAAAATGCACACTTAATCTTCATGCAGCTGCCGCGCATGTTTTTATTCAATGGTTCGCTTACGCTTGATCCTCACTTGAGGCCTTCTTAAAATGCACACTCAGTTTTGACGCAGCTGCTGCGCACATTTTTTTAATGGTTCACCGATGCTTTTATCTCACTTGAGGCCCGGGAGCATGTCGAAACGTGCTCACTGGCAACTTGGCAAGCAGTTGCCTGTTGACCGACTCGGAGGGTCTTACCGTCAACTTGTTTGCCGATTATGGGACCCTCGAGTACTTTCTTTCCGCTCCTTTGACACCACACGATTTCAAGTTAGTGTGCCCAGCCTCATGCACGTATATTTTGATGGAGGTGATCGATATCGTGGTCGTCTCGCTCAAAGCTTTCCAGAAGTTTGTACCCTGCGTTCTGTCATGTTGCTTCCTTACTTTAACCGTGACTTTTTGCAGCGAATTCGAATCAACTTGAAGTTAGTCCAAGCCAGGCCAGGCCAGTTCGTCTCTCACCATGATGATTCTGTGTGGTTGAATGGACTCGGAGACTCGGATTCAAACCTTAACTTCAAGTTGCGTTTGGGTTCCAACTTGCAAGTTGTGCATACCAGGGCTGGCGGGTGAGATCATCAGCCTGACTGGGGTACTATTCCGCTTGAATTTGTCACGGTAATATCATAGATCAGAGCCTCGAGGCCTCATGCCTTCACCAGGTGTTTCAAATCTTTGACGCCCGCTGAAGATCAGTATTCTACTTTAGTTTTGCGTCCGGCATATATATTCAATCGATGCACAGCAGACCCTCACCGGATCCTTCCACACGCTTTCGAAGCTACCCTTGAGCATAATATCATATTCGATGAACCCGCAAGGGTTTTCCTGATCGTTATTCGGTCCGATATTCGCTATGGAACTTGTTGGTGGCCTTATTACATCCCCTTGGCGCTGAGATATGTGAACATCACCCCAATATTCCAGAGCTTCTGCCTCGATCTGGTACGCGGTAACCCTATGCCCTACAGTAATTTGAAAGCCTCGCCTGAACTTTCCAGGCCTAGCCTGCATTGCAAGGTGAATTGTACACACGATTTAATTTTGCCGATGTTGAAAGCCTAATTAGGCATATCTAACTTAGCGCCCAAGCCTCATTGCTTGGCTGTGCAGTGCTAATTAGTTAAAGCATGCGTCAAAATTGTCGCTTGCTAGACCACTCGTAATCCTGACCGTTTTGGGTGGCCTCAATAAAACTATAGGACGGTGTCACTGCCCTTGGTACTCTATCATTACACAGTTCCAATGTATTCATATGGCAGACAACCCGCTGACTCGGATGCCCCAGACGACAATGCCTTTCAATATGCACCTTTTTTATCCTCAGATTTCCCTGCCCAGTCTGCGGCAGACTCCCGCTTCCTCTATTTTCTTCAAAATCGCTATGATCCCACCATGATGCCTGGCCCGGGCGCTGACGGAGATTCATCAATGTCGTTCTTCAACGACATTTTTCAGTCCAATGGGTATCACCCGATATATAATCTGTCTGCTCACCAGGATTCGGGGCCACCATACCCACTCCCTCAGTACTTCCCTGTATTCCCTCTGCCAATCATGTCTATTGACGGCACAACCACTTTGGCGCCAGGTTCAGAGGATCTCCGGCCTCTTGGAGAGCTGCCATGTTTCAACGAGCCATTGCCTCTCGGAGATTCATTCCACGTCAGAGAGCCTCCGCCTCCGCCACCTCCTCTCCCTCCTCAGGCTGGTCCTTCTGGATCAGAGCCATTGCCTCTCGGAGATCCATTCCACATCAGAGAGCCTCCGCCACCTCCTCTCCCTCCTCAAGCTGGTCCTTCTGGATCACGCACTCGCCAGCCCCCAGAAAAGGAAAAGGCATATGAGTTCAAGGTTTGGCCGTACCCTCGTGCGCGACCTAAGCTGAGGGGTATCACCAGCGCTCAGGTGGATATTCGTTATAATTGTTTCTAAATCGCACTCCTAATGTTTCTTAGGCTGCTTCGGATGCTGCTCCAACAGCACCCTTGCGACCATCTCATATAGCGCCCTTAAGATATGACGATAAAATCAGAATCCATTGAGAAATCTTCGAAGATGCACATGTGATACTGATTACATCCGCGGTCAATAACTGTCCGTTCTTGACTGAACATGAAAGGAAGACAGCAGCTCATGAAGCACTGCTTTCGTCAGCGAATGCAAAGGATGAAGGTACGCCGGAGTACTTGATCTTGAAAGTATCTGAAACTTCCACAAGAGTACGGCAGTCAATGGAGCGCAGAAAATCTTACTGCCTTCTATAAATCGTTCACAGTGCCGCCATCTGCCGTCATCATGTCCACTACCAAGAAACATGCCCGTAACGTCGTTCCATTTGGATACAGTCTTCAGCCCTCAATCTGGTTGGAGGATTACGCACCAGAATACCAGATTGAAACAGTAAAAGACCTTATTGGCAACCCTTCATTCTGTTAAGAACGTGCTCAAGGGTCGGATCCGAAGGGCTTGGCTTCAGCTCGTGCGCTGCACCCCTTACCCGAGTACGTGCCCCTAACTTCCGAAGGCTGTCGAACAATGTCTGAAGGTTACCGGACAATGTCCGGAGGGCATCGGGCAATGTCCGGAGTCCGATGTCCGATGCGCGGGAATTCCGGCGGACGTTCGGGAACAAGAGATAAGACTAATCCGGACGAAGTCCAAACTAGAAAGAAAACAGCGGAGGACTACCAGAGGTAGAGGCGGAGGTGACAAGTCTATAGGAATCGATCCTAAGACGAGCGGAGGTCGACGAGAGAGAAACTCAAGTCGGACGGAGGAGAGAATGAGCAGAGTCTAAGATGATATTCAAACTAAGGATGTACATAGATTCTACAGGGTTTATATACTACTGAGGACTTATCGGAGAACAGAGATGCGCAGTCCGAAGCTATACAAAGCTGTGGACGGAGCGTATAGAAAAGTCAAACGCTAGTCTATCGGAAAATAGTAAATGAACCCGGAGATTAGAACAGATGAAAAATAAAGGCGGAAATGAAATGAGGTACGGAAAATGATATAGTCTAACTGGAGTAGGAACGTACAAAGGGATAAGGCACGGAAGTTAGACACGGGTCGGATCCGGACATAGATAGACATCGGCCGGATCCGGACTTCCGGAAATGATGTGTGTGATAGGTCCGGGTCCGGAATGCGGGATATGACACATTCCCTTTCAAATTCCTATTCGGGAATGACTCGAATCACCAAACTCACAAGTTATACCCATTTGAACATCGCGTCATATTGATCGTTGTTCTAAACACCATGTTGACGCTCGGCTTTGTACCTTACATCTCAGACCTCGATGTTTTGTTTTGTACAGCTGCAGCGGCCGTAGAGTGTGCTCTACAGGAGCTAGCAAGCGCGCAGTTAGAATTTTTCATCGACTTTGGAGTATCTAATTCCAAACCCCGGTACACCTTGTTCATGGAATACATTCGAGACCACATCGAAACTGACCCAGAATTATCGACACGGTGGAAGGAGTACAAGGACCAGGTCCATGCCAGATTGGTAGAAATATCTAAGTACCGTGTTTGATTTTCCTATGTTCAATTTAGCATCAGTACACAATTTGACCCGCAGCTTTCCATTGTACCATATATCATGTAACCCCTCAGTGAATTGCAATCTCTTACATAATCATAGACGTTGTTTGGCAAGACCTTTAGAAGCAAACAAATGAGTCAGTAGCTCACTGATTTTCTCTGCGGCATTCCGCACATCAGACAGGTTACAAAATCAAGGACTCATGCTTTCTCTGATGTTGTTGAACCAGGTACGTATCCAAAGGTTGGCGATTTAATTGTATAACAACTAACTTGTGTATTTGGCGACAGCCGCATCATGATTGTGCTGACTTCCCACGATTTCCTGAATTTGAACATCATGATGCCACGGCGGCGGCCTCGCTCAATGGCGTCGCATTTGTTCTACAGGCATGAACAGATAAGAGAGAGTAGTTGAAACTTTATGACAAGGAGTTTAGCCTGCATGGCTGATGCAAGGTGAGTTTCTGCTTATTCAAGTTTTGTCTTTGGCTCTGACTCGGAGAAACAGAAGGGTGGAAACCTGAGATCGATTATCATACTTGGTGGAAAATATCCAAACATCGTGCCATCAAAGATTCGCGGTCTCTTACTGCTCGAAGTTAGTGTAACGATTTTTCTCGAAATTCTGTGTGAATGATTTGATCTCGCAGTTTGGAGCCATGTCCGCCCAATTCTCAGGAAACATATGTTGGAAATGCGAAACATCCGCATGGAAGAAACACTTTATAATTCTCGACGGGGGATTCTCCTCCAGGCATGGATCCAAACCATTCGACGACATCATCAAATCACCTGCCCGTGTCATAGTAGAGCATGATACCTTTTTACCGGCTATTGTTGCTCTTCCTAATCTGGTGAGGAACTGGCGGAGACAGGTTTATCAACAATTTGCTGCAATCATCACGAATGGGTATCCAAAGGAATTTGTACCAGCTGGAGACATCCGCCAACTTGCAACCGGTGTCTTTGTCTGCAATGCATGCGAACAGCTCTTCTTCTGGACCGATGCTGTTGTGCACAAGTGCAGCCTTGACTTTCCAAGGGGTCCAAGCAAAGAAAAGAATGATTCTTTTAAGGAACAGGTGACCCGCATCGAGTATTTTTCGCTCGGTTCTTCTCCATGGTCTCCGAAGTTCAGGTCCTCTACAGCACTAGCCATTCATGTCATCCATAGTTGCTGTCAGGATCCTCGGACCGCTACACTTGCACACATGGACGATTTCCGTCATGCAATCTCTCTTGACGAACATCGTGTGTATGTGTCTCAGATTCCTTTTCAATAACTCATCATCTGATGTGCAATTCTCAGGCGCTTCAAGCCTGGTCTTTGGACACGCCCGACTGAGGCTCACAAGAATTGTGGTGTTAAATCCCATCACATGCCTCGCAGCATCGGGGGGCATCTCCCGAGCCAGCCGAAACTTGAAATTTTAGGCAGCCCAGACAGTGACGCAACCAAGACGTCCCGTCACCATCACAAGATGGGACGAGAGCTCTCAACCACCGACTCGGAGCCCATCGTTGAAATGAACGTCGAAGAAGTTTAGTTTGCTGGCTGTCATCGCGGTAAGAACCTCAAGTTTGGCAGAGTGCAATTCTGATCCCAAAGCAGACCTCGGCGGTTAGGTTCGGTCAAAAACAGTACCCGCAATAGTCTTGCCCACATACCGCTTCGGTGGATGACACGAGCACCACGTTTTACTGCTTTGCATGTCATTCTGATGGCAAGACTGTCATGCATTGGAGCCTGCAATCAGCACTCAGTCTCATCGCTTTTCCAGATTGTAGATATCGGGTGTAGGGAGGGTCAGCTCCTCTCCCGACCCTAGCATATCACCATCTCCCATTGATACAACTTCAACAGCACTTCGACCTCCACCCAACCCACATCATAGGCCTCGACATCTCACCCCACGCACTCACATCCGCAATCAAAGACACCTCCCCCGCCACCACAAACACCTCATACACCCGCTGGGAACATTTCAAAGTGGACATCTGGCACGGAGGACTCGAGATCTACAACTCAGCTTTCGTCAATGCAGAATGTAGCAACAGAGGTGTACGTCTATTCCTTACTCATAACCCTTCTTTGCTGATACGTTCATCTCAGCATCGCACACCTCCCAGAAGCCATTCTGGCCGATTTCGTGCCCATGGTGATGGGCGCATACCACCCCCTTTTGCTCCTAGTAACAACCCCCTCATATGGCTTCAACACGTGCTTCAGCCCCCCAGGGTTAACAAACACCACCACCGGCTTCCCTCTACGCAACAATCGAGATCAAGCTTCTGAAGGTAGCAAGTCACGACTGCAATCACAGCTCCTATCTGGGAGATACCGATGCCTCCTTTGTCGACGAAGTGTAGGATGTTGAAAGCCTAATTAATCATATTTAACCTAGCGCCCAAGCGTCATTGCTTGGCTGTGCAGTGCTAGTCAAAGCATGCATTAAAATCGTCGCTTGCTAGACCACTTACAATCGGCCTCAATAAAACTTATAGGATGCAGGAGGTGAGCATCAAGTGCATTTTCTGATGTTCCATTCTTTACCCGTTTCAAGGTGCTGTCTGACCATCAATACTCCGAGTCTGCCCAAGTTGTCCTCCATGCGAACATCTGGCAGTCTCGTCTTTGCTACTCGTCCAACGCTGGGAGCCAGTTCTTCTGATAACATAGAAAATTGTGTTCTGTCACTGTTGCTAGCATCCACCACCATCAATATTTGCATCTGGTTGGTCTCCAGGTAGTACTGGACGGCTGCGCAGCCGTAGGTCCTGATCAACTTGGCCAATGTTCCCAATTCGATAATTATGTCTGCCCTCCAACCCAACAGCTGTCCTCCTCCACCCGGTGATGGTTTGCACAGTGCGGACAACCTTTATATGCATGGTATATGGTAAAAGTACATCAAATATATCCAGTCTTGGTTCGGTCCCGTTCGTTCTCCCCACCCGTTCGTTCTCAACATATTCGTAAGTTTCGAATTTTTGTGATATATATGTGGCTTACCTCAATGCTAACACGCACCTCTTAGTCCCAGCAAATACTCCAACTCCCTCATCTCCATCTCGAACACCCTGCGCTCCCTTGCTATCCATAAGACCATCATCGCGCGCACCTCATCTGGCCAGGCCGGAGGCAGGGGATAGGGTGGAATTGGTAAGGCAGGCTCATAGAGCTCTTGACGCACGCGCATTCGCGTGGTGGCCCATCTGACATATAGCATTTCCTTCGACAAGATCAACGCCGTAACTCGCGCGGTCGACTCACTCACCAGTTGCCCCACAGTCAGCGTGAACACCACCTCTCACGGCCTTGGAGTGTGTTGGAGTAGGTGCTGAGGAATCTGCAGATGAGTCTGTGAGCAGTCCAAATGTTAGAAAATAGTTAGCGCACTTGGTTATTTTGATTTCCTCCTGCATCTCGGTTGTCGCCTCCTCCGTTCGCATTTATGTAGTTATTCATAGCGTTAGAATCGCACAAATGAAAACAAATACAGAGTGAATCGATAGTACTCACAAGTTCGTCCTTGATTATCGGTGTAGAAACAACAATACAGAGAGGAACAAACAAAGCTCCTGACTGTATCTGTAAATGTTGTAAGGTCGCGCGTTGCCTAGTCTGCTATACTTGAGACGACAAGTGCGTTCGACCCTAAAGGGGAAGCGAGTGCAGCAAGGATCTAGTAGTGCACGCCGAAGGCGCTACTGGTCGGCTGATGCGAAGCGTGAGAAAGCGCGCAGGTGCGCGCGAGGCGCGGGAAAGCGAAGGTACGCGCGAGGCGCGGGAAAGCGAAGGTGCGCGCGTGAGCGGTAATGAGTGAGAGTAAGAGTGAGTTTGCTTAAGTGGTGATTAGATACTAGACAAGAGATATGAGCGCGAGGTGTCAAAGAATAGATTTCTACTATGTTCTCCTAGGTAGTATGTGGGTGGTAAGTGGGAGGTAGAGTGCAAAGTTCGAAAGTTTTTAATAGTATGTAATGCTGGCGCTTATATACGGCGCCTAAGCGCTGTCACGCGGAGCTGAAGCGCTACCGAGTAAGGTATGTAAAGCTATATGTAAGTAAGGGTCCAAAATAAAGGTGGAACGATACACAGATAAGAGAAATGGAAACATACCCACTAGAGAACTTGGTGGACAGTGGATGGATGCTTCCGGATGGCTGGCACTATAGGGCGCTCAAGCGCGGGAAAGCGCGCGCGTATATACATCGTAAAGCGCGGGAAGTCGTGCGCGCTTGCTGCGCCTTGCGCGGGAAAGCTGCGCCTCATAAGGGAATAGCTGTGGATAGCACACAGAGTGATGCTACAAGTTCGTGCTATGTACTCCCTAGTGAATACTGCCATATCATGCAATGAGAGGCATGAGTCTCTACATCGGGTATGAGAGAAATGTCCTGATTTGGACAAGGTATGCATTCCCGGCATTTTCCAGGGCGCGCCACATCTGAGTCAGTGCATGTATCCGAGTCGTATGTACTAGCTAGTAACCTAGTAAGCTTTAGAATATATTTCTTTGATATTTCTGTCGTGGTTTTCGTTGATTTTAAATGTATATTATTTAAATTTATCGAAAGTAAGTGTTAGTATATACGCCGACGGTTGTTTGTTCATGTTGAATCCTAAAGCTTCGGCTAGTACCGTGACGCACGATCATCTCCTGATATCATGTGTTCTTTATTCCTCCTGCCCTCACTTGAGAGGAGACAAGGCGCATTCGAGATGCTCATGCATTCTATTTAAAAAAAAATCATCAATACTATCATATTTTACACCTGAAGAATGATGCATGAGAACACTCAGCAAGGGGGACCGCTTTACCCTATTACATTATGATTTAGGCTGCCATGTTGCAATGCTGCAATATTGTCATGAACCCCCATGATCAACGAGATTAGATGAGCAATACTAATGTCGCTTTCCACAAGAAAGCCTTGCATAGCCGTGTGATGCCCAAAAAATTAGAGAACACTTAGCAAGGGGGACACGCTTTTCCCTATGTAGGCTACAACATGATTTAGGCTGCCATGGTGCAATGCTGCAATATTGTCACAGGCTTCGATGACCATTGAGATTAGATGATCAATACTAACGTCCCTTTCCTTGAGAAAGCCTTGCATAGCCGTGTGATGCCAAAAAAAATAGAGAACACTTAGCAAGGGGGACACGCTTTTCCCTATGTAGGCTACAACATGATTTAGGCTGCCATGGTGCAACCCTGCAATATTGTCACAAGCTTCGATGACCATCGAGATTAGATGATCAATACTAATGTCCCTTTCCTTGAGAAAGCCTTGCATAGCCTTGTGATGCAAAAATAATTGTGGTAAAATTAGAACGCACAAAGTAGTTAGAACACATATACTATTACTCCTCACTGTCTACAAAGGAGAAATGTCACAGCATTGTCATGGGCCGTGCATGTTAAGCTGGATTTGCGGGCATCCATGGGTTTGTATGTACAACTCTAATAGTTCATAGTATAAAAGATGATATGTGGCGAGAACAGATTTGCGACGCAGTATACTTCCCACGGCTACAAAATCAAGGACTCATGCTTTCTCTGATGATAGTGGACAAGGGACATGCGGACGACTCCATCATTCCCATCTAGTTTTGGCCATAAATTGTCAATGAGAGAATACGAGTAAAAGTGGCCGTATCGAATTCCGATCTGTGCATGTTACATGCATATAAGATCGAATACATTAAGATCATCGAAAGTCGGACTTATCCCTCCTTTTTTGTCAAATGCTCCTACGATATCCTTGCTCTTGATCGCGAGCCGAGCGTGGAACCTCGCCAGTGACAGTGTCTAGTTTTGGCCCTGTGGAAACAACCTCACCTCCCCCAGTCGACATTTACATGCTGGTCTCCTAAATATTCTCGTCTCATGACCGTTGTTCCTTATGCATGACAAGCGTCTATCAAGTCAGAGACGACTAATGATTCAATATCGATTTCGTTGAGGTCTTGATACTTCCCACTTCCGTACATATGCTGCCCCGTGACATCCTCTATTCCAAGACTCTAACACAGTATGCAAGTACCGTCAGCATTAGAGGACCAATGATTATTGACCAAAGCTCTCCAGCTTGTTGCTGGCTGCAATCCTCAACTCCTTTACAGTAATGATGATCCCCTCTCCCTGCTCTAAATCTTGCATCTCATGTCCCATCTCCTGTAGTTGCCTCTTCTCTTGCATGTGCTCCTCCAACATTTCGACCACGTAATCCACATTTTTGATGAGCTGCTCGAGATCAGATTTCGAAGCAATCTGCATATACTGATTTGTGCCATCCACAAGGACAAGAAGGAGCTTGAAAGAGCGCGCGTTGTTAATGTTATAGGGAGAACACATCCACGTGCTTCTCATCACGTCCCACCACTGCTGCTCCGTAACAGAATCAAGCGATGTGATTGATGTGTGTTGAGGTGTGGTTTGGAGGAGGATACCAGCTATGTAAAAGGCACGCCCCGTGGGTAATTCAGAATTGCAGTACTGTGGAATCATGCTAATGCACTGATCTATGTGGTGGTCCCCAAACAAATGGGGGTGCCAGTCGGAATTTCTTGTGAGGGCACAGACTAGTTTGAGATAGCACAAGTCGCGGCAATAATCGAAAAAGAGGTCGGGATCATCATTGGCAGGTGTTGTACCTGGGTGTGGACAAACCACAGACAGGATAGCGGGGGAGAGCTTAGTCAAAACAATGTCCCGTAGCCTCGCATCATCAATGGCGGCGATCAAGGCAATTTGTTCTCGGGCACCGTGAGCAGCGCGAAGAGCGGCATGGCGTAAATGGAGAGGCATGTTCCTGTCCATGCAGGCGATGAGCCCCTCGATGAACAAATGCTGTTTAGTGGGGCTGCAGCAGACCCCCATACTACCCAGTACCAAAAGGATGTCATATGCCGTTTCGTGGTCGTCGGAATATATGAGATCAAAGTAGTCGACCACCCAGTCGAAGTCTTCTGGCGAGTGGGATTCATTTCCCCACCAAAACCAATCCCACACCAGGGCAGGGTCACAGGATACCATAGCAGCAGCGAAAGTGAAGTGCAGTGCATTTTGTGGAGCTGCCAACGAAACCGAGGCATCGTTTTGTTCGGATGACCTCGCTCGTGAATAAATCTTCCTGCAGACGTCCAGGTTCCGCATGGTGTGGGATGTAGGAGAAGAAAAGTGAATTTTGGCAAGCTCAATGATGCGGTTAATAATATCAAGGAGTTTCCATGCCTGGTGTATGACTCCTGTGCTATCATTGTCAAGCTCGCCTCCATCCCATGCCCATAGAGCCTTTTGGAACTGCGCCAAAAGAGACTCGCTGAGTAGAGGCAGAGCAGAACTACATCATCTCTTTGTTAATCATGGCAGAAAACTACCAAATGAGTCGATGTCACCTTTTATCAATCCGAACTATGTCTTTCTTGTCAACCTGAGCCCCGACCATGACGCAGGCAAGAAGAATGCAATTGGCTAGGATTTGATTCAACGGAGAGGATGGGGATGATAGCAATTTTGATAACACTGTTATCACGAGGTTTTCTATGGATTTATTCACTCGCCCAGTGACGAAGTGATAAGGAAGAAGATGTGACAGCCGCTCATAGACAGAGTCAGGGCAAGCCTCTGGGAAAGAAAAACTCCAGCTATAACCATCTCGACAAAGGTCTAGAGTTGTGTTAAGCATCGTTCGGTCGGCTACGCGCACATAAATCTGAAGAAACACGTTGAAGTCTTCTGTCCCACGGATAATAAATTCGCCACAGTCAGGATATGCCTGAAGAACACATCCATAGTATAGGTGACTTAGAGCTGTTGTACATGCCAATGCCTTCTCCTCCAAAGACAGTACGATGCGCCTCTGAATGTTGACGCAGCTCATAAAAATATCAAACAGCTGATGCAGCATGTCTGAAACATCAAGATCCAGGGGCCATTCGACCTGCGGGACAAGACTGGCAGCAGCCAGAAATACTTCAGGATCCGTAGATGTCTCGAGCAGCCACTTGACGCTATACGCTTCGAGATTGCTGGTGGGTATGTCAGGGAGGTCAAGATTAAGGGTATCATCATTCTCCGCCAAAACATCCGGATCCGGGTCGAGCGGTTGTACCTCTGAGTCCACAACCTTTGTTGAAGAACTCGGAACTAAAGAACGCAGCCGGTTATGAAGCCTGGTGATGAACTGCCGAAGAGATCGTCGTGTGAATGTACCTATCGCAAGTGCAGGGCCTAGGGAGTGAATGAGCCTCGAGTATCTTTGTGATAGTAGATGAGATTGTCACCTATAAATACTTCAGACAATCGGGTCCATCCCGAACTGACGATACTAAATGATCGTTTGAGCATGCCTGACATGAAACGGTCAAAACCTGCACACATGGAAGAAGACACACCTCACCTTGCAGTAACGTCATGGCCCGCCGGAAATAACAGGAAATTGGTTTGAATACCTGGTGTAGAACCCCTGCGATGTTGATTCAGATGGGGAACGAACACCAGAATTCGGCAAAACAATGTTACTGTCGATGTGCAACGCGTATAATAGCGTTGATATCGGTGTCTGAAATGGACAAGCGGTAGATATCAAACAAGCCATTACAGTCAGGGAATAAAACAGAAATCCGAAGACCATCGTTCCGATGATGACCCAGGTGATGCTTGCCTGCTCGCACCACAAATGGGCGCCAAGAGAGCTCCCAAAGAGAAGAAGAGAGATCTGAAGTAAGACCGGAAACGACTGCATGACAGCATCAAAATACCATGTCACGATGCCATCGAACTGCTCTTGCCTGCACTTCCCTTGCTGCTCCTGCGAGCCGCGGCCATATCTGTTCGACTTATAGTACCCCAGCCACTGCATTCCCAGCACGGCCCCGAATGCAGCGAGCAAGCTCATGGACAAACTCGCATATGCGATCGTTTGGACCCATAAGGTCGACGCGGTCGGAGACCACCCAGATGCTGGGTCTACGGGAGTGGAGCCTGCCTCGGCGAGATTGCTGAGTCCGATCAACACGAGTTGCTTCAAAAGGGCATTCGTAGTGTCACTAGGGTCGGGACTGAAATCGGACTCCATCGCTACAATGAAAGATGTGCCGACAGCAGAGAAAAGACCAGACTGGTCTAACATCAGCCTCAAAACGGAATACAGATAAGCAGGCTGAACTTATGAAGATCAGGACGATGTTCATGTTGCTGGTGTATTGCTCGAGGAACTCACTGTCATGTTCCTCAGCGACTCTTTTGTACACCCTCCAGAAATGAGACCGTTCATCCTTTCCAGTCTTCGACGCAATGGTCGAGTCCTTGAGAACCTCCAACACTTCCCTCATGACATTTGCTCTGCGCGTAGGGTGTGATCAGCTGTGATCGCTTGGCTTCAACTTTTTGGCTCACAATTCGCTTAGAGTCGGCTCGATCTTCTCTGCCTCAAGCTTTGCCGCCTCGCTGAGACGAATGAGGAGGATGTTTGGCGTCATTATCGACAAGGACTCACAGAGTCAAATCGTCGACTGGTGGAACATTGGATGTACTTTGCTGTGTCAGAGGTCCCGATGGTCGCGAAGGTCCAGCATTCGAGCTGCAGTCATAGTAAGGAGTGGCGCAGATGCCCATCAGGGAAGAAACACATACATCCTTGATGGCAGCTCTGCCAAGGGTTCAACATTGATCTTCTCCCTGTCTTGCTGTTAGACAAGCAAGTGATAGATTTCAGGAAGCTGCAACTCACTCCTCGGTGAGTCCTACGACGTCGTTTTGTGAGAGAAGCTGCTCATCGTTGTGGGTGCGTTGATCCTCGGCGTCGTCGGTGGCTGATGCTTGTGACATGAGGAATTTAGTGGTACTATTGAATTCCAATAAAAGCTAGTGAAATAGAGTCTGTTACGGACTAGGATAGTTCGAGCTCTCCCTAGGCGGATTGCCTAATCTGATAGCGGGCTCGCTATTGGAGAGACGGGGATCTTCTCTCGAATGAGAGGTTCGGGGGTTCCACTTAAGGTAGCGTCGGCTTTCCTTAAGGTGCGGCTTAGACTGAAGGACTGGGACTGTCTTTCAGAGGAAGTTCTGGATAAAACCTAGTAGAATCAAGTAGGGAATATACATGATTCTGTCTGCTCTATATACTGTCGTCCGTGTGCACAGACCAATACTACGTTCGGTAGGTAGGTATGAGTGTGTCTATACAAGGGCATCTTATCTGATGCCATGCGGGCGATTATCTATACATGAGGCTTACCATGCCTCTCTTATCTGTCCTCAAGGCGAAGCATGCCTTGGAGTCTAACTGCGCATGCTGCGGCATGCGGCTTCTCTTCTGACCATGAGGCAGAGCTTCCTCATGATCCGGGTCGAGGACCATCTAGGTCCGTCCAGATGTAGCCTAGGCTGGTCTAGGTCATCTAACGGCATCCAGGCCGTTCTAGGCGTCTCTACGAGTCTCCGTTGAGTCGGTAAGTCTTCCAATGACGGTGTATAGGCGGGATAGGGGCTAAGGTCATGATGACCTCCGTAGGAGGGGTTCTCGGTTACATGTTATTGTAACAGAGTCTGAGATGAGTGGACAGAGTAGACTCAGAGTGGTACACAGCAAGTCATTTAGGCGGCTATGACTCGAACACGTGCTTGTGAGCATTGATGCCGAAAGTTTTCGTGAGAGCTCCCTGCAGTGAACTGAGACCTTATCACCATCATGGTGATAGATCCTTCTAGGCCCAGTCTTTATGCATGGCACTCCATTGAAGTAGTTCAAGCTGACATGTGTTTGGCACCTACGCTCAGATAAGTCGAGCTTTTGTGGAGGGGTGTGCACTGAGAGCTCTGTTTATACTGGAAGTTACGAACGACTCCTCGTAATTATGCGATGACCCCGAAATGCCGATTGAGGAGAAGATTTCGTCAAGGGAGGGCAGCTTCAATGTCGTAAAATGTCTTTGTCTCAGATTTGGGGCCTTAGGATTTTGCCGCATCACTGCCGCATCCATGCCGCACCCTACACAACAAGTGTCTTATATGCGTATATAATATGTCTACGTCGTCCACAAAGGTCTTAAATATGATTTATGATTAAGAGATACCATAGTACATGTTTTTGTGTAAGAATTATTGTGGTATCATAGTGAATATAGTACTTCATGGGTGCGGTAGTGACGCGGTAGGGTGCGGCAGGGTGCGGCAATTCTGAGATTTTGTGGCTGTGTGGTGCGGCAATACTGAGATTTTGTGGCTGTGGGATGCGGCAATTCTGAGATTTGGTGGCTATGCACTACCGCACCGCACCAACGCATCCTTCTTACCAAGTATACTGCGACTGCCATAGACGCTCCTCCCAAGTTCGACGAGTGGGCTCTCAGTGGTCTGACCAAGGACAAATATGTACATGTGCACCCTCATCATACAATATACGGACTAACAACCATGCATCTCACATATGAATCAATGCACCCAGTCACAGGCGAGCACAACAGCATGCTCATCCTCCGCACATCAAGTACTTCCATTCACCTTCCTTGGCCGTGGCTGGGGCCATGGTTTTGGCTTTTTGGTATGTTTCTCTTTCTTAACAACTTCGGGCTCACTTCCTTCACTAAAGTTCAGCCCACACTGTTGGTTGGCACTGTTTTAATGCAACCTCCCACTGTGAATATGAAAACGACGCACATCCAGTTCTCCTTCAAATTCTGGTGCATACGGATCTCGGTCACCATGATTTCAGTGCTCGGGGAGACCCTCATATGGATTCCATCGGTCTTGGTGCGTGCCACTGAGTCGTATATAACAGATTGTAACTAGCAGGTGCCTGTCGAGAGTGACAGGTCATTGTAAAGTGGGTGCTCTAGAATCTATATAGTCTGGACTCTGAATGTCATCGTCTCATACTATATTACTAGGACTCACTGCTGCTGCGCCCACTACCGCATCTGTGCCGCAACACGCCCAACACGTCCTCTAAATTCAACCTCTCAAAGGCATATCCGAGAGGCGCATAGTTGATGAGTTCGACGAGTAATGCTGCTAGGTCAATTAGCTTGGGTATGATTAGAGTAGTTGTCGGAAATGAGCGTTGAATGTTGGTTTCGGTGTGGTGCGTTAGTGGTGCGGCAAGTTGCGGCAGTGATGCGGCAAAATACCTGAGCCCTCAGATTTGTTAAGTCGTCGATTTCACACGATTCTAAATATATTTACACAATCCCTGTATTTCATTCGATGTCACCTGTGGTTCCCACGTACCTGATCTAATAAGATATGACAGCTGCGTGTGCTGGCGGGTCTAAAACGACGTGTTTCTAATTATCCCCAGCCAAATGAATAAAGGCTGGATACTGAGGGGCCTTCAGTGGTGCAAAGAGAGTACTGGTGGTGTTCCAGCAGTGTCGGCACCTATCTCCGTACCCCGCGTGCTAATATTAGCTCATTTAGAATGCCGCCGGCTGTCGGATGTAATGGGCGAGGCCACGTCAGCACCAATCATTCGTGCTCGCTGTTGCCGACAGCGAGCTCGTGTATTTCGCGTGGATGTGCACAGATTGGAGGCGGACTTTTTTGCATAGGTAGTATTACATGTATATAATGATGTACTACGTCGTTCTACAGCCAAAATGCAATCCCTATGATGAGCTCAAACATTCAAACATCTAAGGTCACCTGTAGAATACTCTCGAGAACGCGAGCATGCTCCTCACCATCCACGTCAGCATTCTCATCGTCCTCAAGGTCCTCCAGTGCATCATCCTCGCCTTCAGGCACCATGCTAAGCCCATCAGCAACCAGCTGCGCAGGAATACAGACTATAGGGGAGCTTGCGCTGGCTCCCGGTCCTCGTTCAACACTCTCACCCGGCGTGATGGATCCTGTAAAGCCCTCCAGCATACTGATATCATGCAGGCGCTGATAGTGGTGTCCAGCGAACCGCGCGCGAATCTTGCAGTGCAAGGAAACTTGATGAGCAAGCCCGGGGTGCAAAGTTTGCAGCTGCTTCTCGCACTCTGTCAGGTACCGGCTCTCGTCGTGTAGGTAAGTGGCTAGACGTCTGATTTCGATGTCGAGACGCTGTATTTCCTCACGGGCACGGCGCGTCTTGAAATATGTATCCATGGTCAGGCGTCCGGTGGGTGTTGCCCAAGGACGTTGTGATATGTCTTGACGTGCGTCACGGAGGAGATCGAAGTCGGAAAGAAAGGCGTATTCAACGACTTCCTCCCATGAAAGGGAGGCACGCGGGGGGCGTAGTGCTCGAGCAGCAGTGTTGTACCTGTCTAGTGCCGTCCGAATGGCCGCTGACCGTACTTGCAGCGCCTTGCCAATGTGTTTGCGCAGTTTGTAGCCTGACAATGCCATCAATATTGAGTAAGACACAAGCATCAAAACTCACCCGTCCCCGCTTGATTCATCTTCGAAAGTTCAAAAATTCGAGCAACAACCAGACCCTCCAGATGGTCCAGCGCACGCTGAAACTTTCGGTTTGCCACTAGACGACCCACATCTTTCCACTCCTGGTCTTCCTGTTCCCATCTACGAGTCACGCCGAGCTTCATTTCAAGTTCCTGGACAGCCTTGAGGTCCTTCTCGTAGTTTTCCATGGCATGCCTACGTGTCGTCTCGATCCTGTTCGTTGACGCGATATCATGGGGTCCGAACTCTACAGTGCTTGGCGTAGTGACGGTCCAAGCTGCAGTAGCAGCATCGAGGTCCTTCCTAAAAATTCGTTAGTAGTCAGCGAGCAGACAAAAGACCCTTACTCACTTGCTACCTGATAGATTCAAGAGTTTTTGCCAGTATTCCATCTGGATGGTCTCGTGGTTCGGTTCATGACTCAATGATGTGAGATAGGCTCGTTCCTCGGCCAACCAGGTGTCAAAGACACTCTTGTCCTCGAGGCCAAGCTCATGCATGAGCTTGGGCAGGGAGTTGGTGCCGTCAGAGATGATGCGGAGCGCCTGCTTGTAGTTGTTATATAAGAATGTACCTGGATACGAAAAAATCACATGTTATTCTGAGCACGCTGGTGATCGATTAAAAGACTTACTAAGATTTGCATAGATCTCATAATCATCGTTATGTTCAAAGTAATGGGCGATAGCTTGACGCCGGTGAAACACGCTCGCGTATCGCACAGAGGAGGCAAGTGCATTCGACTTCGAAAATGTCCGTTCGCAGCCCTCGAGGTCTTCCAGCCCAAGGCCATCCACATATGTGGCGAGATGGTCAAGCTGACAGAGACGTTGGTGGGCGTGTCCATGGAATGCCCCAACAAGTGAGGTATGATTGAGTTCCCGTGCGCGCTGACCTAGTGAACTACGGCTGAGTGTAGTCTTAAAGCGACAGCCGATGTCGTAACCTCCTCCAAGGTTGCTGCCGAATGTATCGAGAAGTTTTGAGACGACGGCTAGAGGGTACTTTGCTCTGAAAAATGGGTCAGCAAGCAAGCAAACAGGGGATTAATGACTTACTGTTCTCCACTTTGGACCATGTCGGCTATCACGAGCGAGAAACCATGCCTGCAGATAGACATAAATATACCTGACTCGTCGAAAACACCCCACATCTTCTTCGTCTTTTCATCTCGCATATTTTTCCAGCGTCCTGCGCAAGGATTGTCCTGCAGTCAAATTAGCACAGTGTGAAGCTAAGAATGAAGAAAATAAACCTTGTCGTCATCAAGGGATAACATATCGGCAGGCGAGTCTCTTGCAAACTGTTCGATGTACTCGTTTAACAAATAACGGTCGCCACCGACAACTTGCGTGGTGGGTAACTCTGATGAGCGTTGGGCCAAGGGAGAATTGTCGTCAGAGTCCAAATCATCCTGCGTCGACTTTTTCAAGACTCGCTTAAGTGAGTCATTGCCGTCCATTGCATAGAGTAAGCTGAATTTTATGGGGACTTCACCTTGCAGTTTGTATGTACATGCTGGACAAGCATGCTTTAAGCGCCAGTGAGGGTCTCCACGGCGAAGTGCCTCGTCGACTAGCATATTGACACTGGTGAGAATCTGTAGGTAAACGTCCAGCGCAATCGAGAATTGGCGAGATAGATAAGCGTAAAATTGAACCTGTTCAATGTTTTAAATCATTGCGTGTTTGGGTGTTGACATAGACATTAGGTACGCACCCCTTGCAAGTCACACAATGTCTTTACGTAAGCTTGAATAGAGAAATGAGGATTTCGTTGATGTGCGGTGTGATAGAGTTCGAGGGCCTGTACTGTTAAGCCAGTAGTTGGACTTATGGGTGAGGAGGGAATGATGCCTTGTCGTACAAGGGCTGATGCAATAAACGAGTCCGTCGATAGTATGGTGAGAGGAACTTTCTCAGCGCCTATCATATAGTATGTCAGCACAGTGCATGTTTATGACGTACATCGTACAAAATACATCCACCACCTTGATCTGGATGGAACCCTCCGCTGTGTTCTCCCGGGCCTGAGAAGTGTTCTTATGGTGCGCAAAAAACCCGCAGTCGCCGCTGGCAGCATTGCTAATTGAGAGATGCCAATCGAGGTAGGCCTTTGTCAAGGCTGGCATCTGTCTATCGAATGCCTCGGTGCGCCGCCGTGTCCTATCACGCCTCGTCCTGTAGTCTGGCCTGCGAGACTTTGTATTGGCATTTCTGGGGATCATCTCAGTAAGTACTACGAGTTGTGTGATATATTATGGTACTCACATGTTGTAGAAATCCCCTAGTAGCTCTCTGGTAAGCTCGTGGAACTCTCCTCCCGCATGACTGATGTCCACTGGCTCAGATCCATCGAGGACGTTCATACCGGGGTCATCGTGAGTCTCGAAATCGAAGTCGTCCTGTTCTCGAAGCGCCTCAAGTGCGCGTTTCTCATCTGCTGTCAGTGCTAGGTAATTTTATTTGGTCAGGTTTCATACTATCACTTGGAAATTATAAGCTCACCTTCTGCGCGAGCTCGTTTGCGGACATTCGTACCAGCTGCCCGCTCAGCAATCTTACTTGGCCCTAGGACCTCTCGTGTTGGATGCAGCACACGGTCCCGATGAGACACAACGTGGCGGATCCTTGAGCTGGTAAGTCCCGTCTTGTTGCGTGGTCGTTTGTTGGGGCGTCCTAATGCCATTGACAAATATGATATAGATTTACCTTTGCGCGATCAACGACCACTCACCTGCACGGCGCACGTCAGATGCACGTGACTAACTTATCTTTCAGCGCTGTTGCCCACTGCCAGTGATCTACGACATATACCATCAGCGTGATTCTGTGAGGATCATGAATCAGAGTATTGCTACACCACCAGGTACGTTACATTATTCCTCCACTCACATTCTGGTAACTGATCAATGTAGCTTCTGAACCTTCATCTCAGAATTGCAGGCACGCCGCGGGGACCGTCACTCGCACATGGACAAGACGTACTGTGCAGACTCGTTCCCACCGAACCGTCACCCGCACAAAGACGACGGTCGATGCCACAGAGACCAAAACTGTCAGTGAGAAGACCCGCAAAGTCGACTCTGACATCACGCAGGCAATAACTGGCCCAGTAAGTGTCCCAGCCAGTAGTGCGCGCAGTTTTATCTGACATGCCACGTTAGTCGAACATTCCCGCTGTCTTGAACACTGACATTACAATACCGAGTCTCACCCAAGATTTTCCGCGGGATAACTCTCCCTCCCCAACCGACTCGACATTCACACAAACACCTCCTACCACTCCAAGTTCATCAAGTTCATCGATTTCATCAGCGCGATCGAGTGATGTGCTATGGGATCAGCTTGAGGATTTATCAGAATATATGAATGCTGTTAGTTTAGGTTGAGATCGAGTGTCGCCTGCGGGACTTTTGAGGATGTAGAACATTATCTATGGATGCTACGAAATAATGATAACACCCTAACTTCGCATTATCAGTGTGATTGACTCTTGAGCGCTGCAGAACCATGTCTGACATTTGCACGATAATTTGATGTATTGAATACCAATAATTCTAAGGCTACATAGAACAGAGTTTGTGTCCCGAAGTGTGGCTGAATGTTGCTTCAGTTTATTGGTGTATTTTCAAATCTTGCTCTACGAGAAATTGACTCGGCTTCAGCTCATCTCTCTGCAACAACTGCAACCACCATAAAACCATGCGTCCCACCATGTATAAAACTGCAGAGGAGCGTCATGAGGCTCGACTGAAATCAAAGAAGGATAGCTATGCGCGGTAGGTATCAGCCTTTCTTATCACTTCAGCATGTAACGCACCTTTAGTAGTCACCGACTTCAAGAACAAGTGAAGTCCCGCACACGATGGCGACGTCGTCGAGGGGCAGCTGCGGTGAGTACTCATCTGAATTTGACTTATGTGCATGTTGCCAATAATATCTGCACTTAGGGTACTCAAGAACTGCTTCAGCGTCTCGATAGCTTATGGTTAACGTTAGGTTACCGCGATCGGACTCTCCAACACAAATTCCTGGAGTCACATGGGATGTCGATCGTATCCGAGGTAGACCGAGAGGGTTGGGATTCAGTCAAGCCAGGATGTGAGGCAGGGCTCGCAGAGGTAAAGGACGTGGTGAAGCAGGCATATGATTTGCACACTGAGGCCCGTGATATTGATGGGCCTCTCACAGATCAATTGCGGGATGGAATAGCATCTGTTGTAGATGCGGTAGACGTGCACGTTCGTGCATGGGAGGAGTTGTTGTCAATGATGGAACACGGAGTCGATACATACTTTGATGCGCTTCGCTATGGTTCATTGGTCTGGCAAAGTACCGCATAATGCGCGTTCAGTATGCAATATCATTGTTTTCAAGTAAAGAACACTAAATTTTCGACCGCGAGCAATGACATATCAGCCTCTCCTACCCACATGCAAGCCGCTCCCTCTCCTACCCACATGCAAACCGCTCCCGCTCACCATATCAGTCAGAAGCTAAAGACATACTTTGGATCTTCCTCCCTCACTTCCTGCACCAGACTTGCCCCCACCAAGCTGCGGTATCGGTTTAGTCACGGCCATACGATCCTGCTGGCGAATCAAGTACAGAAGGCCAAGTGCATGGTATTGAGTGATGTAGCTCGTTGAAGGGATAGGTTGGTGACTGCTGTTCGAATTTCCAGACAAGCCAAAATTAAGGTAACCACTGCCGGATGATCCGGGGAAGAAGGATGATGAAGACTTTGAGCTGACACCTGGACGACATGGATGGTGGATGACCTGGACATTTGGTCTTGTGTAGTATGTAAGTCACGTGGGTCCAGGCCCTGCAGAAGCCATGCACATTGCGGAAGCAAAATGGACTGCGGAAGCAAAATGGACCCAAGTTGAGCTAAAAATAACGATCATTGTGTGTCGTTGTAGACGTCGCCGAAGAGCCTGAACTTCGTTCCACGTCAACCTCAAAGCAAACTGCATCCCAACTTCCTGCATCCCAACTTCCTGCACTACCTCTCGCACTTAAGCGTGAACCACCTCATTCTTCCATTGTTCGTCTGGCCCATCCTTGCACAGTCACGCGAACACCGAGCCCCCTTTCTTCCTTTGGCTCATCGCTCCAAATCAGTTCTCATTATACTCCACAATATTATAGCCAGCTAGCTCAACCTCAAAGCAAACTGCATCCCAACTTCCTGCACTACCTCTCGCACTTAAGCGTGAACCACCTCATTCTTCCATTGTTCGGCTCATCGCTCCAAATCAGTTCTCATTATACTCCACAATATTACAGCCGGCTAGCTCAATTGACAGCAACACAACTCGCTATCGTGTCCATCCTCAATCAGCCCCAGGCTGATGAAATGTATGGGATTCAGATACCTGATGTGTACGAACGCGTGAGACAGGTAATCAAGACCACCGAGGAAGAATTCAGGTAAATGGATCGCGTTCATCATCGTAATGGTCCATGGTTTATTTTGTTGCGGCCAGCACCGACATAGAGTGGCTTCTTGAAGAAATATACATATTCAGCCCACTCGATGATGATCGCATGCGCTCACGCCTCGTGCATCAGTTTAGTTTCACCATTTGTACAAATCAGTGAGTCTCACTTGAAGCAACGGAGCTCTCCTTGTTCGTCCTTGCAATATACTAATGTGCGCCGCAACTAGAACACAATTATCTTATGGTCATGCGACCCTTCTCATTGCCTCACTGGAAGCCGCCTCCTCAGGGGATTTGAACTTGCACGTGATGCTGGCAGATGCAAGACATTACTACGGTGAATTTTTTTTTCCATGATTTGGCAAATATCTTGACGTGTTCTTTGGTTGACAAACAGCGCGTCGTGATTTTTTGCACGGTGCAGTTTTTTGGCCAGCGTGGCTGGTACAAATGCTCACATCCATGGATGGCTTCATCTTCCCTGATCCATTGTGTGGTGACACTGGCTTTGGCTTTTTAGGTGAGTCTCTTACAATGGTAAAATGTGCGCTGTGTAATAAAGTCATCGCTAGATCTCAATATCAGCAAGGATCTTGGAACGACAGGCCCAGTCCCTCCTGCACACGACATTCACCACTCCTCTCAGCCTCCGTTCCAATATTCCGAACCTTTTCGACAATTTGACCCTGGTCGCCCTGATCTCAGTTTCACTGCATCACTGAACTGGGATGATCCCTCACTGTACTTCGGACTCCCACCTCTCAGCGCTCTGCTCAATGAATCTCACGGCGTGTCAATTCCTCCTGTATCGAGTGATGTCCGGGCCACACTCACTTCAAGCAACACGGCCCCAGTTGAGGACAACACGCTCGAAAACTCAACAGAACTGGTCGGTAGTCTGACTCACAATACTGACGCGCATTCGACAATCGACGATACACAAGTAGATGGCCAGCAGCCCATTGAAGGCTCGCGTACGATGATTGCTCAACACAGCTCAGCTGCTCCACGCGTAGATTTGGCTGAAGCCAACAACTCTTCCTGGGCAGCACGGAATCCCGACAGGCCTGTTCTCGCATCGCGGGAACCCCTTACCACAGCGCAAAAAGCTCGTGCCAAGGCACAACGAGCATCACGCAAGATTACCTCCCAGCAACGCAAAGAGGCTGAAGATATGTTGAACAGCGCAATTCAACAAATGCTTGCCGAAGAAGCGCAGAAGGTGAACGACATCGCACTTGAGCATGGCGTGACTGTCGAGAAGGTCAAGAAGTTGATGGGAGGGATCAAAAATTACAAGAGCAGCCGCAGCGCACAACTTGAAAATGCCCTCATGCACGTGAAGGCAGAGCAAGTCAACAAAGGTGAATTTCTGTGCGTCATTCTCAACTGATTTATCTATTGTGTCTACAGATCTCCCGCGTGGTGCGAAATTTGGAGCTAAGGATCTCCGGATGTTGGTGAAGGAGGATACCGCCATGCAGAACTTGACAGAAGGAGAGAAGCAACAATATATCGACAACTTAATCGAACACCGCGCTATGCAGAACATGAGTGTTCGTGCGACGAACGCCTCCGCTGCACGTGATGTCCAGTCAACCCTTGATAATGTTTTTAAGATGGTAAGTTGCTTGATTTCACCAAGTCCTCACAACTAATGAACTCGTAGCTTGATAGTCTAGCAGTCCGGACCGGAATCTATGCCTGCGTGTTTGCCTCACGTGGACATGTATACGATACAGCTCAGGCAACGTGGTTCGGGACAGACAATGTGATGGATTTCTGGGAGGACGTCCTGCAAATGGAGGCAGACGAGATCGCAAGAAAACTGGAACAGTGGGCGTGCATGGCAGGTCGAAGTGTGTTTCACTTCACATTTTCACTTGCATATCTGCTGACTCTTACATTATCCTAGGCCTCGACGAACGTGAAACGGTGCAAAACATGCAACGTGTATGCACACGGCTCCTCAATTCAGGCCTAAGTACGTGTTTCGTTTCTCGCACTCACTCGATACTAACTAATTTTTTGTCAGAGACTGTAGCTAAGAGACGTGACATCCGCATCAACTATGCAAGCTTCGATACTGCTATCAAAGAGAAGCTCGGCATAGACCTGAGGGGCTGGCCTGAAGGCATTCCATTCCAATCCCCCACCAGCTTGAACGATCTCAACTCCCTCCTCAAGGTCCGTTGTGCACTGAAGGATGGCTCATGCCACTGGTTCCGCATGAGTCCCCGGCAACGCGAGGAGTATAATGCTCTGCTTGACGCACGCCGCAAGAAAGGAGAGGTGGTTACCAAGCCACGCAAGAAGCGCTCTGATGCAGGGGTACCTCGCAAACGAAAGGGCAAGGAAAATTCGCACCAGAGAAAGAGGGCACGAGCACCAGGGTCATCAATGCAGGCTCCAAAGAGTGCTGAGTTTGTTTGCACATCCGAGGAGGAGAGCAGCGAGGACGAAGCTTGACTTAGTAGTAGGGTGTTGACTTTGTAAGGTTTGGACCTCAAGAACCCTGTTATTCTACCTACGAAGCATTGCAATTACAGTACTCTACGTATATCTATATATCAGTGAAAGTCCGCCTCCAATCTGTGCACATCCACGCGAAATACACGAGCTCGCTGTCGGCAACAGCGAGCACGAATGATTGGTGCTGACGTGGCCTCGCCCATTACATCCGACAGCCGGCGGCATTCTAAATGAGCTAATATTAGCACGCGGGGTACGGAGATAGGTGCCGACACTGCTGGAACACCACCAGTACTCTCTCTTTGCACCACTGAAGGCCCCTCAGTATCCAGCCTTTATTCATTTGGCTGGGGATAATTAGAAACACGTCGTTTTAGACCCGCCAGCACACGCAGCTGTCATATCTTATTAGATCAGGTACGTGGGAACCACAGGTGTTCGATGTCCAGGTCAAGCTACAAACTATTTGATCGGTTTCGATCGTGGACAGCTGAGCTCGCCCATCTTCGCGTCCCAGATTTTGATCAATCCTCCTGTGGCAATCATTGATATTGATGCCTCGGGTGAGTATCTCACCGCGTACACCGCCTCGTGTCCTGTCTTGATTGGCTTCAGACCTTCGACTGGTTCGCTGCTCTTCACATCCCACACTCTTGCCGTCCCATCATGTAATCCGCTCACAACTCGCCCACCATTTGGACTCCAGCACACTGACTGCACCAAAGTAGTGTGTCCTTTCCATTTGACGACAACCTTCCCCGTCTCGACATCCCACAACCTCACTGTCCCGTCATAGCTTCCGCTGGCAATAGTCTTGCTATTTGGAGACAACGACATCATCATTATTAGTGCCTTATCCCCTTCATCTCGCCACTCGCTACCTATCTGTGCACCGCTCTCTAGGTCCCATAGTCGAAGTGAGCTGTCGCTCGAACATGTGATGATGCGCTGCCCACCGTGCGGGTGCGCAATGCCTCTAACTCACTTGGTATGGCCTCGTATCGCCTTGCAGGGGGTTACTGCCGACGTCTTTTTCACATTAGCGGCAGTGGAAGACATGATGGGCGCTCGGGGATTTCGATCAAGGGAATCGTGGACTATATGCGCGAGAGTAGATCGTCACTTCAGAATCAATTGTCCTGTGGGGGTATAAATAGTGGGTGGTTTCACTGCCCTGTCTGCTTTCACCTCACTTTGGCATGTCAATAGAAATTCCTGGAGGGATTGCTTACGAGAGGTTCTAGCCAGGCGAATTCTAACCTGGCTCATAGGACAGCTTCGGGACGACGTATCCAGTAGATATCCATCGATACCGGCCGGGGAGTATTCGTAACTTTTCCTCACTTCAGCTTTTCCTACTCCCAACTACAGTATCACTCACGGCAAAGTCCCACTTAGGACAGATTCACTCCGCGCAACAACGAGAGGGGCGGGCTGGTAGCTAAGGTAGTGGATGTTTGCTTTTGGGGTCGAGAGGGCTGCGCAAGTGTTGGTATAAGTTGCCTGCCAAGACACGCATTAGTTATCCCCGTGTTCTCTCCACAGCTTCACAGTGCTGTGCACACAAAGCGCCATATGCATCTCCGTATCTTTATTCAGCCTTGTCGAACGGTCTGATCCATTTCCGCTTTCTGGAAGTACTATTCTGCCAGCCTGTCTTGGACCATACTCGAAGGATGGTATCGTACGCTTCTCAATTTAACACAAAAGACATCGATTGGTGGGAGCTCTACTGAAGAGGTGCCGTTGGATCACTCAGACGTCATTGGGTTTGTCTTTCAGGATTGGACAAGTTTTATCGCTCTATCACACAACGAGTATCAGAATCTCCGGGCAAGTCACAGATGCCGATAGCGTGTCTTATCTCTGCTTGCCCCATGCTCAATCTATACCAGATGCGAATCTTTCTTTTTTCTACCCTGAAAGGAGGGATTGGCTCTGCCGCAGTGGTGAAAGATGCAATTTTTCATATGAATCATCATTGTTGACCCTTTCCGTTGAACGTTTTCGGCCAACCGGAAGTGAAAGATGACTGAAAGATACTTTTTCAGATCCGCAAGTCCGTTCCGTCGAAAAGGTGGTAACTTATCAGTATGGCTTAGCTAAAATGAATGGTTCAAGTTCAAGTTACATATCAGCGAGCAGATAGTGCAATGTCCGCCAATGCTCATCCATCGGAATGACACGAAAGTGAGTTTGTTTTCGTGTCCTGTCAGTCAGTGTGATACTATATTCAAATCTGTTTCAAAAGCTGTGATGGGCCTCACGGCCTGGCCTGAGGTTTTTCAAAGCCGGGACGGCACATCACTAGATGGTTTAGTGACAGCCATGATTGATTCTGGTGAATAATGCGAGAATTTGGAGGCTTAGCGCTTAATCTCAGGCTGTTTCATGCAGCACTTTGGGGCGAATGATAATGTGCATGATCACCAGACGATCGAACATGCATACGCCACGGACGAAGACCTCCGTGCTGAGATAAGTAACATCGGCGACGCACAACTTGCGAGGGCAGCAATCCTCCAGATTACATGGGCATCTCTGATGCAATGTACTAGAAAAATACATCTCCAGAACGTTCCAAGATAGTTACATATATTTTTACATGATTTTACATTATCGCTCAAGCCAAAACTTCCCTCAAAATGTCCAAGATCTTCTCCACTTCCTCGACGGTGTTATAGTGGACAAGTGAGATGCGGACGACTCCATCATTCACGTCCAGTTTTGGCCGTAAATTGTCAATGAGAGAATATGCGTAAAAGTGGCCGTATCGAATTCCGATCTGTGCAACATGCATAATCGAACACAATAAGATCATTGAAAGTAAAACTCACCCCTCCTTTTTTGTCAAACGCTCCTACGATATCCTTGCTCTTGATCGCGTTCTGTCCGACGACAACAAAGCTGACAGTGGGAACTCTTGAGAGATTAATCTCGCTTCTCCCCACAATGCGAACACCTCTGTCAACTTGTTTCGCGTCCGTCAAAAAGCGGAGTAAAGGGGCCAGAAGGGTTTGCTCGTGGTTTGCGATTGCGTTGAAAGATGCTACAAGATCATCTTCTGGTGTCAACGACTTCAGATATGGCACGATTGCCGTTGCACCATACACCAGCTCATAGCCCGGACCACCTGGTTGCAACTTATATGGCTTGTCGTCCACCTTCAGGAAATGATGTGCGATGGACGTAAGAGATGTCTGCAGAGCAGCCGATCGCACGTAGACGGCAGCATTGTGAGTCCCGTACACCTGTAAAACACAGTGTCAGATGCGAAATCGAAGAGAATCGCGGGTATCGAGACCTTGTATACAGAAAACACACAGTAATCGATATCCCACTGTCGTACGTCCATTTTTCTATGTGGTGCGTATGAAACACAATCTACAGACACTTCGACCTTTCTTGCGCCCTGTTCTTTTGCACGCTGGCGAAGTGCCTTCACTGCTTCTTCCACAGGAACCAACGATCCTAAAATATTGGAACATGCGGTGATGGCGACCAGCCTGGTTCGTGAAGAAACCAGTGGCAACAGTTCTTCAACTTTGTATGCGACTGAGTAAGGGTTTTCAGCAGATACTGGCGTAGGTTGCCAGTATTTGACCACGGCGTTGCGCCGCTCGGCCAGACGCTTCCAAGGACCATTGTTTGCTAAGGCGAACGTTTAGTTGTTTTTCTACAGGAAGATAATGTCAGAAACCTTCATGTTCATAGCTAATGATGAATTCATCTCCGGGTTGGATATCGTTTTCGAGCGCTCTAGCGATGTTCTCCAAAATCATCGTCGAACTCGGTCCAAACCCGACTTCGTCGATGGAAGCAGCATTGAACATCTCTGCAGCAGTGAAAGGGCCCTCATCCACGCGCTTGTTACTCAGCGTGCCGACGAAATAGTCAGCTCCCAACTGTACGTTAGTGTTGGTCAGATAATCTACAATCCGATCGATCACTCCTTGAGTAGTCTGCGATCCTCCCGCATTATCGGCGTAGATGTATCCTGATTGCAGGGATGGGAAGCAAGCGCGAACTTCATCGATGTCGAGGGAAGCCATCTGATCACTATTGCTGAGGAAGTGTAGTCCAAGAGAAAAGGATGACTGATGTGAATATCGTTCGATGATAGTCATTTCATTATGTATTCATATCGATATCCAATAAGGCGTAGGTTCGATCTAGGCCTGATCATGAGGCCTTGAGGACATGTTCGAACAAAATTGGGTGGACGTTTAAGGCAGTTGGTCCATTACCTGACGGAGTTTGAAAACTTGACCTACTAAATGCGCTGGCCCGCCGTATTTCAAACAGTAACTGTCTCAGCGTTGGGAATGTCTATGGAGAATACTGTCATTGGCTACTTGCTATCTCCATCGACATTCCCAAGCATCGACTGCTTGTCTTGAAATGTATAAAAATAGGGGAGCTCAGAGTACTAGGCCTAGGCCGCACTGCGTGTCCGTTCAGGTTGCCCTTTTCACTAAGATATAAGCTCAAATTACACTGTCCTGAACCTCGTCATGTACAATCATCCTCTTCTTACAGATGGCGGTAAATTCGATTCTACCATACACGAATGAGATGCGTTGACCTGGAAGCAGGTCGGTGATCCTTGAACGGGCTCCATCAGTGGCATCGTCATTCATCCTGCTACGCCCATCGCATCGAACAGTTGCCATATTACAGCATTCATCCTGGACGCGACGCGTCACTTTCTACCTGGGCGGCAAGGACATCCTCTGCGGAAACGATAAAATGATCTCAGAGTGGGCAGTGTCCAATTCAAAGGCATGTTTCTATCCTGGACTCATGTACCATAATTCAAGCATCTTTCGTGCAGATCCTGGCTATCACGAGTCATAGCCCGCGATGCATGCGTTACCTCCGAAGAACTATTCACTCAAGATATCAACGCCGATCCGAACAACCATACCCTCTATGCCCATCGTCCATTCGTTATAGTGAAAACACGACTGGGAACACACCCTTCTGGATGCGATCAATGTGAGATTTGCTAACCCATCATCGACCCCTTATGAAACATTAACTCGACGGTGACATACTCCATCAGCATTTAGCCCTTATCGATAGGCTATATTTCCAAGGGCATTTCCCTCTGCGGAAAAGGCCATGTCCGGGATGCGAGGGCGGCATTTTGTGTTGTATTTATGTACAGTTCTCGTCCAATTTTGTTCAGTCTCGATGCTACGTATACTTATGATGAACCTTTTTTGTGGTGCAATTGATAAGTGTGTAGGGCCTGGAATTTGCGTCCATGCATGATTTTTATGAGTCGGAGTCCGTACACTAGCAGCATCGAGAGTTTGACGTACATCATCCCAGACACCTCCATCGCGCTGCATTTCTCGGACGTCATCGAGAAAGTGGTTATGGAGGTATGTATCACTTATGCTAATCGATCGCACTACTGAATCCTTGGCCACAGTTCCGGACCCAACGCTCATCCGACAATTTTCTCACATCGCTCTGCAGTGGCTGGCTGCTGAAGGGCCTACGTGTCGCAGTTTCATCTGAACAGGCAGCCGCGCTTCATGTCCTTTGACAACATCATCTGCGTCTCAGATGTAAAAGCTCCACCCATTGTCCGGACTCCCCAGGAATCGGAGGCTGAGACTGCGAAGCCTACGCTAGGGAAGCTCGGATGGTCTATCAAGAACCGATGATCTAGAAGGGCAGAATGACGTGGAGCGTGAGGAAGGAGACAGACAGCGCTGACCAGGACAACACCAGTAATTTGCTTCCGGAGGACAAATTTATTGATTTCAGCGCTGTTGTTTGTACCTCTACCAACAAAAAGTGATTGTGATATATACGGAGACGAATAATTTTCAATAAGTATGCGTTTGTCACTTGGTCTTTGTCTTCCTGTAGATATCGAGGGTAGCCGAGCGCGGAGCCTCGACAGTGACAGTGTCTAGTTTTGGTCCTGTGGAACAACCTCACCTCCCCCAGTCGACATTTACATGCTGGTCTCCTAAATATTCGCATCTCATGCCCGTTGTTCCTTACGTACGACAAGCGTTTACCAAGTCAGAGACGACTAATGATTCAATATCGATTTCGTTGAGGTCTTGATACTTTCCACTGCCGTGCATCATTACACTGCCCCGTAATTTCCTCTATTCCAAGACTCTAACACAGTATGCAAGTACCGTCAACATATCAGAGGACTAATGATTATTGACCGAAGCTCTCCAGCGTGTTGCTGGCTGCAGTGCTCAACTCCTTTGCTGTAATGATGATCCCCTCTCCCTGCTCTAAATATTGCATCTCCTGTCCCATCTCCTGTAGTCGCCGCTTCTCTTGCATGCGCCCCTCCAACATTTCGACCATGTAATCCACATTTTTGATGAGCTGCTCGAGATCAGATTTCGAAGCAATCTGCATATACTGCTTTGTGCCATCCACAAGTACAAGAAGGGGCTTGAAAGAGCACATGTCAAAAATGTTATAGAGAGGATACTTCCACGCGCTTCTCATCACGTCCCACCACTGCTGCTCCGTAACAGAATCGAGCGACGTGACCGATGTCTGTTCGGATGTGATTTGGAGGAGGATACCAGCTATGTAAAAGGCATGCCCCGTGGGTAATTCGGAGTACTGTGAAATCATGCTAATGCACCGATCTATGTGATGGTCCCCAAACAAATGGGGGTGCCAGTCGGAATTTTTTGCGAGGGCACAGACAAGTTCGAGATAGCACGAGTCGCGGGCATAATTGAAAAAGAGGTCGAGATCGTCATTGGCGGGTGTTGTACCTGGGTGTGGACAAATCACAGACAGGATAGCGGGGGAGAGCTTGGTCAAAACAATGTCCCGTAGCCTTGCATCATCCATGGCATCGATCGAGGCAATTTGTTCTCGGGCACTGTGAGCAACGCGAAGAGCGGCATGACGTAAATGGAGAGGCATGTTACTGTCCATGCAGGCGATGAGCCTCTCGATGAACAGACGTTGTTTAGCGGGGCTGCAGCACACCCCCATACTACCCAGTAGCAAAAGGATGTCATATGCCGCTTCGTGGTCGTTAGAATATATGAGATCGAAGTAGTCGACCACCCAGTCGAAGTCTTCCGGCGAGTGGGGTTCATTTCCCCACCAAGACAAAACCCACACCCGGGCAGGGTCACGGGATACCTTGGCAGCAGCGAAAGTGAAGTGCAGTGCATTTCGCGGAGCTGCCAACGAAACCGAGGCATCGGATGACCTCGTTCGTGAATAAATCTTCCTGCACACGTCCAGGTTCCGCATGGAATGAGTTGAACCAAAATAACGACCTCTGGCAAGCTCGAGGATGCGATTAATAATATCAAGGAGTTTCCATGCCCGCCGTGCGACTCCTGTGCTATCATTGTCGAGCTCGCCTCCATCCCATGCCCATAGAGCCTTTTGGAACTGCGCCACAAGAGACTCGCTGAGTAGAGGCAGAGCAGAACTACATCATCTCTTTGTTAATCATGGCAGAAAACTACCAAATGAGTCAATGGCACCTTTTATCAATCCGAACTACGTCTTTCTTGTCAACCTGAACCCCGACCATGACGCAAGCAAGAAGAGTGCAATTGGCTAGGATTTGATCCGATGGAGAGGATGGGGGTGATAGCAGTTTCCATATCACTGTTATCGCGAGGTTTTCTATATATTCATTCGCTCGCCCAGTGGCGAAGTGATAAGGAAGAAGATGTGACAACTGCTCATGGACAGAGTCAGGGCAAGCCTCTGAGAAAGGAGCACGCCAGCTATTACGTCGACAAAGATTTAGAGTGGCGTTAAGCAGCGCTCGGTCGGTTGTGTGCGTGTAAATCTCAAAAAACACGTCAAAGTCTCGTCTCCCGTGGATAATAAATTGGTCGCGGTCAGGATATGCCTGAAGAACACGTCCATAGTATAGGTGACTTAGAGCCGTTGCACATGCCGACGCCTTCTCCTTCAAAGACAGTACGATGCGCCTCTGACTGTCGACGCAGCTCATAAAAATATCAAACAGCTGATGCAGCATGTCTGAAACATCGAGATCCAGGGGCCATTCGACCTGCGGGACAAGACTAGCAGCAGCGAGAAATACTTCAGGATCCGTAGATGTCTCGAGCAGCCACTTGACGCTATGTGCTTCAAGATCGCTGGTGGGTATGTCACAGAGGTCGAGGTTAAGGATGTCATCATTCTCCGGCAAAACAAACAGATCCTGGTCGAGCGGTTGTGCCTCTGAGTCCATGACCTTTGTTGAAGAACTCGGAACCAAAGAACGCAGCCGGTTATGAAGCCTGGCGATGAATTGCCGAAGAGATCGTGTGAATGTACCTATCGCAAGTGCAGGGCCTAGCGAGTGAATGAGCCTCGAGTATCTTTGTAATAATAGATGCGATTGTCACCTCTGAATGCTTCAGACAATCGGGTCCATCCCGATCTGACGATACTAAATGATCGTTTGAGCACGCCTGACATGAAACAGTCAAAACCTGCGCACATGGAAGAAGACATAACTCACCTTGCAGTAACATCATGGGCCGCTGGAAATAACAGGAAACTAGTCTGAACGCCAGGTGTAGAACCCCTGCAATGTTAATTCAGATGGAGAACGACTACCAGAATTCGGCGAAATGATCTTACTGTCGACGCGCAACACCTGTAATATCGTCGATACCAGTGTCTGAAATGGACAAGCAGGAGATATCAAACAAGCCATCACAGTCAGGGAATAAAACAGAAATCCGAAGACCGTCGTTCCAATGATGACCCAGGCGATGCTCGCCTGCTCGTACCACAAATTGGCGCCAAGAGCGATCCCAAAGAGCAGAAGAGAGATCTGAAGTAAGACCGGAAACAATTGCACGACGGCATCGAAATACCATGTGACGAGGCCATCGAACTTCTCTTGCCTGCGCTTCCCTCGCTCCTCCTGCGAGCCGCGGCCATATCTGTTCGACTTGTAGTACCCGAGCCACTGCTTTCCCAGCACAGCCCCGAACGCAGCGAGCAAGCTCGTGGACAAGCTTGCATATGCGATCGTTTGGATCCATAAGGTCGGCGCGGTCAGGGACCACGCAGATGTTGGGTCTACGGGAGTGGAGCCTGCCTCGGCAAGATTGCCGAGTCCGATCTGCACGAGTTGCTTCAAAAGGGCATTCGTGGTGTCGCTAGGGTCGGGACTGAGATTGGGCTCCATCGCGACGATGAAAGACGTGCTGACAGCGGAGAAAAGACCAGACTGGTCGAACATCAGTCTCAAAACGGAATACAGCACTCTGAACTTGCGAAGATCAAGACAATGTCCATGTCGGTAGCGTATCGCTCAAGGAACTCGCTGTCGTGTTCCTCCGCGACCCTTTTGTACACCCCCCAGAAACGAGACCGTTCGTCCTTTCCACTCTTCGACGCAATCGTCGAGTCCCGGAGAATATCCAATACCTGCTTTATGACACTTGCTCTGCGTGTGTAGGGTGTGGTCAGCTGCGATCGCTTGGCTTCAAGTCTTTGGCTCACAATTCACTTAGAGTCGGCTCGTCCTTCTGTGCCTCAAGCTTTGCCACCTCGCTGAGACGAATGAGTATGTTTGGCGTCATTATTAACAAGGACTCACGGAGTCAAATGGTCGACCGGTGGAATGTTGGATGTACTTTGCTGTACAAGAGGTCCCGACGGCCGTGAAGATCCAGCATTCGGGCTGCAGTTATAGTAAGGAGCGGCGCAAACGCCCATCAGGGAAGAAACACATACGTCCCTGATGGCAGCTCTGCCACAGGTTCAACATTGATCTTCTCCCTGTCTTGCTGTTAGACAAGTGATGTATTCGAGGAAGCTGCAACTCACTCCTCGATGAGCCCTACGACGTCGTTTTGTGAGAGAAGCTGCTTGTCGTTGTGGGTGTGTCGATCCTCGGCGTCGTCGGTGGCCGATGCTTGTGACATGAGGAAGTTAAAGAGACTCTTGTATTCCAAGAAAAGTTAGTGAAATTTGGAAGAGTCTGAGATGAGCGGACAGAGTAGACTCGGAGTGGTGCACAGCAAGTCATTTAGGCGGCTACGACTCGAACGATGACGAACACGTGCTTGCGAGCGTTGACGCCGAAAGTTTTCGTGAGAGCTCCCTGCAGTGAACTGAGACCTTATCATAATGATGGTGATAGATCCTTCTAGGCCCGGTCTTTATGCATGGGCACTCCATTGAAGCAGTTCAAGCTGACATGTGGATATTTCATTTAGCCATCTACGCTCACATAAGACGAGCTCAATGCATTTGTGGAAGGGTGTGCACTGAGAGCTCTGTTTATACTGGAAGTTATGAACGACTCCTCGTGATGATGCGATGACCCCGAAATGCCAATTGAGTTTTTTTAGGAGAAGATTTCGTCAAGGACTTAAGGAAGGATGGCAAGGCATGGAAGCAACGTGACGATCACGTGATCAGGCTAAGATCGTGAATGTGTGCTCGCTACTCTTGACTCGCATGGCAAGCGGTCGTCGCTCTCCTTCTCCAGAATCGCTGGCACCTGGCCCTCAACCGATAGGAACACTCCACGAGTCCCTGATTAACCTAATTGCAGCAGGCGAAGTACGCGCTGGGTTGACACCACGGTTCAGGCGCGAATACGTACTGATGAAAATCACCTCTAGCTCATACACAGACCTGCTTCTGTGTTCAAAGAGCTGCTGGAAAATAGCCTCAACGACGGGTCTACTTCTGATCAAGTCACCATCAAGGATGGCGGTATGAAGCTGCTTCAGATTCAAGACAACGGCTGTGGTATTCGTGTATGTCTTCCTCGCATTCGCATTGAGGCTTTCCGTTGAGCTTGTTTGAAGAAAGAAGACCTACCCTGGCTCGCTGAGCGTTTTACTACCTCAAAATTGACCACCTTTCTGACCTCTCCAAGCTGACTACTTACTGGAGGCTCTGGCATCTATATCACATGTCGCGCACCTGACAAGTGGTCACGAAGACCAAGTCAAGCAACTGTGCTTGGAAGTATGTATATATATAATTGTGCACGGAACAGAACGCCTGATGAAAATTCTGCAGGGCGGCTTACGTTGATGGCGGTCTCGTCCTGTCGAAAGTGGGATCGGAGACTTCAATGGGTGTCATCATGCGCCACTACATCCAGAAAGACATCGCGTACTCATTGTTTTGGCATATTCTATGTCCACCTACCCGTAATCTACGGCGAGACAAAGTAAAACACGCTCGGGCGAACTCCTGCAGGAAATGGTAGCACATTCAGGTGATTTTATTGTCCTTGATTGGGTCGAACAATCATTTGAAACTTTACGACCGGCTTGATAACATGAGCACTGCTCGTTCTGCAGCATATCATTCCGTGTCACAGAAGTCAGTCTGAGCGATGGTCCACCCTAGGACATTCGAAGTCAAGGCGGGCGGGCTTCGTGATTTGTCGATCATCAAGGAGCTGATTGTTCAGTTCTTGCAGACAAGGCCTACTCAGCAGCTTTTGTGCTTGTCCGTCCTGGGATCAGTCTCTCCTCGAGCTACCTGACTTTGCAAATCTACCCGATGTTGGGGACGATACGGAGAATAAGGGGTATTATTGGACGCCGACTTCTCCGTCAAATGAAATGACTCGTCTACCCGTTCTCAGGAGGTAGTTGATCCAGAATCACGAGTATTGCGGTTACTTGTTCGCCTTGGGCAGCTTTTCGGTGCATTTTTGCTAGCGGAGAATACAATAGAATCGCGCCGGATCGCGATATCATTTCACAGGTCAAAGATAAGTTATAGCCTCTGCTCGAGACCTGATGGACGTCAGGACGATAGAAATACTTGTAGATGATTTTCCCCAAATAGATTCAGGATCTGTACTTCGCATACGTGATACTACGCGCATGCAGTGTATTGGACTACTTTTTGTCCTATCAATTTGCACCACTTCTCCGTCCAACACCACTAGACTAAAGCCAATACTCGCTCCATGGGTGACATGACAGTATAAGTACAAGGGGTATTTTCAACTCCGATTAAAATACCCATTGATAATAATTGTAAAATTTTCTAATCAATTCGGCTAAAATGCCCGCCCCATCGAAAGGAACTTTCCTATCTTCCTCAGACGCTGTCGCCCATCTAGCATCTTACCAATGCTTGGATGGACTCTCCGCCAAGGATCTCATGGACTCCCGTGTCCATGGTGGTCTCACTTATAACGACTTTCTCATGCTTCCCGGAAAGATCGATTTCCCTGCTTCTGATGTGATCACAGATACCAGAATCACTCGTAATGTCGTTCTCAGAACCCCATTCATGAGTAGTCCTATGGATACTGTTACCGAGACCGACATGGCCATCAGTCTCGCGCTGTTGGGTGGTATTGGTGTCATTCATCATAACCAGTCTCCTGAATCTCAAGCGGCTATGGTCCGAGCCGTCAAAAGACATGAGAATGGCTTTATTACGGATCCTGTTGTCTTCTCTCCAAATCATACGGTTGCAGATGTCCTTGACATCAAGGCCCGTCTTGGTTTCTGTGGTATTCCTATCACAGGTGTGTTATGCGTTTTACTTGCGTTTCCTTGATGAACACCTTTACCAATAACCTTCGTTCTTCTGACTAACGGGTTTCACCTGTGATCTGCGGACATCATTCTCATTTTGGCCATCTGATCTTCCATTTCGCCCATCATACCCATGGGATCAAAACTGATGCTTATTCTTCAGAAACGGGATACATGGGCACTAAGCTCGTTGGTATCGTCACCTCACGCGACGTACAATTTGAGTCGCCTGAGACACTCCTCAGCGAGGTCATGACCAAGTCTCTTGTCACCGCTCCCCAGGGTGTCACGCTCGCAGAGGCCAACCAGATCCTGCGTTCTTCCAAGAAGGGAAAACTCCCCATTGTCGATGACCAAGGTCGTCTCACCTCTCTCCTCGCCCGCTCTGACCTCCTCAAAAACCAAAACTACCCACTTGCTAGCAAGGACCCCGACAGCAAGCAGCTATATGCAGCAGCTGCAGTGGGCACACGACCCAGCGACAAAGAACGCCTCAAGCTTCTTGTCGAGGCTGGTCTTGATATTGTCGTCCTTGACTCATCGCAGGGCAACTCCATCTTCCAGATCGACATGATTCAATGGATCAAGCAGACGTTCCCCAAGCTCGAGGTCATCGCAGGCAACGTCGTCACGCGTGAGCAAGCTGCCAGCCTCATTGCCGCTGGGGCAGACGCTCTCCGCGTCGGTATGGGTAGCGGCTCCATTTGTATCACGCAGGAGGTTATGGCAGTTGGTCGTCCACAGGCTACAGCTGTGTTTGCTGTTGCCGAGTTTGCATCTAAGTTTGGTATCCCGGTGATCGCAGATGGTGGCATCAGCAATGTCGGGCACATTGTCAAGGCACTTTCCCTTGGTGCGAATGCTGTGATGATGGGAGGGCTTCTTGCAGGCACCACAGAAGCTCCGGGAGAGTACTTCTACCACGATGGGAAGCGTGTGAAGTCCTACCGAGGCATGGGTAGTCTTGAGGCTATGGAGCAGGGTAGACCTGGCGTGTCTGGTCAGGCTAATGTTAAGCCCGGTTCTACGAAGCACACTCCAAACCTTTCGAGCAAGCCACACGAGAACGCCGCCACGTCACGCTATTTCTCCGAGTCCTCCGCTGTCAAAGTCGCTCAAGGTGTGTCGGGTGACGTCCAAGATAAGGGCAGCGTCAAAGCATTCATTCCATACCTACACGTCGGTGTCCAACACAGTCTCCAGGACATTGGCGTGCGCAGTGTTTCAGAGCTGCAGGCAGGCGTGAAGGAGGGTCGTGTGAGATTCGAAGTAAGGACACCGAGTGCTCAGTTGGAGGGGGGTGTTCATGGGTTGCATTCGTGAGTGATGATGACATTCCGTTGCGATATGTCGCTGATTTTTTCTCCAGGTACACGAAGAGATTGTATGCCTGATACGACGATTTGCGTTATTCCCCATATGACCAGTATCCATACATTAAGGTTCCTGCTTTGTACGCATAAAAACAAGGGCAAATTGTATGTACATCATTTGTTGATCGGATGAGCTGTGATCATGGTTGGGCCTCGCGCATGATCAAGTTCAACGACTCACCCGTGGACTACATTCAGACCTTCCCTAATAACAACGGGACGGACACAAAGCACGTTTTGCTTGACCGGTGTACGTACCGACGGCGATGACTATCTGTCCACCGATCAATCCACGATGATCACTGTTGATGGCTGGCCAACACAGGGTCGAACGTTTTGAAAACCTGCTCAGGATTGGAATTTACCGGCAAGTCCGGTTTTTACTAGTCGGTCTGCTGTCGATGACCTGCCAGGTGGTAGGCTGGGACATTCCCTAAGTGCACAGGACGATGACAAGGTCCAACATTGGTTCAATCACCTGTCACACGTAGATGCTCTGAACGCAAACCGTTCATCATGCGAACCAGGATTATAGGCTGACAAACCATTCCTGCACTGACTTGCAACAGGCAACCGTAACTTGGTTTTCGGAACATACACCTGCCCATTTGGAACATCCGCAGCTATCGATCTTCCAATGGGCGTTCGGCTGACCAAACTTGCGCCCGCCGTATATTATAGCCAGGCCCTAATAACTGTTGTCTGCTGACAATTCAATGGAGCTGTATATGCGATGTGCCGCCCTTTTGGAATAAAACATCGTCATCTTTATACAGTAAGCAGGGCGTCTACAATACAGCATGTGAAATTTAATATTTAACAGGTCTCTCTATCACTATCATCAAGGTATCCCATCGTGAATCGTTGTCTACCCACACAGCAAAGAACAGCGGCCATTTCAAACTTTTCTTGGTCGCCGTCATGCTGCAGGAGGATGTCGCGTCAGGAAACCGGAGAGAGGTAGAACTAGCGGCGCTGTTTCACTCGCCAGCAGCTGTTGCTCCTCGTAAGAATGTAAAGGATCTTCCACCCTATGGTGCGCAGCATCGCCAGGATGCACTTTGGCAAGGTGAGCAGTAGTCATATTATAATACCTACTGGCTAGCTCAATAAGAAGCAGGCGGTAACGAAGCACTCCCTCCTATGTGGCAACAGTTTCAGGTGCTAGACCATAAAACGCTGTATCAAGACAACAACCTGATCATGGGTTCACGGAACCGCCCTTTACCAGGTGTACGATTAGGTAAGCGAAGGGAGTGCAATCAAAAGCAAGACACTCATAGTCGAGCACAGATCATCCTGGAGATCTCGTTCCCGGCTGTGAATGGCACATATCACCATCTGGTCGGTCCTATTTCGTCAACCACAATACTCGGACTACGTCATGGAAGAAACCTGTGCCAGACCGCCAAGCAGGGAGCTTGACGCCAGAGTGCGTCATCGAAGGGCATTCTAAGTGTATATGGGACATCGCCTGCTTGGGCAGTAGTTGCAGCATAATGAGCTCCTCATCTGATGGTTCGATTCACCGATGGACAAGAAACGGAGAGCCGATCGGAAAGCCCTGGGTTAGTGACGGAGGAGTGGTAGGCTCCATAGGAGTATCTCCAGATGAAAACATGGTCGCCAGTGGAAGCGCAGATGGCAGAATACGGCTGTGGAACATAAAGGAGGGCAAAATGGTAGGAAGCCCATGGAAGGGACATAATGATGCAGTGATATGTCTGAACTGGTCTCCTGACGCTGCGGAGATAGCAACTGGATCGTACGATGGCACCATAGGTCGATGGAACCCAGATACTGGACGACAAATCGCACCACTGATAGAGACTAGTCATGGTTGGGTATGTGCTGTCAGATACTCTCCACAAGGCGACAAATTCGCGAGTGGTGGGGCAGACAAGATAATTCGCTTGTGGTCAAAGAAAGGCGAGCTACTCGTCGAGATCAAGGGACATGAGAATGCAGTGACATCGTTGTGTTGGTCCAAGGACGGCACACGCATCTTTTCCGCGTCATCAGATTGCACCATCCGCACATGGCAGTCGTCTGATGGGAAGGAGCTCATTGTTCTTCAAGGTCATACGAAGGCCGTCACATCTCTCTGTCTTTCCCCTGATGAATCTCATCTTATCAGTGCCTCAAGGGACTGTTCAGTTCGCATCTGGGATCTCAAAACCAATCAGCAAGTCGGAGACCCACTTTTACACGATGGCGAACTCTTGGCTCTTGCCATGTCAATTGATGGAAATTATGTTGTCGGTGCTCAATTGTATGCAAAAGTCTATGTATGGAGCCTAGAGGTGGTACTCAAGCAGCAGGGCAGTGATCAGGTTAGCGTGCGTATGTACGGATATTGTTATTGGCGTCTTCACTAACCAGGCTTTGGATTTCAGAGTTCACAGGATGGCAATGCAAACGCGAAGCCCAAGGTAAGTCATATCTGCATTTCTCTTGCATTGCATCCCACTTTGTTACTAGAGCCGTGCAGCTCCAATTAGAGATGTGCGTTAATCAGTTGTGAATACGATATTTTGCTCATCGATCTCGTCAGCTTAACTTTGATGTCGTATCCAAACGGCAGGTTAATAACAGAGGCATGGCAAAATATGTCAGCATGGTTACATCTCTCCTGAGTATCTATTGACTTGACACCGATACAGGGAAATGATTTCTTTGGCGACGTCGCAGACCACACGCCTCGTCGACCAGCTCCACCCACAGGCTCATCGCCCTCCCTTACGAGTCGGTGGCGCAACTTGTTCGGGTTCCTGCGCTTCCGCACTCAACCTACAGATTTGGCGCCCCAACCACTTCAGCCCCGGCGTTGGTATTTCGCCCGTGATGAGGTGAGTCGTTCATCGTGACCGATATCTGTCCTGATATACTGTGCAGGGACCAACACAAACTACTCAGAGGCAACATTCTACTACCACCACGGAAGAGGTATCATGTGTGATAGGATGTTGTGGATTTTACCTTGTTCGTCGTCGGTCCACATCGCGCACTAGTCAAGAGGCATCCCGTCACAGTGAAGCCGCCTCCAGTCCGTCGCCTCGTCGCTTCTATACTCGCTCGAGCGATTGCCGATACGTCGTTGACACGTATGTAGCGCGCCTTCACATTCACAACACCCTTGCAGTGAAGTTTGTATCTCTACCACATCAGTTGTTACAATCATCTGCAGATTGTGAATATACCACTTGTGATTTCAGGTTATGGACATCATACTAAACAGAGCGAGCGACATAATTAAAGGGTATGTCCTAATCACGCTGGTGCACCAAATAACAAGATAATTTGTTGCCTATAACAATTCAAACAACACTGTAAGTAAGAGTAGTTTGTCGGTGCAGTGTTGCGCGAATTGGTGACAATGCATGGCCACACGAGGAAGTCGCTGTAGTCTCTTCCTTGATGCGTAGCTGAGCAGGATCAGCCCCGTTGGTCCCCTCAGGGTTACTACATCAGAGAACCGGTGAACAGATGAGAAAGTTATGTAAAGTGATATATAGTAAAGCATCGCAACAATCTTCGTATATCTGCTGACCGGTTTCACATAAGAATATTTGGCCTTATCGAGGAAAGACGGATGCACAAGCATGCCAGCCTAATAGCATTATCTACTTCGGAATCTTTTTGAGTTTGGATGGATGTAAGAAAAAAAGAGCGAGTACAGGTTCATAAACTTTAATACAGATTGATACTAACAGGGTCAAGGAAGGAGGTTGCAATGTGCTAAAGTGAAATACACTTTGGAAATGTCCCCAGCGGTGCGGATACACATGATTTGGCTTTCACTGAATGTTTTTTTACTAGCTCAGGGTGATGATACCATTGATGTAACTCCCTCGAGGGCAAATGATAGCAGTCTATGTTACGGTCAGACCGTAACAATAGTGTTGTACGTGTTGCACATGTATTGGTCGAATGTCACTCAAAGAAATATATTTCACGCAGCACGGATGCATGCTCTGGTATATTTTAGAGCAGAACGTACTCCTCTTGTATGTCGGAGTATGTATTACCTCTCAATGAAAATATCGCCAGTCTTGACTAGTTAATGATTGCCCGTCACTCGAAGCGGTACATTCCATGAAGGGCCAACAATGTTCCAATATGTGCCACAAGAGATATCACTACTCGAAGGAATCTGCTTTGCAAACAAAGAGTAATACCAGAGTGGTGCGTATCAAAATTTTCTTCAACACATTGCTTCATCCGATTATTTCTTCGTGCAAGATCAAAAGCATACAATTTTGATTAAGTTCAAAGTGTTCGCGGTCACGACAATATTCGTAAATGATTCGAAATTCGGTGTAGCGCTGTAAGCATACGTGGCGATAGTGCTAAATTGTAATCTCACGCCATCATTGTCATCTTTACAAGTTGAAGCCTTTTGGCCTTTCAAGACCGAAACATCTGAAGACCTTGTAGACTACTCAGTCACCCCACAGGTGCCTGTCATTCGGTTTTATTCAGAAACTAACTTACAGTAGAATTTAATGCACTGCTGCTTCATTGTCGCAATAAAAACCCGGTTGTTTTCGTCAAGAAAATCGGTTTCCTGGATCTCCGAGAGTAAGCTAAGTCTGGGTTCTCTGACCTCCCGTTTGAGCTCGGGAATATTTGTATTCGACGATTGATGCACTGCTACTTCATCGTCGCAATAAAGACATGGTTGTTTTCGCGAAGACGATCGTGCTCCTGGATCTCCGAGGGTGAGCTATGTCAGGGTTCTCTGACTTCCCATCTGAGCTTAGGAATATCTGTATTCGACAATTGACCCACTGCTTCTTTATTGTCGCAACAAAGACATAGTTGTTTCCGTGAAAACACTCATACTCTTGGATCTCTGAGAATAAGCTAAGTCGGGGTTTGCTAACCTCCCATTTGAGCTCGGGAATATTTGTATTCGACGATTGGCGCACTGCTACTTCATCGTCGCAATAAAGACATGATTTTTTTCGTGAAGAAGATCGAGCTCCTGGATCTCCGAGAATAAGCTAAGTCTGTGTTCTCTAACCTTCTACCTGAGGTCGGGGATACTTGTATTCGACGATTGGTACACTGCTACTTCGTCGTCACAATAAAGTCACGACTTGTTTCGTGAAGAAGATCGAGCTCCTGGATCTCCGAGAATAAGCTTAGTCTGTGTTCTCTAACCTTCCACCTGAGGTCGGGGATACTTGTATTCGACGATTGGTACACTGCTACTTCGTCGTCACAATAAAGTCACGACTTGTTTCGTGAAGAAGATCGAGCTCCTGGATCTCCGAGAATAAGCTTAGTCTGTGTTCTCTAACCTTCCACCTGAGGTCGGGAATATTTGTATTTGACAATTGACGCACTGCTGCTTCATCGATCCACGAATCGGGTTATTTAGAGCAATATTTCATAGAGCATCACAGCAATCTTCGTATATCTGACTTCAGAAAGTGGGCATATTTTCATTCCATATACACATTTTAAGTATCTTAGTAACATATAGTAATGTAGATGAGACGGGCAGGCAAAATTTACCAAACAACTAGTCCGAGTCGAATGCAGTGTCCTCCATCCGCAGTCTCTGGGCAGCGAGAGCGCTCACAGACATCTGGGTAATAACGTCCTGTGTCAAGTCTTGACGATGATTCCTTCCAAAAACTTTTCTGCGCAGGGAGTTGGGAATCAGGGCGAGTCACTAATGGTTGATGACTTACCTTGTCCACCACTCGAGTAGCTCATTCACCCTAGTTCGTGCAGCGGGACCCGGGGCGTCCTCAAAAAAATCAACGATGTTGTTCCAGAAGATTTGATAGTCAAAGTCACCGTCTATGGTGCGCCAGGAGTTGATACTGGAAAGTGCGAATCGAATCTATAGAATTTAATGCTAGCTTTGTAATTAGAAGGAAGCTGCTTACCTGGCAAGCTGCATATGCGATCGCGCGAGGTGTTACTTTCCTCATGCCTATAATGGAGGCCACACATGTCTTGACTTTAGCTTGATCCGATCGCTTCCGGGCACGTCGGTTATTTTCAATGATATCAGCACCATTACCTTCACCGTCCACTTCATTAGCGGAAGAGGGCGAAGTAAAGATGGCCTTGAATCCCTGTTATGCGTTGAGCCACGAATCAGTTGAAATAACGGGGCTGTTCACCATGACCAACAACCGCGACTTCATAAGACCGCACTCTAGATTATTAGCATCAGCTTTGTAGTTTTCGTACATGAACGACGGCCAAGAATTTTCAGAGACAATGAAGGCGATTGTGCGGTCACGAATGCCGGTCCTGACGCTGAAAAAAATATCAGTAACATGTAAGCGACGATGATCACCACTTACGCCGGGTCCTCCCAACACCATTCGGCTGGGCAGAGCAGTCTGCCACACGGATCGCTCACAAAACCTCGATGATGCTTGTCGTCGGTCCTGATTAGTGCTGCCGCGGTTCGGTCCAGAACCATGGTTCGAACGGGACTTTTGGTCCGGTTCTCCGCGGTTCGGTCCACGGTTCTCACATCAGCCAGAACCGGACCGGAAAATGGTTCTCGGTTCTAGGTCTTCCCAAACGGTCCCGTTCTGGTTCGGCCTTGCCGAACCATTCCGAACCGTTATCGACTTTGACTTCGCTCAGCGCATGCTTCCAAACAAGCACCTTCAGTCTCTTTTCAATCTCCCGCCTTCGATGCAGTTCCCAATATCCTTTGGCTCAGGCGACACTGCAAATGGGCTGCTTTCAGCCAGTTTTTCACATTCAATGCTCTCTTCACCATGAATGATGTGACCTTGATCGTGAGTACTAATTCTATCCTCGTTCGAGCTCGAGCCATGCTGATCCAAGTTGTTTCCCACCATTCGCAGTCTGTGAGTGTGTCGATCCTTGTTTGAGCTCGAGCCATGCTGATCTAAGTCGTTGCCCACCGTTTGCAGTCTGTGAGTGTGTCGGTCCTCATTCAAGCTCGAGCCATGCTGATCCAAGTCGTTGCCCACCATTCGCAGTCTGTGAGTGTGTCGGTCCTCGTTCAAGCTTGAGCCATGGTTCACCTCTCGTGCCAGCCCAACTTCCAGTACCCTCTCACTTCCTTTGGCACCCTCTCGCTACCTCTGGAGCCCTCCCACCATCAAGTTGACAAGTTCAGCGCCCTCTCGCTACCTTCAGCATCCTCCCGCTTAGCGCATCCAATGCCACCAGCACCATGCGCAAACACCCAACACACACCAGCAAGTGCTGGTGTGGCGCGAACGCTCGCGGACGACACCAAGATGCTGAAGATGAATAAAGGACGAGAGGAGGAGGGAAAGAGGAGAGGAGAGAGAAAAGGAGAGCACACGCAGCGCATGTAGACTCGACTCTAGATGGGGGGTTCTCTCAGCTGCAAAGGTGCGTCATGGTGTTTTATTGTTTCGGTGTCTCATAAATTCATTGTTTGTATATGGTACCCACGCTCGCCACCATCTTCGACCCATGCTCATGATCGCCATCCTTCACTGCCACTATCCTATTTCTGGTTGTGTCAACCCCTCGTTATCGCAATTGCTCTCCTGATACCTCTCGTGCATGGTAATTGGGGGAGCAACCATGTTATTAGATTAGTTACTCAACATGTAGACTACTTAGTACTATGTCAATGTTTTTTGCGTGCTCTTACAGTTTTTTGTTTTTTTGGTTCGGTTCGGGTTCGAACCCCGAAAAAACTGAACCGGACCATAGAGAACGGTTCTCTATGGTCCGGTTCTGGGTTCGGACATTTTGCAGAACCGAACCGATGGTCCGGTTCTTGGTTCTCATCTAAGACCCTCTGAACCGGACCGAACCGGACCACGGCAGCACTAGTCCTGATGAGTGTGGTCGGATGGCACTCGATATTCACCCATGAAGCAACAAGCTCCTTAAGGGTTCCCGTGTCGTCGCCACGAGCAGAGTCTGCACCTCGCTTGAGCTATATCAAGAATGAGCCAAAAGTGTGATAAAGACGTTGGGAGAAACCTTTCTGAGCATGTCCTCTGACTCCTCGTGATCAAGGCATGCTAGCTTATTGTGAAGCCACAGTAGTGCCTTGGCGAGCTCGATGTAACCGCGTTGGAGACGGTCTTGCCTGTTCGATTTTATAATTAAGCACGGTGATATAAACATGAATAGTTACTCCGTAGTGGGGCTGCTGCTAGGCTCGCAGTCTTCACACCGCCTGTCGTTTTCGGTGATCAAATCCTCTATAGGGGTGTAAAGGGCAACAATACGACGGATGGCCCGTCCCTGTGAAATGTAATAGGTTGTCTTCCTGTAGCAAGGTATTAATACTGCTGTGAGCGAGAACGTGCCTCGCACCTTTGCTTTATTGCCTTGTCCTGCTTCAAGATTTCAATTTCATCCGTCAGAGCAGCAATCTTTCGCTTCGCCCTAGCATGCGGAGAAGTTTGAACACACAGTGAGACGTCCGGAGTAGGGCTCTGTCCCGAGTTGATATCAGATGTCGGCATATCGGCCTAAAGATGAGGTAGAAGTGCAAAAAAGTGGAGGAGAGCACGAGGCTTACGAGGTCGTCTTATATATAATGTCTAACCCGAGTATGGCCGAAAGTTAGTTGTTGACGTGGTTCGGGTCAACATGGTTAACACCAGCACGCGAAACGAGCAGCTCCCGAGCCTTTTTGGCGCTTGTTCGCTAGTTGCAAACCGATCCCGGTGACCCTGAAGCGAGCATTTCCCGGTCGCTTTGAGTTGGGATTACTATTACAGTCCAAAGACTCGATAGCGAAGGGGTCGCACGCCAGCGCTTCAAGTTGTGACCCGAGTTATATGTGCTAGGTCCATTAGCGATCGAAATTCAGCCGAGTTCAAACTTAGTACTTACAACGTCGAAAGCCGCCGTGCATGTAATTTATTGCAGGCCCCTGGGCTCGATACTATCGGACAGAAATGCGGCGATGCATCAGACGATAAAACCATCCAGTTGATTCGCAAGCAGAGTCACCCAGTGGGATGAAGACTAACTCGAGACTAATGTATAAGTACTCCCGGGTCTTGACGAAGTCCTTGTAAGGCTTGACGATCATATTAGGGTGTTACGCATACGCTTCATGAAGGAAGGGTGACTGACGACAATGCTGATATACGAGTCATAGATAAATGCATCTGATAGCCGATGTGAGTGGCTTAACGCCTCAGAAAGAACAAGATATCTCACTTTAACTCCGAACGGGAGTCCGCGCCCAATCAACGCTCATATCATATACTCGTCTACTGTGCCATTGACTATCCATGGACTTAAGACATACCTGATCGAATGACATGGTAAGAGGAGTGAGCAATGCAAATAAAGCTATCGTAAAAGACATACAGATACGTCGAAACCAGAGGGAATGAGGAAATCAAAAATGAAGCATCGAAGATAGAATAAGATAAGTACTGCTCACACCAAATTATCAAAAGTGAAATCAAACAAGCTGAAACGTACTGTCAAGTGCAACCATCCCACTCTCGCCAGACTCGGACTAGATAGAACTCGTAGCCCTCAAACTCCCAAACAAGATCCTACATGCGGCACGGCGAAGCGTGGTTGGATGCGTCTGGGCTTAGCAGGTGTACTTTGGGATTGACTCGCCAGAGTAGGTTGGTTTTTAGTAGCGCGTGTCCGAGGCATGGTTAGTGGTAAGTAGGGGTTTATTTACGCGTTGTTTGCATATTGACAACAAGCCGATGTTTGGCTGTGTTAGGTATCACGTGAATTTGGTCTGTTCGTCTTTCGATGACAAAGTCCCTGCCAATTCTCCTCCTTACGACTGTGCTGATCGACCGTCTCCAATGTAAGATGTGACCGTTTGTTATTCTCATTATTCTGATTCAAAAACCTTTGAATTCTACACGTGAATTCAACTCGTCCTCCTGTACTAGTTGTAAGTCAACGTGTGTGATGGAATGTTGCGCCTCCGCTGAATTCCTCAAGTTGGGGGCCTGCTGACGATTGGTGGTCAGATGTGTCCAGTGTCGATCGCTTGCCGTCCCCAGACATTGCTCACCGAATACTGGAAGATGCTTTAGCGAGTCCAGCCTCTTTACTCATCCTCTGAGCCGTCATCATGTGGCTGGGCTCGTGCCTTCTTTTTCCCTTTAGTCTTCCTTCTTCCCTTCGCACGTTCCGCCCTCATGTAAGCTCTGTAGACACAGCTATGAAAGGTAAGTGCAGTGCCCTCTGGCATACCGACCTTGTTCTGGTAGAATCCAATATCAAACCCAGCTGCGGTTGGCAAATACAATATACCACGATCCTTCAGTTTACCGGCGTAACGTAAGAAGTCCATTGCAGGATAGCGAGAATGGACACTGGCAAGGAAGTCCTCGATGATTTGCGGTGGTTCGTCGTCGCTAGAGTCTTCGTCACTTTCCATGTAAAGGGCATATGTCCTTTTGAGTGGCTGGGGCCTCATTATCGGGTGTTCTCCTTGTTGTCTTCCTTCAGAGGTCACCGTGTCGCTGATGGCGGGTGAAACGTGGATGTGATTGTGGATGATAGGAGAGATAATTTCGGTGGGGGCCCTCTGGAGCGGCGAGAGAGTTTGTCCCTGGACACGTGTCCGATCTGACGACAGGCTCTGCTTGTCTGCCACAGAAGATTCGGAGCTGTGTTTGACCGGCCTTTCTTTCAGTGCAGGCATCTACAAATTAATTCGTACAAATCACTTGCAAATATTACAACACATACGGTGTTGATAATTTCAAGCACAACTCTCTTCTTCCGCCTGCCAGAGCCCTGTTCTGTTCGCACCGCTTTGAACGCATCATCAATATCATATGATGTCAGGAGGCGATGGGGTGGGTCCTTGCGGCGGGCAACAGATAAGCGCCAGGCTAAGTGCTCATACGTAGTTGGAACATCCATCATAGCCTTGATGCGGTCGAAGATGTCTAGGCGACAATCCGATTCAGAGTATGACTGGTCCACACAGGTCACACTTTGGTTGATATCCATGGTGTGTAGTGGTATCCTGAACTTGACTAGCACGACATAAGTATCCTCACCGACCCAGTTGGAGACAAACTTTCAAATTACCTTTCTCGAGCTCCTGGAACCGCTGCAGTTGTGCGGAGAACCCTTCGATCGTCTGGGAGTCTGCCATGCCATCATAGAAACATTCAACCCCCCGCATGCCGTTCAACATCTCCAAGTCCTGGTCATCGACATCAGGGAGCTCCGAGCACACTCCGAGTAGAAAGGCTGCATTTTGCACTCGCCGAGCCTGAGAGCGCTGCTTTGCACGAGTTCTTGAAGATATGTTCGGAGAGACATTTTCAAGAACTTGACTCCTAGGGGACCGTAGTTCAGACATGGCGGGAAATTTGATCAATGTTACAACGCACTCTGCTCACCTATTTAAGTCGTGAGTCGCGACAAACGCTGACCCACCGTGACTGCTAGTCACATGTTGATGATATTCCAAAAGTCAACTGATTTGTCCGGACATATCCCAGCAGAGAAAGAACTCACTGTGACTGTCTCGGAGGCGAATATACCAGGGCAAATGATGTTCGCATCCCCCGGCCATCGGGACCAACTCGGGTCAGCGTCCGACTTGACATAGTAAGGAACGATCGAGAATTCGAAGTTACAAGTGTAACTCTAATAGCATAACACCGCCAGAATTCCCTGAGAGATTTGGCCTGTCTGAGAAAACCTGAACGTCTGAGTCAAGTGCAGGCCAAAAAGTTTGGGACACGACACAACACTCCCAGTGGAGTTTAAATCCTGCTTGATCAGTTTCAACTTTCGAACGGCCATGCCAATCATCCTGCCAACGCACCCGCCACCCAACATACTACCGTGACCATATGATTGGTTAATGCTCGCGGTATGTTTGAGCTCATGCTCTCCCTCAACTCCGAGTCCGAGTCTGCCCGCCCATCAACCTTGCTCGCCCAGCACCTGGAATTCCTGCAGCATCCTGCGATTCCTGCCTCTCACCTTTCCCGCCACTGCTGGCAGCTGCCATTTTCTTTCGTGCCCGCCAGGAATCCTCTATCCTTTGCCCGCTACCTGCCTAGTAATAACAACCACCGTGATGTCTTCGTGCAATAAGCAGATGTTGCCTTTCTTACCAGCTTCTCTCTGTGTTCATCGCCAATTAGCATCGTTCTTGATTGTGCAGGCTGCGGCACTGCCATTCACCTTTTGAAACGATTCTGTCGCAGCGACCGTGACCTGAACGGAAACTCGGGCGAGCCGATGGCAAAGGTACTTGTTACGGTGGTTGTTTGATGTTTATTAGATCAATAGTCTATAAATCAAAAGGATAAATGCATCAAGTATAAATGAATCACAAATGTAACTCAACTAATTTTGTGTAATCGATCATAGATATACGATCGCGCGAGTAGGAAACAGGTGGAGAAGTACGGTACAGGGGTGCCCGGAGGGCCACGAATGGCCAAGATGCACTTCAAGTTCATATAAAAGGATGCAGACATAGACATACACTTGCGTAACACTTTTCATGTACGGATGAGTGACTCGGTTGGATGTAGGATACGGATAGATAGCATACCAGTTTTTGTTTGAAGGAAATTAATGAACTCGTGGTCTTTTCTTGGGGTTAGGCCTGGTTCGGTCTGTATCACGAACACGTGCCCGTTCATTAGTCGAAGACCTGCGTTGGTCGAGATGAGCTCACTATATCGCTCTGCAATTAGCCAAAGTTACCACAGCTACCACCAAGCGATGATTTTTGTGCTCTGCTACAGACGATATACCCAGATGTGGCAGCAGCTCCAAATCTAATGGTAAACTTATATTCTCCCTTTCATGCAAATTGAATTAACCATCACCAATAGGTACAGCAATAGAAGCGCGGCCTCACATGCACGCGATTCTTCACTCTCGACCCGAGGGTTTCGATAGCGTTGGAGAAGCAATCAAATGGCAGTAAGTGTTTGACGCTGTCCTTCGTAAATGCTACATTCACGTTTGCTCATACAGCGTCTTATCCACAACCCCACTTCTACCCGTGTTTCGATCCCATCTATCGTCGATCCTGCAGATTCTCCTCTTACGCCCAGCACGCGTGCAAATATTGGATTCAAATAAATACAAGTGACATACACCACTCCGGTCGACGGCGCCATACTGGGACAGTAAACCTACGCTCGCTCCCTTGACTTGCACCACCTGCTCATATTCCAGGCTGGTTCCCGTCACTTTCGTCTCTATTCCTCGGATTTCGCTCCGCATGGCTCTTAGTGTTAGCAGGTGCAGAGCGCCTTGATACGACGCTCATGGTTGGTCAAATGAAGGGCAAATTCTGGCTCGAAGTCATGGCTGGTTCGGGTGTGGGACATCTCGTGCACGAGGTTCATCACTTACTTGTGATAGTTTACTCATTTGTATTGACGTGATGCAACTTCGTATGCATTACTGACGGTGCCCTGCATTAAATCAACTGGTCCAGGGCCAATAAGTCCATCCAGGCCTTCCATCCCTGATAATTGAG